GATATCAGAAGACCATCTTTTCCCGGTAAGATCACATCATTAATGTTGATTTAAATTGACAAATAATTTGAGTTTTCAATGTCGAAGACTGTGGATAATATTGAGTTAAAAACTTAGCTACTTTAAGTCTGAGAATGCTTTGTGAATTTGGGATCTGGAGAGCAGCATTGCCTAGGTTCTTTTACATGCCTGCCAACGTGTTCACAGGACCTCTCTTTTCAATCCCATCCAAACAACCAGATGTTGTTATTTGTCATGCTCTCAGTTATGGGGCGATGTTTGTAAAATAATTATTTAATTTTTTTTATAGCAAAAAACATTAGATTTAACTCCGAATATATATATTTAGATAAATATTAGAAAAAAATGGCATATATGTAAATATCAAAAAATATTGTAGCTATAAGTCGAGTTTTTGGTCTATGAAAAACTTTAAATGTTATATCTTGATTTCAAATCGCTTAGTTAAATATATAAACAGTTAACTAAATATATAAATATCATGCTAAATATATATGTTTAGCTAAATGTATAAATATTTAACTAAATATATTTGTGGTCCCGCCAATATTTCTATTATCGTAAGCGACACAAAAAACTGCGCATAAAATGATGACGTGGACCCGACACGTGAGCCTTGGCACAATAGGCCTACTAGCAATTATAAATGGAACGAACATGTAACCCGAATCACGGCCGCGGTACTCCGTGCCGTTCGCACAGATCAAGGCAATGAGGACGTAGATAGTACTGTGTTGTGCAGTCAATGGAAAGTTGTACACTACGTCATCGTTTAGTGTGAAGTCGCTTACAACAATAATTATTTTAAAAACGGCGTGGTACGGTTGCGCTTTGTAAATTTAACTATATGTTTAGCTAAATATATAATTATTTAGTTAAATATATAAATATTTAGCTAAATATATAAATATTTAGCTAAATATATAAATATTTAGCTAAATATATAAATATTTAGCTAAATATATAAATATTTAGCTAAATATATAAATATTTAGCTAAATATATATTATTTAGCCAAATATATATTATTTAGCCAAATATATATTATTTAGCCAAATATATATTATTTAGCCAAATATATATTATTTAGCTAAATATATATTATTTAGCCAAATATATATTATTTAGCTAAATATATATTATTTAGCTAAATATATATTATATATAATATATATTATTTATTTATATAAATATTTAGCCAAATATATATTATTTAGCCAAATATATATTATTTAGCCAAATGCCAAATATATATTATTTAGCCAAATATATATTATTTAGCCAAATATATATTATTTAGCCAAATATATATTATTTAGCCAAATATATATTATTTAGCTAAATATATATTATTTAGCTAAATATATATTTTTTAGCTAAATATATATTATTTAGCTAAATATATATTATTTAGCTAAATATATATTATTTAGCTAAATAAATAAATGTTTAACTAAATATATAAATGTTTAACTAAATATATAAATGTTTAACTAAATATATATTTAGCTAAAGGTTTAAACATTTAACTAAATATTTAGCTAAACATTTATATATCATCAAATCTCTTGCTTTGGTCTTAATATTCAATGCTAAATGTTAAATATGAAAAAAGAGACAAATCAAGAAATATTTATATATATTATGTTAAATATTGAGTTTTTGTTGTATTTTTAGTTTAAATATTAAAAGTGAAAAATTTGCACAAAAGTCGAGATTTAACTATATATATAAATTTAAATTAAATCTAGTGTTTTTTGCTATATAAAAAGCTAAATAATTAATTTACAAACGGCGCCCCATACTCAGTCCTGCACCACTGACAAGAGGAATCCAGACTTGAAAATCGTAAGAATGGTTTCTGATACTTCTACTACTGATTAGCCTTTCTAGAACACCTGATATCATTCTTCATTCACTTAGGAGGGTGAGGTTTCATTAATGTCTGATATTTCTCCTCAATGGCGAAAACTTACATCTGATACCCAATAGTGTTATATAATACATCGTAGTAAATGGATTGTGGAAATGAAAGACAGATGAAGTGAGACTATATTAAAAGAGCTCTGGTGCACTTGAGAAAATAAAGGTCAAAGATTACTTCTTTTTATTTACTAACATCAATCACCATACAAAAAAAACATACGCCCACAGCAGCTTAATCATCCGAGCAGTCGACAAGGGCTGTCACATATTTATTCTTTTGTAGGTAATTAGGGGAATTTAATAGACAATTTCATACAGATGACATTATAATTTCGTCGTTTGAGGGTTCACAAGGTTCTAAAAACTAAAACAAGGGCCATAACTTTGCAAGTAATCTACAGAACTTGTTCAAATTCGCCAGGCTTTTTCGTTTTACTAATTCAAATAAGGCATATAAATTTCATACAGATCGGATGATAACTTTTGTCGTTCGAACGTTCACAAAGTTCAACAAAGTAAATCAAGGGCCATAACTCTAGACGTAATTGACGGAAATTGCTGACATTCAATAGGCTTCTTCATTTCACTAATTTAAATGATGATTATGAATTTCATACAGATTAGGTGATATCTTTTGTCATTCAAGCGTTTACAAGATTCAACAAAGTTAAAGAAGGGCCATAACTCTAGATGTAATTAACGGAAATTTGCTGAAACTCAATACACTTGTTCGTTTTACTAATTTAAATGATACATATAAATTTCATACAGATCGGATAATAACTTTTGTCGTTTACAAGGTACAACAACGTGAAACAAGGGCCATAACTCACGGCGTAATTAACAGAAATTGCTGAAATTCAATAGACTTCTTCGTTTCACTAATTTAAATGATGCATATCAATTTCAAACAGATCGGATGATAACTGTTTTCATTAGAGCGTTCACAAGATTCAACAAAGTGAAACAAGGGCCATAACTCTAGATGTAATTAATGGAAATTGCTGAAATTCAATAGGCTTCTTTGTTTTACTAATTTAAATGATGCATATAAATTTCATACAGATCGGCTTATAACTTTTGTCGTTAAAGCATTCACAAGGTGCAACAAAGTGAAACAAAGGCCATAACTCCAGAAGAAATTATCGGAAATTGCTGAAATTCAATAGGTTTCTTCATTTTACTAATTTAAATGATGCATATCAATTTCAAACAGATCGGGTGATAACTGTTGTCATTAGAGCGTTCACAAGATTCAACAAAGTGAAACAAGGGCCATAACTCTAGATGTAATTAACTGAAATTGCTGAAATTCAATAGGATTCTTTGTTTTACTAATTTAAATGATGCATATAAATTTCATACAGATCGGTTGATAACTTTTGTCGTTAGAGCGTTCACAAGGTGCAGCAAAGTGAAACAAGGGCCATAACTCCTGAAGATATTAATGGAAATTGCGGAAATTTAATAGGCTTCTTCATTTCACTAATTTAATTAAATGATGCATAACAATTTCATACAGATCGGTTGATAACTTTTGTCATTAGATCGTTCACAAGATTCAACAAATGAAACAGTTGATATATCATAAAATGTTCATTTTGAAAGATTAACGGTTGGTTGGTTTGTAGTGCTTGAAGTTGAATTGCTGATAACACAGACTGTGAAAGATTAAATTTAAGTCTCAAAATATCAAATTTCGGACAACCTTATCCAGCTAACATGTACTCAAATTAATCATTTAACATTAATTAAGAAAATGAAATCAAAATAACAATGGTAGATAATCTCTAGACTTGGATTTAATCATATTAAAAAGATGACGCTGACTTGTTTAAAAGAGTAAAAGTCAAACTGACCATAGATTGGTCATAATGACCATACAAAATCAAAACGATTGTTTAAATATTTGTTACTTAATAAGAATCTATTCGTAAAGGATGTTTCAGTACAATAAAATCTTATCTTATTTAGATAAATTTTGACCACATTTTTGGTCATTTTGAATACAGATTTAAGTTTGGCCATTTTGATTTATGCTTTGTTTTAACAATATCTTGTAAATACTAAATGTAATTGAACCCATTTTGGACTGATATTCTGGATTGATATTTCTTTCAGTGATTCAACTTTCACAATATTGTAGTTTGCAAGAAATTAACAACCCTTCAAATGATGTTCAGAGATTAGGCAGGATCAGTTTGTCTAACACAATATCAAGTTATATGTATATTTCAACAACAATGGCTCTATCTGTAAACCTAAAATATAAATCTTGACGGATACCCACTTCACAAAGCAAATCAACACATTAAACTTAGTTAAATAAAAGGGGACCAATCATTTTAATACACATAATTGTAATGCTTCTTCAAAGTTGTATAAAATTATCTATCAAACAACAGAGGAAATTCTTTAATGAACTGTTTGTAGACAATTTAATTGTGACTAATACTCACATGTTTATTACTTAAAAATTAAATTTGAAATATAAGAATCACTATATATATATTTTACATGTGGACAATGATTAACATGGAGATAAAACTTACATAAATGTTGTCAGATCATCAGATGGCATTTTTATGATGTAATTATCATCAAACCATTATAATGACTCCTCACATTATTTGACATTAATATTGTATTATTACTATTGTCTATATAATAGGATAGAAGACTTAGAAGCTACCTATATTGCGTACATGTATGTAACAATTTTCTTACTACTTTCTGTGACACTATAGGCTTACTAATTACTTACAATTCAAATGGAATTGGACAGAACAGAATGTCTTTGAGTTTTCATTTTTGCTATTATAAAAAATCTCAATCTACAAAATTCAAAAATATTTTTTAGATTGAGATTTTTTTATAATAGCAAAAAAATTAAATTAAGTTATTAATAATTCATTTATTTATCAAAAAATAGAATGTATATCTATTCATAATTTCTATTTATAAATCGATTAAAATAAATTGGCTGTTGAAAGATATTTAACCCACAGAACCCCAACAATAATATTCCTTGATTTTAAGGAATTAAATATTACCTCCAAATGGTGACACTTTAGCACAAGTAACTCCAATATTATGGATCAGAAGAAATAGTAATCCCAATGATAGCAGGAACCAACTCCTGCCATTATCCATTGTGGCACCACTGGTAATGATGAAACACGCACAACGCCGTTGTAATCACGTACAATCACTATAATTCCTTATAATTAATTTCAATTTCCTCTAAGGCCATGTTCTTGTTGTTACGTATATACCTGCAGTAGATTTCACTTGCGGCTGTGTATTTGTAAATCTTTACTGGAAGGAGTTCACGCCAATATATTTACTGTTATCTTCGCACATACTCTATTCATATCATAGCCTCGTGCAGTCGACATCTGTCAAACGCGCTCGGCGTAGTAGTATAACGGCGCAGTTTATTGTTCAATAGGGGCAATGAGTGTTTTGAACAACAAAACGGTTCACTAACAGGCGATGCGGTGAGAAATTTTTATAGTATCTATATTAGTGTGTTTTTACTTGTCTTTGATTATAATCGATTTTATTTAGTCAAAGCATATTATCACCTCGAAATTTTATTTACCCAACCTTGTAATACTGGACTCGCCCGCACGTGCTACATGTTCAACAAGCCGGTGCAGACGGTATTACACAGACTACAACAGGGAATTGATGGCGAAGCTGAATTTTCAGTCGGAGTCCCGTTTCTAACAGTAGACCCCACTGAAGAATAAAATATTCATTTGAGCAAACATTTCGACAGATGTTCAAACTATCAGAAGGGTGGGCCAAGGTTATCTTATCGAAAGTGGTTTCTGTGGCAGGTCGTTTCTGCTTTTAAGAAACAGGTAATGATGTGCGAGTGGCTTCAAGGAACATCGCGATTTCAAAATGCGTTATCGGGCAGTATAACTAAACGCCATCGTTCGTCATGACAATCGAATTTTACAATAGGCTACAACGTTAGAAATCAACATGTGAACTGGTTCTAGTATTTGATATGTTCGTTTGTTTGTGATTTCTGTGTCTTGTCCGTAGATTTGTTTTTGTGTAAATTATGTGAGGTGCAGTCCCCCTGCACTCACTATAGAACCATACAAATGTAAAAACCGCCCACTACACTAGACGGCTAAAACATCTTTTTTTTAAAACTGTAGTAATAAGGGCATAACCTAAACATTTGATTACGAAATACCCATGTATAATGAACCTAACATAAGCCCTACATGTGTACTAAGTTCCAATCCAATATTGTACTTCTGGATGTTTTGTTTGATTCAGTGGTAGTAGATTTTCTTATCCAGCTGCACACAGTTTGGGAATAGGTTGAGATGGTTATTTGTCTAAAAGCCATACATCAGTTGTAGATAGATGAAGAGGAACTGTAACTTGGGTGATATTTGCTGGTCAATAAGAAAAAATTGATATTCTGTAATCTGACTTACAGGGCGTCCAAATACAAATTTTGTCATCCCTTTAACAGATTGTAGCTGTTGGTGGTTGGCGGGAGAGGTCATTGCTAGAATTTTTCATAATTAGAGGACTCAAGAGTTATTTTTGATATATTGCATAAAATTGATTACCTTCATTTTCTTGTTGAAAGTGATACTGCCTGTTAATGTCTTACTACATGACCTCAGTGACTGGTTAATTTACTTATTAAATACTTTGAATAAATGTATACCCATGTGTTAAACGTGTGGTAATTTAAATTACCATAAATAGATAGTAGTTAGGTCTCTGCTAGTAAGTACAGGGGGTCACAAGCTGAAAATGCCACTGGGGCCTAATATGCATTTTGTATTGCAGAATGGTAGATAGATATAATTATTTGCCACAAACATACACAACATAATAAATAAAATCATTTGGGGGCCACTTTAATGTTAGAGGCCATTGCTACAACCCAGGCAGCTCCCCCCCAACCCTTTAATCCGAGCCAGAGTAAGTAATATCTGAATATATATTTCTGTCAAGCAAGTAAACTCGTCTATTTCAATTATGTGTTTGTCTGTAGCTGAGGCAAAACGATCCCTTCCCAAGTCCAGTAGTTAAGTATTTGGCTGCAGCCTTTTAACAACTCTTTTTTATATGCCCACATTTTAATGTGGACGTATATATTGTCGTCTCACCTGTCTATCCATCCGTTCTATCACATTTTGTTTGTGGACAATCTGCAAGTCACAATTTTTATCTGATTTTGATGAAACTTAAAATATAGGTTTATATGCCAAAACGTGTTTATATCCAAAAGATCTCGGGTCATTTCGATATTGGCATGTATCGGATCGTAACTTCCTGGATTATGGCCCCTGATTGTACGAAAAATCTAGAGCTCACAATTTTTATCCGAAACATAAAACGTATGTAACCTAAAGATCTCGGTTCCTTTCGATATTGACACATGTCAAATGGTAACATCCTGGATAATGACCCATGATTGTACGAAAAATCTTTTTTTTTTTGTAGCTTGTGTCCAACTCTTGCAAAATGTGGATGTATCTTGCATGGCAACCCTTTGTTGTCCCCCGCCTTTCGAAGAAAGCTGGGGGACTATTAAAATGGGTTCGTTTGTCTGTCCGTCTGTCTGTCTGTCCGTCCGTCCGTCAATCTGTCTGTCTGTCCGTCACATTTTTTGGTACACAATAACTCTCTTTCTAATTGAGCTAGAATGTTCAAACTTGGTGTAGGTGTTTATTAGGTCAATGCCTTGATGGAGTTTGAAGATGAGTATTTTCTGCTTAGAGTAAGCAGAGATAAGCAATTTGATTGGTTGATGTTTTGGGACACGATAACTTTAGTTCTAATTAAGTGAGAGTGATGAAACTTGGTGTATAGTTTCATTACATCATAACCTTGACTAATTTCGATAATGAGCATTTTCTGCTCCGGGTAAGCTGAGCGATAAGCAATTTGATTGGCCGAGACTTTGGAACACAACCCTCCTTCTAATTGAGCTAGAACGTTCAAACCTGGTGTAGGTGTTTATTAGGCAAATGCCTTGATGGAGTTCGAAGATGAGCATTTTCTGTAGGGTAAGCAGAGATAAGCAATTTGATTGATTGATGCTTTGGGACACGATAACTTTAGTTCTAATGAAGTGAGAGTGATGAAATTTGGTGTATAGTTTCATTACATCAATACCTTGACTAAGTTCGATAATGAGCATTTTCTGCTGAGGGTAAGCTGAGCGATAAACAATTTGATTGGTCGAGACTTTGGAATACAATAAATCTCCTTATAATTGAGTAGGATGTTTCAAACTTGGTGTAGGTGTTTATTAGTCGAATGCCTTGATGGAGTTTGAAGATGAGCATTTTCTGCTTAGGGTAAGCAAAGATAAGCAATCTGATTGGTTGATGCTTTGGGGCCAATAACTTTGGTTTTAATTAAGTGAGTGTGATGAAACTCTGAGTATAGATTCATTATGTCATTACCTTGACTAAGTTTGATGATGAGAATTTTCTGCTTAGGCTAAGGATCGATAAGCAATTTGATTGGTCAAGACTTTGGAACATAACAATTCTGCTTTTAATTGAGGTAGAATGTTTAAACTTGATGTTGATGTTCATTAGATGAATGTCTTGACTGAGTTCAATGATTAACATTTGGAGCTAAAGCTAAACAGAGCTAAGCAATTTCATTGGTCGATGCTTTGGGACAAGATAATGAACATCTTAATAGAGAGTGATGTAACTTAGTGTATAGTTGATAATCAGTTTGATTGCTTGATACTTTTGAAAAAAATAAATGTGCGATTATTTAATATGTGTCATCTATTTATTTTGGGATTTCAGTGGGGGACATCAGCCTCACTGTTGGCTTGTTTATATTTGTTTTATTCCTCAGACACATTTTCTTGCCACGCCAATGTGTAGAAGTCAATATTCTCGAATTGATGACTGTTGTACTTCGGAGTGGCATGTACATACGTATGTTCTGAGGTTTGAAACTCTTCATCTATGTTAAAGGAGCTAAATCGGTAATATTTGGGACGTAAAAATCGACAGAAATAGGTCACAACGCATATAATAATGTAATATAAATGTATATAAACTAATTTACATTCAATCGTTTATGTTTTTACTCTAATTTCAATTCAGTTATGTTCGGCGAAATACGCCAAAAGACCAATCGAATGGCAAACTCTAGCGCATGGTTATTCCAGTCTACACCGATAGTATTTATTGTGCATGCTCTCCAAATAAAATTATGATGTCACCGTTTGACATGACTTGTGGAACATGTCTAGCCTCGTTCTTCGAGTCCCTTGCTGAAATGCAATATGGTACATGATTCGTGTACCAATGGTAAAATAATTATTTTGCCTTAAATATTGGATATCAGAAGCCCACCTAAAGGATTAAATAAAGCCTAATAGTTATTTTCCTTATTTTATATTTAAAAATAAGGTGTTAAGATGTTCTCTAAAGGATTAAATAAAAGAAACCTAGGTTGGATACCAACTTGACCTTCAAGTTAATGTGTTTTCTTTAATTACTGACTGACATTGTAAGATAGAAGTAAATGACATGTTAGAATTGATCATTTTGATAATATTTGAATATACTATTTAATGTGTATGGACTGAAAGTCTATATTTGTCTTTTAGTCTGGAATATTGTGCCTTTAGAAAAGGCAATAAAAGGCTTATATGTATGTATTTTGAAGAGATATTTAGAAGAAAATCCTTGATTATTAAAAATGAAAATCATCAATTTCCCATTTGATCACCACTTATGAAAACTACTATGGATAAATGGATATTTATGAAATATTCAACAGTGTTAAATATGTAATTATTGGTTGATACATTTTTTATTTTATATAGATGTTTTGACCATATACCATGTGCCTTCTTTGATAGACATTTAGTGTTTGAACATATTAACACAAGGTAAAATTTTATGGATACACAATTACTGAGTTTAATACTAGGCAACGTTTTGACGAGGATACTCTCATCTTTATCAAGCAAATGATAAAAATATTTAAGTGAAATGTAGACAAATATGTACAGAATAGGCAAAAAAAATAACAATTAAATACAATTAAAACTTAACACCTTTGATTCAGTTCAGTTCATATTTAACACTGTTGGGAAACCAATTAACCTACGCCATAGATAAACAATAATTAAAAGATAATGTGTGCAGGGGGGTATGATTACAAGAGCAATCGATAATGCAAGGGAAACCATAAATATATTATTTCAATAAACTGAAAATGGTGAACGATAAAATCACTGACAGTATAGATCAAAAATAGGAGTCAATATATAATTTGATAAGCCCTTGGTATAAAGAGCCCCACATAATGGTTTAACATGGGTTTGATACATTTTATATTGATGGCTTCTGAAGCTTCCTGGTTTTCTCCTGTGGTGATTTACTGCAAGGGTTCTTGTTTGGTCCCGTATGGTGTCCATTGTTATTGATATGCTCCGCTACATCCGAAGGATTGATGAGGCGAGGGACTTTTATTTGTACATCAAGGGAACACTTCGTTTCACCTACATATTCTTTGTTGCAAGTTATTTCATATATAATCCTTTGGGCTGTGGGGGTGGTTTTCAATGCTTTACTATTAGCTTTTAATATATTCTGAATGGTTCTACCACTTGCGAAGGTGACATCTATGCCCACTTTTTGTTTCATCAAACTTCTAATCTGGTGCAAGATTAAATAGTTATTCTGATGCCAGAGTGGTCAGTCTTTGGCTTTCCAGGCTTGGTGAAGGCGATGACATCATTCACCAGTTGGGTGTGGTAACTGTTATTATTTATGAATACATTCTTTAAATGTTCTAATTCAGCAGATAAACTTTCTTCGTCACATATCTTGGTGGCGCATCTTGTTAAAGTGGTGATAAATTTCTTCATTTTATGTGAATGATTTGATTTAAAGTGAATGTATTGATCAGTGTGAGTTAGTTTCCTATAAACAGTCGTGGAGAATTGGTTATCAGTTTTAGTCATTAAGACATCAAGAAATGGGAGACTGTCATCTATTTTGGTTTCCATTGTGAAGTTTATCCTGATTTGTCCACTGTTTAGATGTTGGAGTAGCGTTTCTGGGTTGTCGTTTTGGTTGACAATCACAAATGTATCATCACCTTTCCTGTACCAGTAAAATGGTTTGATTGGGGATTCCTGTAATGCATCTGTTTCAAAACTGGTCATAAATACTTCTGACATTAGTGGTGACAGTGGGTTACCTATAGGTTGGCCATGTATTTGTTGATAATATTCATCACCCCAAAAAGTATGTTTTTATACGCCCACATTTTCATGTGGACGTATTATGCCGTCGCCCATGATTGTATTTGTTGATAATATTCATCACCCCAAAAAGTATGTTTTTATACGCCCACATTTTCATGTGGACGTATTATGCCGTCGCCCCTGTCCGTCCGGACGTCTGGACGTCTGTCCGTCCACAATTTGTTTGTGGACACTCTAGATCACCGTTAGACTCTAAGGACGACTGAGTTCGAATTTCGTGAAAATCGGCCCAAAATTGACAGACAAAATGGCTGCCGTTCGTTCTCAAATAGCGTAAGAATATGGTATATCAAGGTTGTGGACCCTATAGAGATCACAATTTTTATCCGATTTTGTTGAAACTTGAAATGTAAGTTTTGAACCCAAAGATTTCGGTTCCTTTCGATATTCGCGCATATCGGACCATAACTTCCTAAATTATGGCCCCTGATTGTACGAAAAATCGCGTTATAATTTTTATCCGATTTATAAAAACGTATTATTATATCACCGTTACACCCTAAGGACGACCGAGTTCGAATTTCGTGAAAATCTACCCAAAATTGACAGACAAAATGGCCGCCGTTCGTTCTCAAATAGCGTAAAAATACGGTATATCAAGGTTGTGGACCCTATAGACGTCATAATTTTAATCCGATTTTGTTGAAACTTGAAATGTAAGTTTATTCGCGCATATTGAATTGTAATTTCCTGAATTATGGCCCTTGATAGTAGGAAAAATCACTTTCTTGTTAGCTTGTTCTCTATCCATCTCTCAAAAATGTGGGCGTATCCTGCCTGGCAGCCGCTGGTTTCAATTTACCATGAATTTTCACTCCACCATAATAGGAGGAAGTATATGGTACCGTTAACATGTACTATTTTAATATTGTGAAATTTATGGAAAAGATTGTTTGCATTTCTTGAATTTTAAACACCCACATTTAATTCTGGTCATGTTTTGATCAGTCGGCCTGTTAGTCATCCACAATTCCTTTTCGATGCTATAGCTGCTAAGTTATCATCCCATTGACTGAAATTCATAAACAATGTTTATGTCTGTGAGCCAAATAAGCCTAGTAGTTTTTCACAATTTCCGATGATTACATTTCTCTAAAGGGTAAAGTAATTACCCCATTGACTTTAGATTTATAGACAGTGATTGTGTCCATGAAAATAAGAATGCTTAATAGTTTTCAAATGATTACTTTCAGAGTTATTGCCCATGATCTCTTTGAAAGGTCTTATAAGCACTCTAGAGGCTAAAGTTATACAAATGTGACAAACTTTATGGCCTGCTCGAATTGAGGGTATGTGGTTTGTTGCCTGGCAATCAATTTTCTACTTATTATAAATTTTGAGTTAAAAGTCCTTATTTGTTTAACCACACCTTATGAATTTGACATATGTGGATCATGATTTTTGTCTTCAAAGAGTAATTTATATATTTTACCCCAAAATGGTGATAGCAATTAGGTTTAGTAAGCAGATAGTTTTGTTATATTGTTATTTGTCTATGCTGTACACTTGAATGATGTGTTATTTCCCCGATAGGGTCATCTTTAGGAGGCTAAAACAATAGAAGATGATGGCAGAGGTTCACAACATTGACCCCCTTATCTTCCTAATGGGCCATATGGCAAGAAAAACGGACATTGTTAGGCAAACCCACATTCCATGGTTTTATAGAGAAAGGAATAAGACACAATTAGTACTAATGTGGTGGTATTGTAAATGCAAGGTAATTTTATTTTTTTATTGTTTGAGCTGATATCTTTTACATTTATGATGCTTATTAATCTTTAAGAAAAATGTAATATTGTGTACAGATATTAAATGATCTTACAGTGTTGGCCATGGTCAAAATAAATGCACCATTTTGTTATTGTCATTGGCACATTGTTCTTGACACGCATTTAGATTAAAAGTAGAAGTTAATTTTTTAATGTTACTATTGCTTGATTTTTACTATTCATCCTTTGGATTTTGTTCATGACAATCAGTTAGGATTGTTAATAGTACTTCTGTTACTTTTTTTATAATCATGGATATTTTCAATTGTTTTCAGAAACTTGAATGGAGAAAGTTTTATATCTGATATTGGGTTTAATCTTATTAGACACTATAACACAAGATGGCTGTTGTGCATCGGAAAGGTCATCTGAAGATTTTAGCACCAGGGAGGGCAGAAGACTTATGGAAGAAACAACTAGATTCTCTAACAAGGAGTTGGATGTTTTATTTGTTATTGATCGTTCTAAGAGTATATCTATAAGAGGATGGCAAAACATCATCAATTTTATTTATTCACTTCTTGAACATTTTACAGTAAGCCGTCACAATACAAGAATTGCTGTTATTACGTTCAGCACAAATGCATCAATTGATATCAATGATTTAGAAGATGGAAAAGAAAATAAATGTTCATTAATACAGAAATTTAAGAAACGTCTTAGAATTAAAATTCCTTTTGGATATACATCAACAAATGAAGGTTTGGAGAAAGCAATCAAAGTTTTATACAAATCTCGTTTTTCTGCTAAAAAGATTGTCATAGTTATGACAGATGGCAGATCAAACCTTGGTCCACCCCCAATCAGAGCTTCGCTAGAAATGAGGTCTTTGCGCTGGAATGCCTCATGGAATGAAAAGAAAAATGGCCCACAGTTGGAAATATTTGCATTTGGTGTTCATGATGTAGATATGATGGAACTACAGACAATTGCTTCACCATTACCAAACCATACTTTCCATATTCAACATTTTTCACAGTTTCAACAAATGGCTAAAAATATTCACAGAGGTAAATAAAAGTAGTCCTACATTGGGTTGTTGGGCTTGAATATATATATGGAAGGAGTAAGGACAAGTCAAAGTTATCAGTAATGTTAGAATGACATTTTCATCGGTCAAATTTAATTACAAACAGTAATTTGATAATGATAATGTTTACAATTACCTGTTGATTGAAATATTTCCTTCATTTTAGATGAGCAGAAAGAAACGTGGGAATTGGTAGATAAACCGACATGTGATGAAGAATGTAGTAAAAATGCTGTTTGTATGTGTGCTACTAAATCAGGACAATATCTGTGTGTTTGTAATGAAGGCTATGAAGGTGATGGTCGGGACTGTAAAGGTATTTTGCTATCCTTTGAAGAATTATTAATTAGATTTTTTTAAAAAATTTTAATGAAGAAATATTATCATTGAATTACCATGAAAGCATAATCTCAGAAAACTAGTCTTTATTGAAATGTAATATTTTAGACAATGATAATTGTGCACATAATAAATAAATTTCAGATAACTGTATGTGTACACATTATTAATTAAGCTCGGGAGTTAAAGTTTTAAAAAGAAATATGTTTCTAGCCTGTGCCGGCTACACATATCCAAACCAATAGATGTTAGAAAATGTTACAAACTATTGTATTTAATTATTTTTGTAGCATGTGATATAGGTTTCTATAAAGATTCATCTGTACCTTATTCTTGCTGGCCATGTCCTGACAATATGACAACATTATATACTGGTGCTACAGCTAGATCTAATTGTGTATGTAAATTAGGTTATTATAAAGATGGCAGCAATTGTTCTTGTAAGTAGGCTATTTTACATATTTATCATTTTGATTTTATGCAGACAATTTATTGACTTGTTTGTGAAATAATGTCTATGCACAAATTGACTGTGGGTGCTAATGCCAATGGTTCGGTACAAATTTATGAGGCTATATAGACTATAATATACCCATGTTCAGTAAGTAGACTGGATCTCCATTTGTAGTAAGTAAAGATGTTTTGTAGTAAAGTTAAAGAAACAATATTTTATTACATTTTCATTAATTAAAGACATTTAAATGACAATATTAGCTATTTGTAATTTTAGATAGAGTATGTTCTGATTTGCCTGAAATTAGAAATGGTAACAGATTTCATGTTGATGGTCAAGTTCATGATGAGGTCATACCAAGTGTTCAGCCATGTTTAAATACACCTGGCACATCTTGTCATTATAGATGTAATACTGGTTATAGACTTTCTGGACATCCTGGACTAGTTTGTCAAGCAGATGGTAACTGGAATGGTAAAGTGCCAGAGTGTAAAAGTATGTGAATTTAATATTGTTTTGTACAATAACAACTAATTAAACTATACTATAATTTTTTAAACTTTTAAGAAAAAAATAATAATAAATATTACAAAAGACAAACTGACTTAAATTTAATTGTTTGGAATTATTAAATATTTCAGTTGTTGATTGTAAGACTTTAGAATATCATGATGAAGCTGTAGATCATGGTAGTGTTGAATATGTAAATATTACCACAACTTATCAATCTGTCCTCACTACAACATGTGATAGAGGGTGGAGAATTTTTGGTGACATTAATAGATATTGTACAGAATTTGGATTCTGGTCTGGTACTAGAGCTACATGTGTTGGTATGTACAAGTTTCAGTAAGGATTCACATTTCTGGTTGAGTTAGGTTCTGTGTATAATTTCAATGCCTGTCTCACATGAAATTTATGCTGTTATATTTCTTATTTTATTTCGAAAGTCAATCATGTTCCCAATATCTATCTCAGGGAATCAATGATGTTAGGAGTTCATGTAGATGTGTAATTGGGATTCATGAATGGATTGGATTAATATTAATTAGTCAGACTTGTCATTCATTTTCAATGAGATATTATCTTTCTTCACTTTCAGAAGCAAAATGCCCAGCCCTACAGCTTGGTCTAGGTATGACAGTATTTCCAAGCAATTGTTCTTCTGTAGCTACATATCCAGGAACTATTTGTCAGTTTCAGTGTCGCCATGGTTTTAAGCTTGAAGGCCAGGGTTTTAAGACATGTAGTTCATCAGGTACCTGGTTAGGATCCACAGTCGCAAATTGTAAAGGTAAGACTAAATCATTAGATACAATATGTAAAGTTGCATATATCTTCCATATTTGTTATAAAATGAGCTATTAATACTATGAATAATATAGAAACCACCTACACCAGTTGTTGGCAATTTTCTAAGGGTGATCATGCTATAAATTTTGAGATTAAAAAAGTCCATTACCGATTGTATCTACTGTTGCAATTTAATTTGTTTCAGACATTGAATCACCAATCATAAAATGTCCTGAAGATCTCACTTTACCGGTCTCTGAATCTAACTTTGGTGTGGTGTTCTGGAAAAATCAGCAACCAGAAACAAATGATAATTCAGGGGAAACAACTATAATTATTAGTGGTGTAAAAGAGAACCCAGCTCATATGACAGTTGGTTATCACTTTATCAAATATACAGTAGAAGACAGAGCAGGCAATAGAAACAGTTGTACAAGACAAATACACATTGTTGGTGAGTTTAATTTGATTAACTATTTATTTGAATTTTAAAAATCTTGACGTTTTTATTTATTCGCTCACATTTTTATTATATATTGTCGTCGTCGCCCCTTTCCTTCCGTCAATCCACAATTGTTTGTGGACACTCTGCAGGTCATATAGGTTGAAATATAGGTTTTTCTCCCCAAAGATCTTGGTTCCTTTCGATATTGGCATGTATCGGACCATACTTCATGGATTATGGCCCCTGATTGTACGAAAAATTACGTTTTTAGCTTGTGGACCCTATAGAGGTCACAATTTTTATCTGATTTTGTTGAAATTTGAAATGTAAGTTTATAACCCTTTCGATATTTGCACATATCGGACCGTAACTTCCTGAATTATGGCCCCTGATTGTACGAGAAATCACTTTATTTTAGCTTGTCGACCATATGGAGGTCACAATTTTATTCCGATTTAAAAAAAACGTTTAAATATATCACCGTTGCACCTTAATGAAGAAAACTGCCAGACTAAATGGCCGCCCCTCTACGCAAATAGTGTAAACATCTGGTATATCAAGGTTGTGGTGTCCACAATGTGGACCCTCTAGAAGTCACAATTTTGATCTGATTTTAATGAAACTTGAAATACATGTTTATAACCCACAGATCTTGGTTCCTTTTGATATTTGCGCATATGAGATCGTAACTTCCTGAATTATGGCCCTTTTAACTTGTGGTCCCTCTAGAGTTCACATTTAAATAACCATGTGAATATATCACCGTTACATCGTAATGATGGTTGTGTTCAAATTTTGTGAAAATCGGACCAAAACTGACAGACAAAAAATAGTGTAATAGTGGAAAAATATAGTATATCGAGGTTGTGGACACTTTAGGGGTCACAATTTTCACCCGATTTTGATGAAACTTGAAATGCATGTTTATAACCCAAAGATCTTGGTTCCTTTCGATATTCGCGCATATCGGTTCATAACTTCCTGAATTATGGCCTCTCAAGAGGTCACAATTATTATCTGATTTAAAAAACTGTACGAATATGTCACCGTTACACCGTATTGTTGGTGGAGTTTGAATTTCATGAAAATCGGACCAAAACTGCCGTTCCCCCTGTACGCAAATAGTGTAAACATCTGGTATATCAAGTTTGTGGACCCTCAAGAGGTCACAATTTTGATCCAATTTTAATGAAACTTGAAATGCATGTTTATAACCCAAATATCTTGGTTCCTGTCGATATTCGCGTATATCTGATCGTACCTTTCTGAATTATGGCCCTTGATGTTACGGAAAATCGCTTTTTGTTTAGCTTGTTCTCTATTCATCTCTTACAAAATGTGGGCGTATCCTGCCTGGCGGCCGCTTGTTTAGACATACATTGTCATCACCCCTGTCCGTCTGGACGCCTATCCTTACGTCCGTGCACAATTTGTTTGTGGACAAGTCTACAGGTCACAATTTTTATCCGATTTTGACGAAACTTGTAATATAGGTTTATCTCCAAAAGATCTCAGTTCCTTTCAATATTGGCCTTTAATGGACCGTAACTTTATGGATTATGGCCCCTGGTTGTACGAAAAATTGTGTTTTTTAGCATGTGGACACTCCAGAGGTTTTAATTTTTATCTGATTTAAAAAAACGTTCAAATATATCACTGTTACACCATAATGATGGTTGAGTTCGAATTTCATAAAAATATGACCAACAAAATGGCCGCTCCATGTACACAAAGAGTGTTAAAGTATGTATGGACCCTCTAGAGGTCACAATTTTGATCTGATTTTGATGAAACTTAAAATATATCTTTATACCCTAAAGATCTGGGTTCCTTTTGATACTTGCGCATATCGAATCATAATTTCCTGGATTATGGCCCCAAACTTTACATAAAATCACCTTTTTTTAAAAACTTGTTCTCTGTCCATCTCTTGCAAAATGTGGGCGTATCTTGCCTAACAACCGCTGGTTTTGTGTGTCGTTCTCATGTACTTACTATTATTTATATCATTTTATCGGATCTTGTTTCAGTTCTAGTTAATGAATGAAAAAACAGGTAAGGGGGATATATAATAACCTCTTTAAAAAAATTTTTAATTTCTCAGGTAGAACTGTAAGTGTTGAATCTTGTCCAACCAATGTCACTGATCTGTCTGTGAGTGGAATGAAAAAAACAGTATATTGGAATACACCAGTATTTGTAGATAATAATGGCAGAAACGTAGCTCATCAGTGTTCTAGAAACAGTGGTTCTACATTTTTGATAGGATCATATAATGTCATATGTATAGTTAAACCTGAAGAAAGACTTCATAATCCACCTAGTTGTTCATTCTCTATATTATTACAAAGTAAGTAAAAATTGAATTATTTTTAACTGTATGTATTGAAATGTGGGACAAAATTGGAACAAAGTGTGACTAAATATTTCTATATATTACTTAGTTGTCGTGATATTTTGTTTCACAAAATGGGAAATACTGTTTATAACATTGTGAATTCCGTTTTTGTCAACCACCTTTCAAAAAAAAGCAGGGGACTATTTAAATGGGTTCATCTGTCTGTCTGTCGTCTGTCCATCACACTTTTTGGGACACAACAACTCTACTTCTAATTAATTGAGCTAGAATTTTCAAACTTGGTGTACGTGTTTATTAGGTGAATGCCTTGACTGAGTTTAACGATGAGCATTTTCTGCTTAGGCTAAGCAGAGATATGCAGTTTGATTGGTCGATTCTTTGGGACACAACAACTTTGCTTTGCTTCTAGTTAGGTCAGAGTGATGAAACTTGGCATATAGTTTCTATACATCAATACCTTGACTAAGTTTGATAATGAGCATTTTTGGCTCGGGTTAAACAGAGGGATAATCAATTTGATTGGTTGAGACTTGGAGCTGGATAACTTTGATTCTAATTCAGTGATTGATTCTAATTGTGAGAGAATGGTGAAACTTAATATATATCATTACATCAATATCTTAACTAATTAGATAATGAACATTTTGTGCTTTGATGTTTTGGGACATGATAACTTTGATTCTAATAAATTGAGAGTGGTGAAACTTGGAGTATAGTTTCAGTACATCAGACTCCGAGTATCTGTACATCAATACCTTGACTATGTTCAATGATGAGCAATTTGATTAGTCAAGACTTTGGAGCTCGACAACTTTGTTTCTTATTGAATGAGTGCTCACAATAAGCACTGATCAATTGTGTGTCATCTAGTTACTTTTTCAATTTGGCAGGGGACATCGTGGTGCAGGGGGCAACTACAGATCGATTTACGGGAAATCAATTTACCAGGAATTCCCTCTTAGTTATTAAAATGAGGCAACCAGAATTTTAACGCAATTCCGCATATTTGCTTATCAAGAAACTAAATCCAAGTTTTTATAAATTTATAGCTTTTCCAAGATTTTCTGTTTCAGATTGTAAATTCCCTTTCAAATGCCAAATTTTCTGATTTACGCAGAAAATCATCAGCACGGACTACTGGTACTGCAATTACACATGGTCTTAGTCTGGTGTCATAATAGCAGCACCACCATTTGCATTGGAATGCCATGAATACCTCATGAATGTCCAGTTTTAGTATATTTAAAATTTGTTTACAGGAAAGAAATGTGATGTTCCCCCAGCTCCATTACATGGTAGTGTTACATGTAATTCTGGTACTGATGTACTTACGGTCTGTTCTGTAAAATGTAACAATGGATATGATTTCTTTAACACTCCACAGATTCACTACAAATGTGATCTTTCTGGAAACTGGATATTAAGAACTCCAGGACAGTTCTGGCCTGATTGTTCTAGTAAGTAGTTTGGGCAATTTATTTTTTGTCTAGTATTTTCAAGAAATTCTTTTATTAGTCACTTGTTATTGATTGGAAATTTGATCTGTATGGATGAACACCATCTATGTTCGAATGGGGAAATTTGATTTATTACATTCATGTTGATTATTTTTAGGAAGTTATCACCCTAGAAGAGCAAAGATGAAAGGTCTTGCTGAGTTTTTCTACTATTCAGGTAGATGTGAGAGAAACAAAGATAGAATTGAGAGGCAATTCAAGAATTTGGTTCAGAAATTTGCTTGGGATATATGTGGTGAAAATTCTTGTAATATTAGGAATATAACAGTGAAATGTGGCATGGATTCGCGGAAAAGAAGAAGTGCTAATAAACTAAGTACCCCAGAACAAGGTATTGGGGATCTTCTAAATCCATCCAGTCCATTCATTGACTTGGATACAAGTTCTGATGATAAAGACATAACAGATTATAAAGTTTTGGACATAAGAGCCAGTGATGCTGAAGAGTCCTTACATTATAAAAGAAAAACCGATATAGTTTCCAAACCTGAAAATGAAGTAAGTGACTATGTGACAATGTTTACATCACCAAGGACCAGATCGGTAACATCAAGCCCAAAGATAGATAAGCCTACGGCAAATTTTGAGAATGGTATAACATCACCTGCAGTATTTAAAACAGACATAGTAAAACAGAAAGATTTCACAACTGTTTCTGAAGATAATAGCTTTGAAAGTGAAACAATGATGGGAAATGTAGAAACCCTGAAAGATGTAGAGATTGGGACTACTTTAATAGAATCTATTTTTACCACACCATCATATTTTGATTTGAGTAAACTTCTGATACAATTTGAGGTGCAAGCAGAACTAAATTTGACTTATATAACACATCATGATTTAGAAACATTGGTTGATTCTCTGTGGGATGTTTTTGACAATTTAAAGGTAGAAAATATAACATTAGAACAGTCAGATGGAAATAATATGATATTGTACTCAGAGAAAATGGAGTTTGGGGATCCAGCCATAGGTGATTGTTTAGAAGGATATTTGACAGTTGAATCTTCTTGGTTTAAACACTGTGGTGAGTATAGGGCTAATTTGCATAGTTTTTTTCATTAACCCGTTAAGCATGATGTTTTTAAAACGTTAACTACCCCCTGTTGGTTAATTAATTTGACGAAGTGACGAAGAACTATGTACTATATTCTAAGAATAGATTGGAGAAAATACCTCCAAGGCGTTATATTACGCCCTACACACAGTGAGTGGCAGTTGTCCAGGACGTAATATAACGTCCGACACATGCTGCGATCGTAGGGTTATTCCCAAGGGATTCCCCCAAGTGACAAACTATGTTCTAAGAATAGGTTGGGGAAAATACCTCCAAGGCGTTATATTACGCCCTGCACACAGTGAGTGGCAGTTGTCCAGGACGTTATATAACGACCTACGCACTTAACGTGTTAAAGCACACACGAATGCATGAGTGCATTGTATCAATTTCATTTCATTACATCCCTATCACAATTTAAATATATGTCCACTTTTTTGGAATTTGTAGCATAAGTTAGTGACAGTTTTTCTGGATGGTGGGATTGATTTGAAAGTTTGTTACAGCGGGATCCCTAAGTAAGCACTAATCTTTAAATATTTTACAGTCGGATGTCCAAGAGGAACAAGGTTATTAAAAAATTTGTGTGTTCCATGTGATATTGGATATTATCAAGATAAAGAGGCACAGATACAGTGTATATGTTGTCCTTTGAATACTACCACTATAAAGGTTGGTTCTACAAACATTACAGATTGTACAGGTAGGTATTATAAACCAATTATCAGAATATGATAATCATTTTCATAATGAAAGTTTAGCACAGGGTTTAGCAGATATCTATTGTGTCTTCAAGGACCTTTAAATTGGTAGGTGACATATGTAATTATATTATCAAATGGCAAAGATACTCAGCTTCAGATTTCATATACACTGTAGTATTATTTTAAAGAAAAATGTGATTAAAAATTACTGAAATATAGTCTGATTCTTCAGAAACCAAAAATAGCAAATTTTGTGTCTTTCTAAAAAAAATTAAAAAAAAGAAATCTGCAAAAAGAATTTTTATTTTATGTGCAAATATATCTTATACTCTTCAAAAAAGTAGGGGATATTCCGAAACAATACAAAACTGCGGAAATGCACTGCTGTTTTTATTGGAGGTACGGTAACCAGTGTATGTTAATAACAGACCAGTTGCCTACACATGAACATAAACAGTTCATATGGGCGGCTAATCTGACGGCCCAATTTCACTCGCAAAGAGATACAACGTCAAAAGTGAAAATGGATGTTTTTGTTTTTTGTCTTAATAATGAGTAATTCCTCCACCAATCCTCAGACATTCAGCAATTCGTCGTGGCATGCCCCTAATCAACCGTCCAATCACGATTTGGGGCAATCTGACCCACTCCTCTTGCAGTGCCACGGCCAATTCTTGCAGTGTTGTCGGTTGACGTTGGCGTTGACGAACACGTCTCCCGATCAATTTCAACGTAACACACTAAATCAAAGATACGCTAAACAGTAAATCTTATGCAAGAACCGATCGGAAAGCAAACTGATAGATAAACTAGCACGTGGCAGTTTTCATCAACCCTTCCTTGAAGTGTCAAATTTGACAATGAACCCCTCTCACGTGTATGGCGCTATTGCGTGTCGCATGTGCAGCTCAGTGGTTCTGTTGGAGTAACAAGTTCTTCACCTGTGAACATACTCTCAAAGCATTCCAAGTGTCCATGACCATTTATCATATCATAACATAGGTATTTGCATTTCAATATCCCCTACTTTTTTTGAAGAGTATATATCCAGAGGTGGTCACACATGAATGTGTACTTTAAAATAATATATTTCTAGAGCAATGTCCACCAGGTAAGATGTCAACTAATGGTTATGAACCATGTTTGTTATGTGATGAGGGATACTATCAAGAAGACAGAGGAGAAAAGTCATGTGACAAATGTGCTAATGATACATCTTCTTCATTCTCTGGTGCGACGAACGTAGGTGATTGTATAGGTACAAGATGAGTTGATTTATTTTTTTGATTTTTAGTTTTAATTTCACATAATGATGTAGCATGTAACTTTTTGTATTATTATACGCCCACATTTTCATGTGGATGTATAATGTCGTTGCCCAGGTCTGTCCACAATTGTTTGTGAACACTCTGCAGGTCAAAATTTTTATACGCCCACATTGAAATGTGGTGGTATGTTGTTGTCGCCCTGTCCGTCCATCAGTCCGGCGGTCCGGCGTCAACAATTGCTTGTGGACGTTCTATAGGCTAAAGTTAATATCCGATTGACTTTAAATTTATACAAAGTGTTAAAGGTTATGAGACGAAGAAGCCTATTGATTTTCAGCGATTTCCGATAATTACTGCCAGAGTTATGGCCCTTGATCACTTTGAAAAATCTTGTGGACGCTCTAGAGGCTAAAGTTAATATCCGATTGACTTTAAATTGATACACAGTGTTTAAGCGGCAATACTATATTCCGGAAAACACAGGAAAACATTGGAAAACAACCGGAAAACACCATTTTATATTGAATAGCGGAAAACACCGGAAAAACACTAAATACCGGAAAACACTCTAAATAGGTAACCTGGAGACTGGCACCCTAAATAGGTAACCGGGAGCCTGGTCCTCTGTGTGCCTGGGTTAGGGTTAGTTTTTTGTTTATAGTATAGCCCTTTAGTGTGTTTTCCAGTATTTAGTGTTTTTCCAGTGTTTTCCGGTATTCAGTATAACATGGTGTTTTCCGGTTGATTTCCAGTGTTTTTCAGTGTTTTACAGTATATAGTATAGCCCGTGTTTAAGGTCATGATGATTTTCAGCTATTTCCGATAATTTTTGCCAGAGTTATGGCCCTCGATCACTCTAGAGGCTAAAGTTAATACCTGATTGACTTCAGATTGATACACAGAGTTTAAGGTCTTGAGACGAACAAGTATATTGATTTTCAATGAATTTTTATGACTTGAACAGCTAAAGTTTCGTATACTAAACATTAGCATGGGGCAGAACAAATTCTAATGAGTTGTTACTCTTAATTAGATTTTAATGTATTATAAATGTTTCATTACCGAAAAAAGTAAAAATATGCGACAACTCTTCTTGACTGCCTGGACGATATAGCTGCTGTGGGCATATGTTTCGTTGCCTGGCAACCTATCTTTATCTGATTTCAATGAAACTTGAAATATAAGTTTATCACCCTAAGATCTCGGTTCCTTTCAATATTGACATGTATCAGACTGTAACTTCATGGATTATGGCCCCTGATTGTACGAAAAATCTCGTTTTTAGTTTGTGAACTCTGTAGAGGTCACAGTTTTTATACGATTTTGATTAAACTTGAAATGTATGTTTATAACCTAAGATCTCAGTTCCTTTCGATATTCACGGATATCGGACCATAACTTCCTGAATTATGGCCCCTGATTGTACGAAAAATCGCGTTTTTAGCTTGTGGTCCCTGTAGAGGTCACAATTTTTATCCGATTTAAAAAATATATGTGAATATATCACCATTACACACTAAGATCTTGGTTCCTTTTGATAATCACAGATACCCGAACTTAACTTCCTGGATTATGGCCCCTGATTGTTTGAAAAATCGCAGTTTTAGCTTGCGGAATCTCTAGAGGTCACAATTTTTTTTCCGATTTTAAAATCCATTTAAATACATCACCATTCGACCATAATGACGGTTGAATTCGATTTTCGGAAAAATCGAAAAGAAACTGCCCAACAAAATGGCCGCTCTTTGTACGCAAATTGTGTAGAAGTGTATAATACAAAGGTTGTGGACCCTCTAGAGGTCACAATTTTTATCCGATTTGGATGAAACTTAAAAGATATCTTTATATCCCAAAGATCTCAGTCCCTTTTGATATTTGCACATTTCAGGCCATAGTTTTCTGGATTATTGCGCATATTCGCGCATATTGAATTGTAATTTCCTGAATTATGGCCCTTGATAGTAGGAAAAATCACTTTCTTTTTAGCTTGTTCTCTATCCATCTCTTGCAAAATGTGGGCGTATCCTGCCTGGCAGCTGCTGGTTTATTTTCCTAAGTTTGGCAGATGTCATATTTATTGTTCAACTCCACCAAAGCAACAGATCAAAAAATTAACTATACATGGTCTTACAGCTGACTTACATTGGGTTCCAACAATTACACTATCAATTTCATGACATTTTTTTAGGTTCAGTATCATGTATATGGATTTCTTACATGCTTGACTATATGTACATTTCAGTTCTGTTCATGAATCAGAAAAGTACTTGCTTTCTGTTCAGCTATTTCCCGAACTAGGATTATAATTATGTTTAATTCTAGAAATATTCATAATCTTCGCATTTCTCTGTTTAGATGTATGTCCTGTTGGAACTTTTAATAAAGTTAATGGTTTGGTACCGTGTGAAATGTGTCCTACTGGAATGTATCAACCTAATTCTAAATCAACCAACTGTTTATACTGTCCAGACAACACAACAACAATCACTACTGGTTCTAGTAAAATTACATACTGTTCAGGTTGGTTATATTCATACAAATACATGTGATAGTTAATATGACAAGATTTTGTTTGTTTTACAACATAATATCCGGAAGGACAGCAGTCTGGAGTAAGGTATGTTTTCTTGTGTTGCATGCTGTAATTTAGCCCAGTCGTCCGGTACAATGGTGAAACATCATGTGGGCTTATCGGCTTCTCTCAGACTTGTTCGAAAGTCATCAGATCGAGCGTCTGGTTTGAAACTCATCGAATCAAGCCTACATTCACTGCATTTTACGTGACTGACATTGATGTGGAATCCCTCGTAGGCATAATCCATGTTGAAGTGTACTCAGATTTTATATATTTAAGAAAACAAACTCAAAATATGAACTGTAAAGAATCGCCTAGCTTAGATTCAATTGGATTAAAAAGAGGCACTGATAGGTGGCACTTGCTTGTTTATATGAGTTAGAGACAAAATTTAAGACAAAAAATAAGGAAACCAATTAAATATTTGGTGTTTAAGATAAAAATTGAGGCCAAATTGCAAACATTTTGACTATTTTGGTTTACATTCGTTTTGAACCTATTTCATTTATTATGTCTGCATATATAGGATGCTGAATTTTGTGAAATGTTCAATTCATTGAACTATTTATGAACTGACATTCCCTTTGGAGAGTCAGCTTTCATAATATTATAATTTTCAAGGGATTCAAAATCCATCAAATGACCCTGGCTGATGTAAATTGGGTATAGGCCTACTTAATGTCATGAAACATCACTTTTGGTCTTTATGATATGAATAAGTTTTACTTTTAACTTTTGACAGATTTTGATCCTTGTGAAAACATAACAGTATTGGGTTGTGAAAATAATGGGACCTGTATCAGTGTTATGGAAGATGATGTTCTCTGCTCATGTTTATCTGGTTTTAATGGTGATAGATGTGAGATTAACATCGATGATTGTTTATCCTCTCCATGTAGAAATAATGCAACATGCATTGATGGAATAAATGACTATTCTTGTACTTGCTCTGAAGGTTTTGAAGGTGACAAACTTGCTCTCCCAAATTTGAGCTTCATAAGCCCAAAATTAAAATATATATTCAATATCAAACACCCAGGACTACCGGTATATGTATTATCGACTTAAATTGTTCTATTTGAAAAGATTGTCTATTTCAAATTGAATAATTCCACTTAATATAAATAATGAAATAATCTATATTAGAACATTACCACACTTGTATTCTATGTACAAAATATGTTAAAGTTGATGAAATAGCTTATCAAACCATAGGATACACACAACAGCAAAATTAGAACTACACGCAAAGAAAAGTGAAGTGATTAATCAGTTTGCTAAATTGTAAAATGTAAGGAAGGAAAAAATATATAGGTTATTCTGTTGACCACATTTAAATTTAAATCATTATTTTTTTTTTCAATCTATAAATAATATGTGCACTTTGCAAATTTATGCATTACAAATTTGTGAATTTGCAAAATGAACATGCATTCAAACATGCTACTTAAGACTATTGTTACTGGATCCAAAAGTCTTTGAGAGAATGTAGACAACAGAGACAACCACTGTTATTGTATATGTGGTTCAGTTTCGTATTTATGGTTTTAATCAACGGCAATGCTTTTTATTTTTTAACTGGGTTGTTCAGCAACATTGTACTTTTAATATAAAAATGAATTTGAAGAAAATGATGTATTTTTATAACAGGAAATGATTGTGGAATTAATGTGGATGTATGTGTGAATAATACCTGTTCTAATGGTGGATCATGTCTAGATCTAGAAGTTGGGTTTGCATGTTATTGTTCATCAGGATTTACGGGACCAACATGTGATTTACCTATTGACAGTTGTTTGTCTAATTTATGTATGCATGGCAACTGTATTAGCCAGACTTCAGGGTATTATTGTTCATGTCGTCAAGGATTTGCAGGTATTTTTAGATTTAGATACAATGATGCAATATATATACAATTGGGTACAGGGTGAAGGGGGGGGGGTAAAAATATAAACTTTATAATGGTGAGTTTAGTCCCATTCACTACAGATCAAATTGTCTAAGTCATTTATTATCATGGTGTTTAGTTCAGGCCTATCTTCACTTCCGGAAGTGGATCCAAGGGGGGTGGGGGCGCAAGGGGTGCACCCCCCCCCCCCCCTAATTTTCGACAGTGCCCTTTTTTACTGCTGAATGAGTCTTTTCTCAGACCCAAATATGTCCGCTCCCAACCCGTTGCAGGGATCCTAAATGAGTCAAACCATCGACTCAAACACACCAGTCTGGTCTAATCAAACGAATTCTTGTTGTTTAGCTGATGGTGCCCTAATCCTATAGAGTGACTATAGACAGACATCATTGATAGCATCTTGTGTAATCGGCGGCGTATACACTCATGCCCATCACCGACGCACACGAGTGCAACTTGATGTAGCATTGTTTCATGTGTGGACAGTACAAAGTACAAGTTACAAGGCTTAAATAGTGAAGTGGCTAGGGAATAGATTTGTCTTTTTTCCCATCATAATGCCTCGCTCACATGTTCAGCTGGCTTTTTTGCTCAATTTTAAAGCTCTATTTCAACGATTTCCGAACGTTTACTTAGACGAAAATATCAGCCAAATAGCTTTTGGAATGGCTACAGATGCAAGGAAATGACAGATAATTTTCTTGCAGGACATCCCCACCCCCCAACCCCCCCCCGGTCTCCGCGGTCAGTGTCCTCATTTTGCCGCGCCCCCCCTTTTAAAAATTCCTAGATCCGCCCCTGACTTCCCATTTAAAACTATAAGCTGTTTCTTACTTATACAATGTATTCCCATTTATGATTTCACATTTTCGCATTGCTTGTACATCTCGAAATTATTGCTAATGCTAATCTTGTTGCAGTTGATTACTGTAGGCTAGTAAAATAAAAGATATTGTGAGATACCTGAAAGCTTTAGATTATATTTTGGTATTAAAATATGATTGTAGGTAAACTATGTGATGTTATTATAAAGTATACATGTTATCAAATACAATGTTACAATGGAGGTGTATGTCAAGTGGATGGGGATACAAGTAGATGTCATTGTTTACCAGGTTTTACAGGTATGATAACGTTTTTAATATCTCAAATGATTATTGAAATGGTAAACCCTTTTAAATTTCTACAATTTCTGATAAATATTATTACAGTTGAGCTATTGTCTTTGATTATGTCTAAGAATCTTGTCCAGTGGCAATGATTTTTTATGCAGTAAAAAGATTTTGCTTTTCAATTATCTAAAGATTTATAATACAACAGCCTTTGTAGACTAACTTAGATGGGGTGGGTGTGTGTTTCATTACCTGGCAACCTATCTAATATAATGTAAGTTTGGGCCCCCCGCCCCCTCTAGCTACCTTAAAGACTTGGCCCTGATTATTATTGCGTGGTAGTCAATTTTTGGTTTGGATTTTATGTTTAACTATATATATGATAGACTGTTTATTATACAGGTATATTTTGTGAAATTAACAACAATGAATGTAAATCATCTCCATGTTTAAATCAAGCTACATGTATAGATTTAGATAATAGATTTTATTGTAAATGTAAAAGTGGATATACAGGACGTTTCTGTCAAGATGGTAAGTCAATTCAGTAAAGACTAATAGTTCTGTTATAGGTAAACATATGTACATGTATAATTATTTCCATTTATTGTTATTAATCATTATTTGTGTTCATGTTTATCTATATTGTACGCTGCCCTTTAATAATAGATGTTTCAGTACAATAAAATCTTATCATATCTTATCTTTATAAATATTTAAGTGTTGTAGATTTTTATGCAAAGTTTACTAACAGACATGTTTATGACTATTTGTGTCTAAATTGTTTCTCTAGATATATCTGAAGATTTTGACCTGATATTTGATGGTAATTTGGATGTTGGTTATGTACGATTACCATCAGTAGTGATACCTAAACTCAAGACTTTTACTGTTACATTCTGGTTTCTTGTATTTCAAACGGATTTTGGTAGTTTATTCTCCTATAATGTAAGATCACAGAATTCTCCAGAAATTTTTGAGGAAGTAATCAAATTTGAAGGTGGACAGGAATCATATGCTGTAAGTGACATTAAGATAATCTAATTACTATAAAGATCATATTCTGTACCAAGCATTATAAGCTTATCAACTATTGACTCACTTATTGATAGCTATTATTATGGGTAATTGTTTTCATTTGTCTACTAGGTTTACTGTTTGACTAATCAGATAGTTGATACAACCTTTGATCTCTTTACCTTGTATTAAACCTGTAACTGTAATGTATCGCTTGAACGATCATGAGCTGTAGTTAATTGTAAAAGGTAATGCCCTTCCCTAGTAATTTTGATTGAAATATTTTGTGCATCCCTACTCAAATTATTATTTTTGAGAAATCCTGCTTTCACAACTGTCCTCATTACTTAAATACTTGCCTAGCCACCAATCAACTGATTGGATTATAAGAATGGCTCATTGTAATTTTGTGCAATATTACACAAATCTTGATTATTTACAGCTATGTATAAATGGTGCATGTGCTGTGAGTACATCATCTCTACCTGCAGGAATTTGGAATCATGTTGTTATAGACTGGTCATCTATACATGGTGCTTGGCATATCTATATCAATGGTACTATCAGATCATCAGGATTTAGACTTGCAGAAGAAAGTATATTGAAATCAAAAGGATCTTTTGTATTGGGTAATTTAAATTTTGTATATAGCATATACATGTATGTGCTTATGTTATATTTTAATAATTCCTGTCATAAAACCTGCTTGGCGTATGTCCATTTCATTTCATTTCATTTTACAAATATCCTATACTAAACACCAAAAAAAAAACCGCCAACAGTTCTCCATTGCCTGTGTCGCCAGTTCTGGTGTTGTTGGGCAAACTGTAGACGTTCACGTCGATGGCGAGGGGTGAGGATCGGTCTACTTCAATGGATGTTTTCTCTGGTGAGACGTCGGCGCACTGTATCGGTACTGATGGGTCTTCCGTGTGTTCCCACTGTCTTACGTGCTGTCTCAGATGCCTGTGTGAATGGATTCTGCACGTGCTGTCGCACAACATGGCGGTCTTGTCGCCTTGTCGTAACCCTTGGTCTACCACATCCGGGATGATCATCCGTGGTGTTGTGGGTCGAAAATGTTGCTGAACCCTGTAGATGGTCCGAACATTAACCTGGAAGTGATTGGCAACGGCTTGGGCAGTGTGGCTAGCGTCGAGTCTTCCAAGCGCCTGGTTCCTCTGAGCTGTCGTGAGTCATGGCATGCTGCTGACGTTGTAGTGTGAATGATTCAACCAGTTCGTTCGTTTCTAGAGTTTTACGTCCACTTCCCGCTAGATTGGGGGGGTGTGTGACATTTTATAGGGCTGGTCCCGGTGAACAGCACGCGCAGCATGAGTTACATGAAAATCATGTAGAACACATTACCATCTCAGAAGTCAGGTTGGGTTCAATTCTGTGTTTGTGAAGGAACCTTATTGCTCAGGTAAAGATGGACATGTGGTCAAAATATACAATAAAAACATTTGGCAAATTTTATGCAATGCATCTATTCAGAGTAACATACCAACCTGAAGTTTCTTTTGCTGCTTAGTAAACATTTTATCAGTTCCAAATAGATTTTAGTGAAAATGTGTTTACTTCCAGGAATTCAAGAAGATTTTTATGGTGGAACACAAAATATCTGGAAATCATATTCTGGTGAACTCAGTAGATTCAATGTTTATGATTATATTCTTAATGAAGATGAAATCGCCAAAGTATCCAATCAGACAAGTTGTTACAATGCTAATGGTAACATTTTGTCATGGACTGATGCATTCTCCGGAATTTCTGGGGAGATAACCATTAGAAATCAATCCTATTGTTTAGGTAAGTTATCTTATTATCTTTAAAATCATTTTGAGTCACAACATGACCTGAAAGTAACAGATTTAAATTTTGTTGTAGTTCTAGGTCTGTATGTCTCATGCTCACTGGCTCAAGTCACATAATCTTTTACCTTATATAGTCTGTGAGAAAAGAGAGAAATGGCCTTTAACGTCCACTCAACACAAACTAGGTCATTTTGGGACTAACACATGGTTCAATTTTATTTCAATCATTCTTTAGCAGTGGGAGCAAACTGGAGGGCCCAGAGAAAACCCACGAGGTGAACAGGCGACCCTACAACTTGTCACGTACAACTAAGGAATCGAAACCACCCTAGATGACTCAATGACAGACCTTATGATACAGCGCGCCCGCGCTAACTATTCAGCCATCCAACCAGTCTTTATAGTCTGTGAGAAATGGTGACTCTCCAGTTACCATACAGTGTAGTACACTGTAATCTGGACAGGGCTCAATATAAATGGTTACCCAATAATGTCTGCTGTTATTTTTGATGAAGAAGAGTGAAAAATAATGCAAAAAATGTTCAATAATTGAATGACTGTGATCAAGGCAGCAGATCCCGGGGGGGATGAGGGGGACGTGTCCCCCCCATTGATTTTCACTGGGGGGGGATTTCTTATGCCTCGTTCCCCCCCCCCCCCCAGAAAAATGCATCGATAAAATTTCCAAAGTCTTATTTTCAGCCCGGGAAATGTAGCCTATATTTCCGAACATGCCGATGTACAATGCCCAGAAATAACATATAACATTATATGAAGTTAAGAAAATTGCTGGAAAATGCATGAAATAATTAATAATTTAAGGATTTACATCACAAATAAATATTTGGTTCCTAGACCGACACACTTACCAAAATTATATCCAAGATTTGCTTCGAGTGTCTCCATGTCAGGCAAATTTACTGATGCACAGATGCAAGTATTGATGTTTACCTTTCATGCCTGATATATATAAAGATTAACTATCATTTATTTGGCACACAAACAAAAATCTATGCAATTTTTACTTTCGGGCAACCAATTCCAGTTTTGCACATGTAAAGTCATTAAACTGCAAGTGACTGAGAGAATAAATAGAACTATTGGCATTAAAATGATTTTTATACCCCCACATTTTCATGTGAACGTATATTGTCGTCGCCTGTGTCCGTCCGTCCGGAGATTTGCTTCGAGAGTCTCTCGGGCAAATCTACTGATGCATAGATGCAAGTATTGATGTTTGCCTTTCATGCTTCGGTTTGTAATAGATTAACTATCATTTATTTAGCACACAAAGAAAATTATGCAATTTTTACATTAGGGCAAAGAATTTCATTTTTGTACTATTGGCATTAAAATGATTTTTATACGCTCACATTTTCATGTGTATATTGTCATCGCTACTTTCTGTCCGTCCATTCAGACGTCTATGTGTCCGTTCACAATTGATTGTGGACACTCTACAAGTCAAAATTTTAATCTGATTTTGACGAAACTTAAAATAGGTTTATATATCCCAAAGATCTCGAACCCTTTTGATATTGGCATTTATCGGACCGCAACTTCATGGATTATGGCTCCTGATTGTACGAAAAATCGCGTTTTTAGCTTGTGGACACTCTCGGGCAAATCTACTGATGCATAGATGCAAGTATTGAAGTTTGCCTTTCATGCTTCGGTTTGTAATAGATTAACTATCATTTATTTAGCACACAAAGAAAATTATGCAATTTTTACATTAGGGCAAAGAATTTCATTTTTGTACTATTGGCATTAAAATGATTTTTATACGCTCACATTTTCATGTGTTTATTGTCATCGCTACTTTCTGTCCGTCCATTCAGACGTCTATGTGTCCGTTCACAATTGATTGTGGACACTCTACAAGTCAAAATTTTAATCTGATTTTGACGAAACTTAAAATAGGTTTATATATCCCAAAGATCTCAGACCCTTTTGATATTGGCATTTATCGGACCGCAACTTCATGGATTATGGCTCCTGATTGTACGAAAAATCGCGTTTTTAGCTTGTGGACACTCTAGACATCACAATTTTTTCAGATTTAGATGAAACATGAAATGTATGTTTATAACCTAAAGATTATGGTACGTTTTAATATTTGTGCATATCGGACTGTAACATCCTGGACTTTTGCCCCTGATTGTACGAAAAATCGCATTTTTAGATTGTGGTCCCTCTAGAGGTCACAATTTTTATACGCTCACATTGAAATGTGGTCGTTTTTTGTTGTTGCCCCCGTCAGTCCAGGGGCAAAAGTTAATATTCGATTGACTTTAAATTTATACACAGTGTTTAGGGTCATGAGAAGAAGAATCCTATTGATTTTCAGCGATTTTCGATAATTACTGTCAGAGTTATAGCCCTTGATCGATTCAAAAAATCTTGTGGACGCTCTAGAGGTCAAAGTTAATATCCGATTGACTTTAAATTTATACACAGTGTTTAAGGTCATGAGACGAAGAAGCCTATTGATTTTCAGCGATTTCCGATAATTACTGCCAGAGTTATGGCCCTTGATCACTTCAAAAAATCTTGTGGACGCTCTAGAGGTCAAAGTTAATATCTGATTGACTTTAAATTTATACACAGTGTATAAGGTCATGAGACAAGGAGCCTATTGATTTTCAGCGATTTCCGATAATTCTTGCCAGAGTTATGGCCCTTGATCACTTTGAAAAATCTTGTGGATGCTCTAGAGGCTAAAGTTAATATCCGATTGACTTTAAATTTATACACAGTGTTTAAGATCTTGAGACGAACAAGTATATTGATTTTCAAAAATCTTTATGACTTAAAAAGCTAAATCCATGATGTTAAAAACTTTATAAAAAGCAAACAAATTCTAATGGTTTTCTGATAATTACTTAATGAGTTGTTATCCTTAATCAGATTTTAATGTATTATAAATGTTTCATTACCGAAAAAAGGAAAAATATGTGACAACTCTTGTTGACTGCCCGGACGATATAGCTGCTGTTGGCGTATGTTTCGTTGCCTGGCAACCTATCTTTATCTAATTTAAAAAACGTTTGAATATATCACTGTTACACCATTAGTATGAATTTCTTAAAAATTAGGTGGCAACTGCCCGACAAATTGTGCTCTCCTTGTATGCTTATAGTGTACAAATATGGAATATCAAGGTTGTGGACCCTCTAGAGGTCACAATTTTTATCCAATTTTGATGAAACATAAAATATTTGTTTATATCCCAAAGATCTCGGTTCCTTTCGCTATTTGTGAATATCGGAATGTTACTTCCTGGATTATAGCCCCTGATTGTTCAAAAATTGTGTTTTTATACGCCCACATTTTCATCGCCCCTCTTCATCCGGACAGCCACAATTGTTTGTGGACACTCTACAGGTCACAATTTTTATTCGACATCAACAAAACTTGAAATATAAGTTTATCTCCCTAAGTTCTCGGTTCCTTTCGATATTGGCATGTATCAGACCGTAACTATATCAAGGTTGTGGGCCCTCTTAGAGATCACAATTTTGATCCGATTTTGATGAAACAATTTTTTTTTGATTTTGATGCAACCTTAAATTTATACTTATATTACAAAGGTCTTCAATTAAAAAATGGATTTCGTTTTCGACAAACGACGAGCACAAAGGACATATCCGATTTTTTAGGGGAATTGGGGGTTTGGAATAGTGACCTGTTTCTATTGATAGAGGGAGAATACCACATCTAAGTTTACTTATAACACCTCTCTGAGCCCTGGTCATGACACAATTAACATAATCCTCAACTTTTAGATCTTTTTTAAACAACCTATACGTTATCAATTTATTTCCATTTGTACAATTTCTATCATCCCACAGTTTTGAAAACCACCTAGATTCATCAGTTATAAATAATTTTTTACACAAAAGTTTAAAATCAGCTTTACTGCCGTCACATAAATTAAGCTCGTGTTTACATTTAAATTTGCTGCCAACTTTAATACCTTCCTTTCCCACAATTTTGGACGTCTTACAAAAACGTTCAAATATATCACCGTAATGTTGGTTGCGTTCGAATTTCGTGAAAATCGGACAAAAACTGCCAGACAAAATGGCCGCTCCCTCTACGCAAATAGTGTAAACATCTGGTATATCAAGGTTGTGGACCCTCTACAGGTCACAATTTTGATCCGATTTTAATGAAACTTGAAATGCATGTTTATAACCCAAAGATCTTGGTTCCTGTCGATATTCGCACATATCTGATCGTACCTTCCTGAATTATGGCCTTTGATGTTACGAAAAATCACTTTTTGTTTAGCTTGTTCTCTATCCATCGCTGGTTAGCTTGTGGAGTGTGAACCCTCTGGAAGTCACAATTTTTATATGATTTTAAAAACCTTTAAGGTAATAATCAGACCACAACTGCCCAACAAAATGGCCACTTCTTGTACGCAAATTATGTAAAAGTATGGAATAACAAGGTTGTGGAGTCATTGTGGACACTCTTGAGGTCACATTTTTGATCCAATTTTGATGAAACATAAAATATATGTTTATATCTAAAAGATCTCAGTTCCTTTCGATATTCATGCATATCGGACAGCAACATCCTGGATTATGACCACTGATTTTATGAAAAATCGTGTTGTTAGCTTGTGAACCCTCTAGAGGGCACTCTTTTTATCCGATTTTAATGAAAATTAAAATATATGTTTATAACCCAAAGATCTTGGTTCCTTTTGATATTGTTAGATGTCGGACCATAACATCCTGGATTATGGCCCCTATTTGTATGAAAAGTCGCTTTTTAGCTTGTTCTCTTACCATCTCTTGCAAAATGTGGACGTATCTTGAATGGCAACCACTTGTTGTGTTCTAGATTGTGTGTAATAAACCCGTATTGTTCTGTCTGGGAAAACCATTCAGATATACTATTTATTTTGTGTTCTTTGAAAGGAGGGGGACTATTAAAATGGGTCTGTCTATCTGTCCATCCGTCCGTCAAACTTCCTTCTAATTGTACTAGATTGTTCAAACATGGTGTAGGTGTTTAGGAGGTGAATGCCTTAATGGAGTTCGAAGATGGGCATTTTCTGCTTAGGGTAAGCAGAGTGATGAAATTTGGTGTATAGTTTCATTACATAAATACCTTGACTAAGTTCCATAATGAGCATTTTCTGCTCAGAGTAAGGAAAGCGATAAGCGATTTGATTGGTTGAGACTTTGGAACACAATAAATCTTCTTCGAATTGAGGTAGAATCTTCGAACTTTGTGTAGGTGTTGATTAGGTGAATGCCTTCATGGAGTTCGAAGATGAGCATTTTCTGCGTAGGGTAAGCACAGATAAGCAATTTGATAGGTTGATGTTTTGGGACACGATAACTTTGGTTCTAATTAGTGAGAGTGATGATACTTTGTACCTTTTAACTGCTTAGGAAAAGTAGAGACTTCAATCTGAGTGTTTGAGACTTTGGAACACAATAACTCTCCTTCTAATTGAGGTAGAATGTTTAAAATTGGTGTAGGTGTCTATTACGTGTATGCCTTGACAGAGTTCGATCATGCACATTTTCCAATAAGTCTAAGCCGAGATAAGCAATTTGATTGGTTGAGACTTTGGGACACGACAACTTTGGTTTTAATTGGGTTAGAGCGATGAAACTCTGAGTATAAATTTGTTATATCAATACATTGACTAAGTTCAATGATGAGAATTTTTTGCTTAGGCTAAGTAGTGATAAGCAATTTGATTGGTCAAGACTTTGGAACATAACAACTCTGCTTTTAATTGAGGTATAGATGTTCATCAGGCGAATGTCTTAACTGAGTTCAATGATTAATATTTTCCGTTAAAGCTAAGCAGAACTAAGCAATTTCATTGGTCGATGCTTTGGGACAGATAACTTTGATTCTAACTGATGGAGAGTGATGAAACTTAGTGTATAGTTTCACTACCGGTACTTCAAAACCTGAGTTTAATAGTGAACATTTTATGCTTAGACTAAGCATAGATAATCAGTTTGATTACTCGATACTTCTGAAAAAGATAAATGTGCAATTAATTAATATTTTTCATCTGTTTATTTGGGTTTTTTGGGCGGAGGGACATCCTCACTATTGGCTTGTTTACAGATATAGATGAATGTTTATTTATTTACAGTTATTTACAGATATTGATGATTGTTTATTTTGTGTTATTTACAGATATTGATGAATGTTTATTGTATAATCCATGTAAAGATTATGAAGTATGTAAGAATCAAGTGGATAGTTATAGTTGTGAATGTAAAGCAGGGTTTAAAGGTATAGATTGTAAAGAAACAGTCAACGAATGTAATACTGAAACATGTAAGAATAATGGTATATGTAGTGATGGTAATAGTTTATATGATGTAACTTGTACATGTCAACCAGGATATACAGGTACGTAGAAACAATTTTGGCTGCATTTCCTTTTAAAAGTTTACATAGGGAATTTGATTATTGATAAACACAGTGGTGAAGTGCTAAAAAGAAAATCAGTCAGTCATTGCCTATATAGAGAGAATGAGCGGAGCAGCCGCCAGCCTGTAAGAAATGGAAATGGGCTGCTATTATTTTTGCCAGTTTTTTTTATAATAAAGTACCATAATCACATATACCTAAAAGTTTTTAGGCAAACATTATCTCGGTTGAAGCAAAACGATTTGAAAAAGTTAATGGATCTTTCACATATTCCATTTAGAGATGGAGATTAAAAATTCCACTGTGTTAGAGAATGCTGTTACCCTCTGTGCTTTCTCCAACCCATACAAAGTATGGCAATGCAGTTCCGGCAGCACTACACTACATTACATTAAAGGTACTATTTTATATTTGTACAATAAATTGTAATATTTGAAGGTCGTTATTGTGAGTTTGAAGACAAGGATGGTTGTAACAGTTCTTCATGTGTAAATGGTAAGTCAGATCTATATATATAGACTACTGCTGACCATTAGTCTCTTAATCAAAACAATTTAAGATTGCTGGGAACTCTGTCCATGATACTATAAGTCTCTTGTTAGTAAATAAATCAAAATGGGATGTGTTAATGTAAGAGAAATTAAATGGGGTTTTAACTTCCTACTGTTATGCTCTGACTGTTACTGTAAGAGCTATAAGAATTATATATATATATATATATAATATATATATATATATCTAGAAATATTAGCACAACCGTAAAGCTGCACTACTTTGTTTCACGGTAAACGATGAAAAGATAAAAAGTATGCCGACAAAAACTGATTTCAACACTGGTTTAATAACATTTTAACATTTTAAAGTACTTTTCGTCCGTCTTTGGACTATTCATAAATAATGTCATTGTATAAGATGGACAGTATAGTATATTTATACATATTTACATAGTAACACTGTGGTTTTAATTGGCTATAGTTACCATTGTCTATGGTTACATAGTACATCGTTAACTAATAAAAAACATGTACACACGTGTGTTAATCTGTAGTATATGGGTTCAATTTATGAACAATGAGTGGAAGATAATCATGGGATAGATTTAAGAAAATTAATGAAGCTAATGACCAATTGTTACTTATTGACTATTAAGTCGAGGAACATATTTTTTAATAAAATGGTTTTCCATTAATTTCCTTTTCGTGGTGTCATCGACTTTCATTTTATAAAAAGGGAAAATTTGGAATTTTACTTTTAGGTGTTGTGCACATTTAAAGTTATGTCTATTTACAAATAAAGGTCCATTTTCAATATTACAATCCCGTCGATGGTTGCATACTCTATCCCGTAGATGCGTGGATGTCTCCCCTATGTAAAAATTTAGACACCCATTGCAAGTCAAGACATATATGAGATTTTTTGTGTCACAGTTCATATTGTCGTTGACACTAAATGTAAACTTAAGAAAATTATATTTGTTATTTGGCGTATTATATGGTCGCAACATTTGCATCAAAGATCCAGGCATTTAGATACATAAAAGCCGGCCCTTGTGATAGATGAATTGAATTTTGCTTAGGTTAGGTGGCTGTCTTTGTGATTTAATGAATTGAATATTATCAAATTTCGTTCTGAGGTTGTCGTTTGATGCCAGGATTGCCCTGCCCTCGTACATTGTTTTAAAGAAGTTGGGATGTTAGGGGTTAGAACTGTTTCAATAAATTTCTTTTTAGCTCACCTAATCTGACAACCTGGAGGTTTTCATCTATCACAATAGTGCATATTTTTCTAGCTAAAGAAAAGGGTATATTATTTTTGGTATGGCGTGGGTGACATGATTTATATGAAAGATAGTTTTTGGTATCTGTTTCTTTAGAATACATATCCATTACAAGGAGTTCTCCCCTTCGTTTCACTAGAACGTCCAAGAATGCGATTTGCAGATCGTTCGTTTCAATTGTGAATTTGATATTTAGATCTAAATCATTCATTATTTTTTGCAAATCTGCAATTTTGCCAATTCGTTCATTCCAAATACAGAATATATCGTCTAGGAATCGTTTCAACTGATTCTCTAAATATAATCTGTAATCCACGCCATGTTCAATTTCTACAATTGAGTATAGTTTTTCCTCAAGGAATCCCATTGTTAAATTACTTAATTGTGGTGTCGCCTTGGTACCCATCGCTATACCAAGAATTTGTTTGTAATTTGTTTCGCCAAATGTAAAAGTGTTGTTAGTCAGGATGATTTGTATAGCTTTGAGAATGAAGTTGTTTGAAATTCTCTCATGACTGCATTCAGGATGTTTATCCAACCAATATTCTATGGCCCGAAAGCATGTGTGTTAGCACTTAAAAAGAAACAAAATATTTTTGTCCATGCCCATGATTACATACCAAAGTCCTATTTTCTAACATTTAACAGGTAAATGTGTACAGAAGAAGGAAGGGCATGTCTGTGAATGCCGTGACAACTGGAGGGGAAGTAACTGTGATATAATGTATGATTCCAGCTGTGAACTTTCTCCATGTTTATTTAATTCAACCTGTGTTCCAGATATAAAAAGTTCTGGAAAATACAAGTGTGTATGTCCTAGGTTTGATAGTATGGTGTATGACAAAAACTGTTTGCCATTGTCTTGTATTTCATCCCCATGTCTTAATGGAGGTAGTTGCTATGACAACTATGATGCCACCTTCACCTGTAAGTGTGTGGATGGATACAGTGGAGAAGTATGTGATGAAGGTATGTATTTTTAAATAGAAAATGACAGTGTTAACACGCATGTAATATGAATTAATTCTATGTTATTACCCATATTATGATTTGTTTATTTATATTTATTAGTTTTATCACCTGTTTGTACATCAACTACATGTTTCCATGGTGGTACATGTCTGGATTATAATGGAACCGTAACCTGCCATTGTGTACCAGATTATATAGGACAATGGTGTGAAATCAAAATTGAAAATAAAAATAAAAATTATAAAGGTAAGAACATAAGATAAGGTCTACAGATGGTTAGATCATATTTACCATATTGAGTCCAATTTGATCTGAGAAACAATCTTCTTATCATACAGGTCAAAATTATTTGATCATAGAATGAGGACTTAAAAATTTAAAGTGATTTAAAAAATATTGTTACATTGAAGATCTAAAGGGAAGTAAAAAGAATTAAATCAGTATTTTGTGGCAGTAAAATAACAAAATTAAAGGATAGATTAATTACCCCTTTATCTGTGATATTGTCCAAGATGATCCGCAGATAAACAACAAAAACTCATTGGCTTAGTACATTATAATAAATGTTGGATTGCAATAAGCCACAGGTTGTCTAAAAATTGACATGAATTTATAATAGTTGGTGGCATTAATTTAATATACATTCACATCATCCCCCTATTCAATTTAGGTTGGAAATCATACATTTGTTCAGTAGTCAAGTTAATACATGTATGTTTATATTTCAGACAGCCTATCGGCTGTGGATGAAAGAGTTATTATATTTTGTAGCCTTGGTGTAATTGTTATATTTATAATAGTTACAGCATCTATATTAGGATGTAAGATGTGTAAAGAAAAACGAAAGTATCACCCAAGGTAAAATCTTTGTACCCATATCATTTACATAAAATTAAATTGGGTGGGGGGGAACCAGACTGCAAAATCGCAGGGAATTTTTTAGGCTATCACTAGGATCGAATTCTGGATCTACTAGTTAGTCAGCCAGCCCCATACTCACTGAGCCACCATATAGAATTGATTTCTAGAGACCCTTTAATGAAGTTGTATATATTTTGTTTTATTTTTAGAAGACTCTTATCAGATAATTTAAACAACTCTCCATCACCTATAGGCATAAATGTAGTGAACAATCCGGTATTTAACATGGAAGATGAGGCTACAAGGCAAGGAACTCCTTCAGGAACTTACGGTAAGGCCTGTTATATTTGTTGGAAATGGGAGAAATGTTTGTTCACAGGGCCAAATAAATGACTGAACAAACAAATTGTTTGAAAATATAATAAAATCAAAATATAAACATAACTGATCACATTTTTACTGTTCATTAGAAATCATTTTATGTTTCTGTTGGAGTATAGTGTTGTCGCCCTTGTCTGTCCTTTTAAAATTGTATTTATGCAAAGTACCTGATTTAAGATAAGAGATTAGAATAGAGGTTGAAATTTGGTTGAATAGAGGTAAGACACTGGGTTGCTTGGAAATCCTTTGCAATTGTTATGTGAGAATGGATACAAAATCTCAACTGAGATCTCCCAAAATGGAGGCGGTGTGGGCTGTATATAGAAGAAAGATGTTACCTAAATATGGTTTAAAAGGTATCAAAACAGCCCCTCGTGCAAATCTGCTATTGAAACCATTTATTCTGACTTAATATTTACCCCTGTTTTAATACATTTACCATATTAATTTATCCTATATTTCAGAGAATATGTATGCTGAGTTAGGTGATTTTGCCTATGCTGATGATATTATGGACATTAAAAATAATCAAGCCAAGGCTAAGGAATGTAATCTAGAAAGGGCAACTGACAGGAAAAACTCAGAATCATCTTATACTTCTGTTCGATCTTCCAACAAAAGCCTGAAAAGGTTTGATGCTGATTACTTGCAGCCTATTTTCACTAGAAATGAATTTGAATATGTTGATGATGTACCCAAAGACTGTAAAGTACTTTTACCCATGATAGGCAAGAACATCAGAGATGCACCAATTCCTGTGGATGAATCTGAATATGTCCCGCCCTCGCTACCGCAATTCCACAAATATCAAAATACCACAGAAAAATGTCAACCAAATGTAACTGAGAAAAACCCACTGCTACTGGATGAACAAAAATCTAATGAACCTCCCTATATTAATACAAGTACATGTAGCTTGATTCCCTATCCTTGCCTACCGTTACAGAAGTATATCATTGATCCAAATGTATTAGGTTCATCAAATCAAGGCAGGGGTGAAATGTTGGGTTATGTTAATGAAAGATTTCACCTGGAATCATCTGAGGTACAACTTCCAGAATTAACTACCAGAACACAAAGATCCAATCTAGATGATGGTAAGACAAAGAAACCATTTGAAGATATTTCACATTCTGATGATGACAAGAAACCAATCGATGCATCATTTGAATCTCCTACCTATTTGTCAGTAGTTGAACCCAAACCAGGTGAACTACCAGGTACCAAGTCGAAGCATGTTCATATTGAACCATGTAAAAGAAAACTGCCCCCTTTACCAAAAAATAGATAAAAACGTTTGGTATTCAATGTAATATTATTTGCTTTTGTTATAATGTTATAATGTAGATGTGGTATTAAACAAACATACATTTAAGAAAATAAATTCACTGTTTCACAGAAAACATTGAGGAAAAAATTTATTTCAAAATCATATGTAAATAATATTTCTATGATACAATAAATTTTGTCAGTCGGTTAAAATGACCAAACCAAAGACATTCTGTCCTGTGAAATCTCCTTGGTGATCTGCCTGCAGGTAGATAATAAACTTTACCAAGTTTAGCGTTATAATTTTAACCATGTAAGGAATCTCTTGTCCTGTCGCCATGCTTTGTCAGGTCTTTTTTCCCTTCCTGGCTGGTATTTATAGTCAGGTCATCAGTTGCTCCTCCTCATTGCGTCTCTGTGGTTCATCTGGAGGGAACAAAGGCTTACCATGCTTGTCTCCAAAATTAAGTTATCTCTGTGTCGAACTTCCTTCTTCCATGAAAGTCAAAACTGCGCCAGGGAAGAAGGGAAACAGCATTCGTTCTACGACCCAGGTCAGGTAGTAAAACATTGACTTTTGCAGTGATGCATCTGACACATCCAACGGTGATGGTCCAATACTATTTTCCTGCGACTTACTCAGCCAAAGATGTATACAAAAAATAGACCTAAATAATTAGATGCATAGAATGTTACAGGATTATGCACACGTCCCCATGGAATCGAAATTCCTATATACTAAACAGCAAAAAAAAAAAAACGTCAGTAGGATTTCAAAATCAGAGAGGCACTTTAATCAAATCATTCTAGAAAAGGACTTACTAAATGGATCAAAGCAATTTTATTATACGCCCACATTTTCAAGTGGACGTATATCGTCGCCCCTGTCCGTCCGTCCGCCCACACATGTTTGTGAACACCCTAGAGGTCACAATTTTTATCCGATTTCAACGAAACTTGAAATATAGGTTTATCACCCTAAGATCTCGGTTCCTTTCGATATTCGTGCATATCGAATCTTAACTTCCTGAATTATGGCACCTGATTATACGAAAAATCGCGTTTTTTAGCTTGTGGACCCTATAGCGGTCATAATTCTTATCCGATTTAAAAAAAAAAACGTTTGAATATATTACCGTTATACCCTAAGGATCGTTGAGTTCGAATTTCGTAAAAATCGAACCAAAACTGACAGACAAAAATGGCCACGCCTCGTAGTCAAATAGCGTAAAAATATGGTATATCAATGTTGTGGACCCTGTAGAGGTCACAATTTTAATGCGATTTTGATGAAACTTGAAATGCATGTTTATAACCCAAAGATCTTGGTTGCTTTCGATATTCGTGCATATCGGATCGTAACTTCCTGAATTATGGCCCCTGATTGTACGAAAAATGGCGTTTTTAGCTTGGGGTCGCTCTAGAGGTCACAATTATTATCCGATTTAAAACACCGTTTGACTATGTCACCGTTACACCGTAATGAAGTTTGAGTTCGAATTTCGTGAAATTCGGACCAAAACTGCCAGAAAAAATGGCCGCCCCTTGTACGCAAATAGTGTAAACATCTGGTATATTAAGGTTGTGGACCCTCTGGAGGTCACAATTTTGTGTCGATTTTGATGAAACTTGAAATGCATGTGTATAACCCAAAGACCTTGTTGCTTTCGATATTCGTGCATATCGGATCGTAACTTCCTGAATTATGGCCCCTGATTGTACGAAAAATTGTGTTTTTAGCATGTGGTCACTTTAGAGGTCACAATTATTAACCGATTTAAAAAAAACGTTCGAATATATCACCGTTACACCATTATAATGGCTGAATTCGAATTTCGTGGAAATCGGACCAAAACTGCCGGACAAAATGGCCGCCTCTTGCACTCAAATAGTATAAATCTCTAGAGGCCACAATTTTGATGAAACTTGAAATACATATTTATAACCCAAAGATCTTGGTTCCTTTCGATATTCGCGCATATTGGATCGTAACTTCCTGAATTATGGCCCTTGATTGTACGAAAAATCACTACTTTTTTTTTAGCTTGTTCTCTGTCCATCTCTTGCAAACTGTGGGCGTGTCTTGCATGGCAACCGCTTGTGTGAACAGTATGTTGACACATTAGTGATTAATTATCACAATACCAAGACATGAAAGGGTTTAGAGGCTGTACACAGCGTTATTGGTCAGGTAAAGTTGGAGATGTGGTCTCAAATATACAATAAAAACATTTGGCAAGTTTTATGCAATGCGTCTATCCAGGGTAACTTAACAACCTGACGTTTCATTTGCTGCTTAGTATATTTGAAAATTATTTGAAGAGTTCCGACGGCCCTTTTAGACTACCCTGGTACATAATAACGTGATAACGATTTAACCCTGAAAAACCCACGGGTCATACCCAAGTTAATTACGGTCTCACCCAAATTAGCATATTGTTCCAAATAAACCAAAATTTTACATTTTACAACCACATAGGCCTAACCCGTTTGTTCCGTATAAGACCAAATGTAATGCTTTTCCAAGATGTCAGCTATCTCCTAACAACGACCAAGCTTGGCTACCTTCTCTTCAAAGCTGACACTCGGTTAGTACCTCTCGATTTTTATACGCCCACGTTGAAATGTGGTCGTATTATATTGTTGCCCCCCCCCCCCCCAACCCCGTCGGTCCGGTGGCCATAATTGCTTGTAAAAGCTCTACAACGATTTCCGACTTTGCAAATTCTTGTGGACGCTCTGGTGGGTACAGCGAATATCGCATTGACTTTAAATTTATACACAGTATTTAAGTTCATGAGACGAAAAAAGAATATGCGACAACCCTTGTTGACTGCCTGGAGGACTTACATATCTTACTAAGTTTAGATCATAATTAGGTAAATTACAAAATTTACATGTTTTTCATTTGAATAAGCAATGAGATATAGATTTAAAGAACACATAGGAACAGTTTTGGCTAAGAATAATGTTTTCCAGGGAAAAAATAAATTGTTGAACATGGGCGGGTAACAGGTGACCCATTGGGTGTTTTGGGTCATATCTGTTATATAGGTTGTTATAAGTTCATCAAACATTACTATTTTGTTTCAGGTGTATATAGTGGCAGTCGGTTAGAAAACTTCCCAAGGCTCTGTTTTATGGAAGCGTATAGGGGTCATGCAAATTTTGTATAAGACTTCGAGAACCTTTCTAGTAGTATGGAGGGTCAGTCCGGGGGGGGGGGGGTCAAATGGGCACAAAATCAGACCCAACTTTTCTAGAATAAATTTTGCGTAGAATACGCTGCCGAGTCCACCGTTGGGGCGTTTTCGGGGCCAAAGGTCAAATGGGTTCATTTTCACTGAAAGTGAATGCGCAGTCATTCTTGTATCGTGAAAATAAGCTGAAAATTATCGAAAGTAATCACACTTTCAATAAAAATGTAAACTTGCTAAATTCACCTTAATTCTTTGTGACCCCAGGGGTCAAAAGGTCACATTTTCCGTTTTAGCACTTGGAAGATTTAAAGTAATAAATGTCAGCGTAAAATATAAAAACTAAAGCGAAACCTGTTCTAATTAATAATAGGAACATTTAAAATTTATCTTTAGGTGGTCTCAGCACCAACCTTTTACTTTGTAACGTCGAAAATGATATTGTATAACAGAACCAAAACGCTTCGGAACCTGTTTCAAAAATACGTAAAAACTGTTAAATCAAAATCTCTCTCAATTAGTTTTATAACGAATGCTATTCATAATGATACTAATTTTCGGATGTTGAAACTGCCAGTTTTAAAACTATTCGCCCCCTTTATTGATGATCGACAACTCATTTTCACTTTTTATTTTCTTTATTGTTATAGTTCCTTGTATTTATTTAGCATAAATGTTCAACCTACTGCTCTTAAATGCACTCTCACTTTCACCAATTAAAAATAACCACCATGTCAGGAAGCGATATTCATAAGCACGCTGCTGCTTTCGTATCCTTTAGACTGTACAATTGTATGATTATATGTAATTATATTGAATAAAATATTGTTTAAACCATTTCGAGAAAGTATACAGGATCGCATCATCCGTATTGTTTTGCAAAAGGGTATAATTTTTATTAATTTTCTTGATAGTTTGGGTTTTCCAGTGTTAAACAAACACTAATAAAAACTACTTATTATATAATACCGTATGTACTTTATTTACAATGTGATGACGAAAAACAGTATGCGTCAAATGCATATATATACAATGATAAAATATAACGTTGCCGTTTTGTTATGTATAAAACTAAAAACAATATTTTATTAACATTCCTGATATCAATCATTGGTTTATTATTCAGCATCATGTTGTCCATATCACAGAATTCGTATTAATTTATAGAGAATTTTGAAATGTTCAAAATTTTGGTCACGACAAAATTTAGCGACCGGATCGTGAACTATGCGCAAACTGTTAGTGAACTCGTCGGGAGGATGCGTGCCAGTGCGTGGCAGTGCGCGCCATGCCACGAATAGTTCACGAATAGTTCACGACTACTGCGCGACAGTGGCGTTCGCGTCGGTGCAGGTCGGGCACGAGACAACCTGTAGCTGTAAATGCGTTCTCGTAGGACCTGTGACCGATGGGAGAATGGTTTCATCATCCAGGTTCGGAGAGCAAAGGCGTCATCCCCTACGAAGTGATAGGGCACTGGCTGGTCATCATTAGGGAGTGGTTCTGGTTGAGGCACTCCAGCTCCGTTCTCTTCTACAGCATCATGCAGGGAACAGTTACTCCATGTTCCTCACCACCCTCTGCCCCAACATCCACATAGAGGAACTTGTAGGTAGCATCTGCCACTGCCATCAGAACAATGCTGTGGAAGCCCTTGTAGTTGTGTTAAGAGCCAGCATTGGGTGGCTTCTTCATGGCGATGTGCTTGCCGTCAACAGCCCCCAGACAGTTGTGGTAGTTCCATCTGGAGCTGAACTTAGCAGTAACTTCCTTCCACCCCTCTTCAGTTTTGGGGCAGCGCAGCACTTCGTCCTTGTGGACCGCGATGATGGCTTTACACACCTCGGGTATGAACTTGCAGATGGTACTTGCTTCAACCCTGAAGCTGTACTGCAGACTTGGATAGGAATTTCCAGTGGCTAGGAAGCGGAGGGTGACAGCTAGCTTGAGTCCAACTTGAAGAGGTTCCCTCATGAAGGTGGACTGCCCCTGGAGGCGAGGGGTTAACTTCTCAACCATCTCTTGCGCAAACTCGTCGTGCCAATGCGGGAAGTGCGTAAACAATGCGCAAACTATGCGTGAACCCGTCGTGCCAGTTCGTGTCAATGTGGACACTGATAGGCACGCATTCGTGAACTATGCGTGAACTAGTCGTGAACAGTGCGGGAGCCTCCCAATTCGTGCCCCAAAATTTCACGACTTGCCACGACAAAATCGTGGCCAAAAGTCGTGCAAGTGTCAGCCTGGCTTTAGAGATGAAATACAATATGTTATTCACGACAAAACGACAAATGTTCTATTTATTTTATGATTTTACAATCATTTTAGGTAAAAACAACATGGACTACTGCTAGCCAGTGGAATAACACTTTTATTTCACTGATAAAACGCGGTATTCCACTACTGATCATAAAATAAAAAACTATATCCCACTCTACAATGCTGTGAGTTAAATTCTAATATCACAATTTGTGTGTCAATTTTAATTAAATGTCACACATAAATAAGTAAATAGTCCATGGTTTGTTGGCCAATGCATAAAAGTGAAGCCTCTATGACGTTAACAAGGCTTTAAGGGGGGGGGGGGGGCGGGGGTATTAAGGAACAGAAGGTCACAGAATACCTCTCATCGTCACATATTTGAAATAAAATACGGACAAAGACGGAGTACTGAAAATCGAAAGGTCCTAGTGCATCACACCACATTTGAAAAACAAAATCAGTTAAAAACTGTAGCCTCTATTGCGTTAACAAGGTTTTCGGAAAAAGGAGTTAACTCCAGAACGACGAGGTGCGCTAAAAGCGACCGAGGGGCCGTCCTCTCATGGCCCCAATGCTTCCGTAGTTATCTGCATTACATCTTTTACCATTAGTGCTTTAAACTTGTTTTTACCAAATAATATTTACGTCGAAATTTTAATCTCTATATCCTCATCTTGTCATTGGTTTTCACTTCATTTTGGTTCCTTTTCCCTTTGGAACATTTGTTCTTCAGTTTGATAACAATGCGATCAAGTGGCTCTAAAGATCGCATAAATTCGGGTAGAAAATGCCAATTTTGGAGAACCTTAGGTAAAACACCAGGTTTCTTGGCTTGTAATATCTTGACAATTACAACAAATATGACTACAAGGACAATTGGACTACCGACACCTACTAATACTTCCCACCCACCAAGTGACAAAGCGAAAATAAAACTAGGGAAGATAAGAAAAGCCGTAAATATGTGAACGAAAGCAAACCAACGATACTTTTCAGTAGTTTCACCCATCCATTTAGCAGCCCCTATTGGTACCTTTCTCATTGGCGGAATGCCATACCATACAAATATTCCTGTTAGATTAAAGAACAGATGACAAAAAGATATCTGTAAAGCATTCTTAAAACCCGAACCAGGGGATGCTAGAGCTGCTAAAACACTTGTTCCAGTTGTACCAATATTAGCACCGAGGGTCAATGGAAACAGATTTTCAATGCTTACTACACCAACTCCAACTAAAGGTGTCATAGTTGACGTAAATATAGAACTGCTCTGCACCAATATGGTCAGACCAGCGCCAACGAAAATAGCTACATATCCTGTTAAGAAAGCACAGTGCCCAGGAAACTTTGCATTCATTATTTTCTTAATAACAGTAGCGATCTGTCCACTGATGAGACTGTGGAGAAGTTTGACAATTAATACCAGACAAATGCACAGTGTTAACAAAGCAACGATTAACATGATGATTCCAGATTCTGAGTCTGATAAACCGGAACTAGCAAACAGGTGATCACCTAGAAAATAAACTCAGTATGATCAATAGGATAGTTGAATTTTATTTTTAAAACGTAAAGTACTGAATTGGTTGTTTCTTTTATTTTCGAGTTTTTCAGTTCAGCTGCATTTGATTCAATAAAATGTATTGAAAGGAAAGATATGTATCAAGAGACTATAAATAATATTATTTATTACCATGATACAATATATTCCTATTTACTTTTTAAAACGTAAAGTACTGAATTGGTTGTTTCTTTTATTTTCGAGTTTTTCAGTTCAGCTGCATTTGATTCAATAAAACGTATTGAAAGAAATGATATGTATCAAGAGACTATAAATAATATTATTTATTACCACGATACAATATATTCCTATTTACTTTATAAGAGCTATAACAAGAGGGTTTTGTTTTTTTTTTAAATTTCTTAATTGACCACGAGAAGACAATTATTACGACCAATAAATCGCATTGTTACTATAATTATAATCCTTATACTTACATAAAGAAAAACAGGTGGAGTTTCTGACTGTGGAGTTGACAGTTGCAAACCCACTTGAAGTATCACAAAATATGACATCTCCTTTAGACATGTCACTGCAATCTACATAAGGATATATTATAAACGTTAGGGTCCATGGTTAATTTTAATAGAAATTAAATCAAGTTCTCCATGCCACTTAAAATTTTGATAGAAAAATCCCCACCTCCAAAGTAATAATACCAGAATGTTACCGGAATATTTCTAATAAAATAATTATAGTCTATCTAACCTGACAATGTTGTGTTGAGTAACTCATAAGATATATCAGTTTCTTTCTTGCAGCAGGATTTTAATATTGTATCTTCATCTGTTAGCGAATCACCATTGGCTATAGCCTTTATAATGTCTTTATCAAGCTAAAATGGTGTTATCATAATGTTAGAAAGTTTTATGGCGAACATTACAATGTCTTTATCAAACTAAAATATTTCGCTGCTGGAAACAAATGCGGGAAAGCGAAAATAACAAACAGGAATTAAATAAGGTTCCCGAATTAAGAAACGAATCCGGAAACCCCTGTCTTGAAAAAGCTTTTCATTTCATGTGGTCTTAGATTACTTAGTTGCGTTCTTATATAAAAGAGCTGTCTGAAGTCAAAATCTGGTCAATTTTAACATTGTTTGCTAAACTAATGCAGACGGTTTTCGACCGGACAAAAGAAATATTATCTTTGTTTAATGTTAACCACCGGGAGCATACTAAACTTATGCTGTCTGTCTACAACTAGCTCCACTTGAGAACAGACATTATGCAAAAGCTAAATCTGCCTATTGCAGCTAAATCTGCCTTTAGGCCATAAAAATGTTATATAAACTATTTATTAGACATTAATTAACATGACAAGACCATGACCAACTCTCGATGCCATCGGATGGGCCCGGTTTAAGTAGATTAGAACGGTTCGGCCATTTCAAGATTTAATTTTAAAATGGTAAAGCGACACTAATCCTCGAACAACCAGTACGGTGGTTATAATCAGTGCACACATCTTGTCAAACCTTCAACGGCTAATATCTTCGCTAGGGATAAAGTAATTTGAATGAAATTTTCAATAATATTCATTTTACATTCTGTATTTTTTAACTATTATAGCAAGAACGGGCAGCTCTTTATCTAAGTATTACATTATGTTTCTTTAATTTCTAGATTTTTGATGAAAACACAAAGTATACTTCACGAATTTTGATAATAGTTATATGATAGTGATAAGAGTCATACCTCTATAATTGTTTTGGTAAAGGGTGATGTTATGGCTTTCAAGAATTCTGGATTTTCAGCATTTGGGTCACTGTTGATATCAGCCACGAGAACTGATGTTAAATGATACAAGTAGCCACTAGCAACTTCTATAGGTAATAATACCAACACACAAAGCCAATTAAAGAAATCATGAAGTGTGGCAGCAGCAAAAGCTCGTCTGAAACATCAATAAATGTCAACCATCACAAGCTCATTATATGCCCCTTACGGATCAGATCTCAGAAACACCGACGAGCCGACGTGCGCTACCTTACAAACCAGGATATCCCGGGATCTATGAAGTTGTTGGCCTAGAAAGTTTCTCGGAATTTTCAAACTTTGTCTCCCGCATGTCAGTGGCGCAGGGCGGGTGGTTTAACAAGGAACCGCGTCTAGTCGTTTGGGTGGCACGAAAACCCGGGGTCCCTTTTACACGCTGACGAGCACGTACAATAACCCGGCAAATATTCGCCCATGGCATACTGCCCGTCTTCCAAGTATATATACAACGTTAAATTTCATTTCATTTTAAAAACACTGGAAAATACTAGGACGATGGATTTTGCCATAGCGGCCTGGACGACTTTCGGTGCACAGCACAAGCTTGGGACCTAAGGTACAATCGTGAAAAGTGCATACCAATCACATCGTTTTGTCTAGGGGTGTTACAAGGAGTTAAACTCTTATAACTTTTTTTTTAATGTTAGTGACGAACACACGGAGCCTTCGCCATTCATTGAAATATTTCAAAATAACTAGTATAAAATGGTAAAACATCATACCTGAATTGACTTCTATCCCCCACCTGTCCTAAAGATACAATGGAGTTGGTTACGGTTGTTCCTATATTTGCTCCCATTATTATTGGTATGGCAAATCGTACTGTAAGAACTGAAATACATAAAAAGGCAGCAAGTACATTACATTAGCCAATTGACCTTGTGTACTCTAAATATCGATACACGACCAGAATATGCGCCAAATACGCTGGGTGAATATTGGGTTATGTTGATGGGGCTGGTGACGATAATCACGTTAATACTTACTTCCAGAAGAAACCATGGAAACGACGATCGATGTTGAAGTAGATGAACTTTGAACCAGTACCGTAACAAGTACACCTATCATCAGACCAGCAACAGGATTTTGTAATAAAACACTATTTCCTAATGCTTGACCAGCTGCTTTACCTGCAAAAATTTCAATTAATATGGATATCAGTTTGATGCCTTGTCGTTTTGATTATATAATTTTAGTACATACGTATATAGTCCTACATGAATTTTAGGTCTACCAGATTTCAAGCATGGTCGTTCAGAAAGGAAACACTTGCTAATACCGAAGTTCTGAAAATGTTGATGTGGGTTGACGAAATCGACAGTTCTACAGCCGCTTAACGTTGGAATTGGCAACTGCTAAAATGGGATAAAACAAAATATCTTTCTTACCTCCTAATAACGTAAAAGCTGAACTCAGAAAATCCAAGGAGCATATGAACAGATATAATAAACCAATCAGTAATATGATCCTGATTATAACTGTAGCTACTCTCTTCAATCTCCCGCTAGTATTCAGATCTAGAAAAATAAATTCATTTCACTGACTTCAGATAAACTGGTCTATCTTCACGATATAGATGATAAAAAAAATGTATAGAGTTGATTTTGAGCATGGCGTGTAAATAAAGGTCTAATTAATAATTTCTATAACATCTAAAGTCTAAATAAAGACTTACAATAGGCAGATTCAGCTCTTGCATAATGTATGTTAAAGTTTATATAAAATATATTAAAGCGGCATTATGGAGGATCGGACAAAGGGCTGACAGTTCTCGCTATAATACTTTAAAAAATAGATAATGTAAAGGGAATATGCTGAAAATGTCAGACAAATTACTTCACACTGAGACTAGAAATGCCCATTCCAATAAAACTGTAGCCTATATTGTCATTGTTACTGTTGTTGCGATAATCAACAAAGTCTCGATTATCCAGATTATGTTTAATTATTAACCGCCCTTGAACAGTTCTCGCTATTATAGTTAAAACATAGATGATATAAAGGGAATATGCTGAAAATGTCAGACAAATTAATTCACTCTGAGCCGAGAAATGCTAGTTTCAATAAAACTGTAGCCTTGAGTGTCATTTTTACTGTTGTTGCGATAATAAACAAAGTCTCGATTATCTAGTTTACGGTTAATCATCAATCTGTTGAAAATCGGCAACATATGGCATCGAGAGTTGATTATGACCTTGACATGGTCTAATTAACAGTTTATAATTATAACATTGAAGGCCTAAGAAAGATCTGCAATGGGCAGATTTAGCTTTTGCATAATGCCTGTTTAAGATACAAAATGTGTTATGGATAGAGTAAACATCCTTCCTCGTTGACCAAACCTGCCCCAACTGTAGTCCATATTTAACAAGTCGTTGCCATGCAAGATACGCCCACATTTTGCAAGAGATGGACAGAGAACAAGCTAAACAGAAAAGCGATTTTTCGTACAATAAGGAGCCATAATCCAAGAAGTTAGGGTCCAATTAGCGCAAATATCGAAAGGATCACAGATCTTTGGAATATCGACATATATTTTAAGTTTCATCAAAATCGGATAAAAATTGTGACCTCTAGAGGATACACAACCTTGGAATTACACACTTTTACACTACTTGAGTACGAGGGGCTGCTATTTTGTTCGGCAGTTTTGGTCCGATTTTCACGAAATTCGAACCGAACCATCATTAGGGTGTAACGGTGATTTATTTGAACGTTATATTTCTTACAATCAGGGGCCATAATCCATAAAGTAACTGTCCGATACATGTCAATATCGAAAGGAACCGAGATCGTTAAAAGTTTGGAGATAAACCGATAATTCAAGTTTCGTCAAAATCAGATAAAAATTGTAAAATGTACAGTGTCCACAAACAAATTTTGGACGGACGGACGACAAGTTTCTAAAAGAACATATTAAAAACCGGTGTTCCTGAGTAGCAAGCACACCCTACATCGTGGACAACACGTGTCACATCCCGTGACTGGTGCCAAAATTGGTCGGAATGTGTTTCGATTCTGGATTCGAGTGTGTGTGTGTGTATTCTTTCTCTAACCTTTCCATTTAACGTTGTTTTTATCATCTAGTTCTGGTAGTGCCCATGGATCATCTTTCTCCTCTATTTTTTCTTCACCTTTCGGTTCTTCGGTATGATTTGTTTCTCCATTAGTATGGAAATGTTGACCATTTACAATTTTGGGCGAAAAACTTTCTAGTACAAAACCATTATTAACAGTTCCATTCTGAAAATCAAAATAAATCAATGAATCTAAATAAACAAGATACAAGTTATTTTAATCATTTTGTCGACATAATTCCCGTAATAATATTTATTATAATGTCTTTCCACAACCCGTAAAAAGAAAAACAAAATGAAATGAAATGGGATTTAACGTCCTACTGCTCTGCTCTGACTGGGCTAATGAAGACAGCCATACGCAATACAGTGTGCTATAAGGGAAATTTTGCCCGGACAGCGGCTCTACGACCAAATCGTATATCGAATTTCAACTGCCAAGGGATCTTTTATGTGCACGCCAACTTGTACACGGGACTTCGGTTTTCCGTCCCATCCGAACGACTAGATATATGAATTTAATAATGATATACATAATGTTTCGGCACCAACACTGCAATTTACAAAATCATTGACCTCATACAGAGTGGTTTAAGGTGACCATAAAATTGGCTGGGATTGAAACCACGACAGACACAATGACAGAACGTACCTAAATCGGGATCAATTATTTTGATAAAATTCTATTTCAGACATTTGAAATACAAAATAAGCTAAAAATGATCATTTTAATACCATATAATTTCCTGCTCGGTTAATGTTAAACAATAATGCATTCGGGTTAGTAGAAACGAAAAAAAAATCCCAACCAATCAATTTATTTTCTTGTGAAATTATAGAATTGTAAAAGCTTCTTTACTTTAGAACAATATTCCGGGATTGCAAACTCAATTTGGTTGTCTTTTCATCACGACAATATAATTTCTAAAATTTATCGTGAAACTGTAGGCTTGCACATAAATGATTATTTCAGAAGTTTCAATGTGAATTTAATTTTTTTTTAATTACAACAATATGCTAAATTACTTTTCTAGGAAAGTATGGGTGCACAAAAATAGCTATTTCTTTATGATCTGTGTGAATTAGAAAATGATGATATAGTGATCGCAAAGTTTTTGGTTATTTTTACAATTATTACAACAATATGATGCATTGTGATAGATTTTGACACGGTGCTGCAGATCGATGTATTGAAAAATACAATTATAAGCTGTTGATATATATATATATATATATATATATATATATATATATATTAACAGCTTATAATTATATATATTATATATATTATAATTAATAAAATTTCATAAAATTTCTAAAATATGTAATTTCTGTTTTTAAAATCCACATTTCACGAACCCTTAAGATTAATATTTTTACATTTGTAGTCAATTATGATAATTGATCAGAAACAAATTAAAGAAACGCCATAGAAGTATCAGAGAGAGCTGGGTGGTACTGGATCATCCCAGGAAAAGTGTTGCCAGAGTTCAAATAGTATACTTACCACTTTGTCACATTCCATTATAATTCTTAGCCTGAACAAGAAGTTAACTAATGAAAGAAAAACTGTTAAAAGAGTAGCCCACCTACCTGTAGCAGAATTTTATATGATTTTCGTAATTTATGATTATTTGTTAATGCGGGTGATCATCAGTGATGTGATTGGGTTCACACGTGATAATCTAAGTGGTCATAAATACAAACTCGAGTTTTATAGCATGAAGTCAATAGTACTAATGTAATGTTTTATAAGTATAAGAAAATCCGCGTGTACAAGCTACTGGGTTTTCAAATTTACTCAAGATACAAGATAAATCAAGGGGATGTTAACCTCTGTTTTAATAAATCTGTCATTAAAATGGCAGTAAAGATAAGAATCTGTAGGTGCTCTTGTTCTCGTCATAGAATAAAACAAGCCAACAGTAAGGCTGATATTCCCCGCAGAAATTTCTAAAAAAAAGAGATGACACATATTAATTAAGCACATTTATCTTTTTCAAAAGTATCGAGTAATCAAACTGATTATCTATGCTTAGTCCAAGCATAAAATATTTTCGATCAAGCGTTCAGGTTTTGAAGTACCTGGTAGTGAAACTATACACTAAGGTGACTAAGTTTCATCACTCTCCATCAGTTAAAATCAAAGTTATCTTGTCCCAAAGCATCGACCAATGAAATTGCTTAGCTCTGCTTAGCTTCAACGGGAAATATAAATAATTTAACTCAGTCAAGACATTCGCCTAGTGAACATCAATTAAAAGCAGAGTTGTTATGTTCCAAAGTCTTAACCAATCAAATTATTTATCTCTACTTAGCCTAAGCAGAAAAATTCTTATCGTGTTATTGTGTTCCAAAGTCTCAACCAATAAGTTGCTTATCTCTGCTTATCCTTAGTGGAAATGCGCATGATTGACCTCTGTCAAGGCATTCACGAAATAGACACCTACGCCAATTTTGAACATTCTACCTCAATTAGAAGGAGAGTTATTGTGTTCCAGAGACTGTGGCCGGTCCAAGTACACATGGATTAATCTTCCAGGAAGTCATAAAATAATTTCGGTTTTGAAAATATTCATATAAGTAAATGTTACTTTAAATATTAACATACTACTTAGATCGTTTGCCACGATAAAATCTATTTAGGGGGATACACACACATTGATTATAATAAAACTTCCTACTACTGCTTATCCTTTCAAGTGCCCGTGGATACACACATGGGGGACTGACTTAATTTACTTGAAATTTGGACTTGAAACACTTGGCTTTTTAGCCCTCTAAATATTTGTAAAAGGGTGGAGAACCTAATAACTTAAAGATACATTATGGGAGATTAGATAACGAGTTGGCAGTTCTCACTATAATAGTTAAAAACTACATAATGTAAAGGCAACTTGCTGAAAATTTCAGTCAAATTGATCCACTATGAACCGAGAACCAAGCGGATGAAAGTTCCGCTTAGCCTCGATCATCATTACTGAAGACGATAAGACAAATAGTCTTGATTATCCATTTAATCGTTAATCACGATGGAAATTTTTGCAGCAAATCGGACTGTAATCCAACAAATATCGCAGGCAAGCCTTGACATCGAGAGCTGATTATGGTCTGGATAAGTTAATTAATGTCTAATTAATAGTTTTTATAACATTTCAGGCCTAAAGAAAGACCTACAATAGGCCGATTTTGCTCTTGCATAATGTATGTTTAAAGTGAGCTTGAGGTACATGCAGTTGATTAAAGGACAATATTGGTGCCAGTCATTATCACATATGTGATAGAGCTGGTTAAACACATTCCAAATATAATTTTATGTCAGAGATCATTGCTACCATAGCTGAGTAATACAGTTTTTCTGAATCGGAAGTGACGAACGCCAAAGGAAAACACGAGTCGCCTCTCTATATAACTGACTGATGTGACGAATGATAAGGGATATACGGGCGAATTTCTGCTCACTAATAATTCCTTTGAAGACCAAAAGTTGTTGTGTGAGACTGTGAAAGGATATCTGACAATTCATAAAAAGAATTGACTGTCACTAGATAAGTGATACGCCCACATTTTGCAAGAGATGGATAGAGAACAAACTAAACCAAAGGCGATTTTTCGTACAATCAAGGGCCATAATTCAGGAAATTACGATCCGATATGCGCGAATATCGACAGGAACCAAGATCTTTGGGTTATAAAGATATTTTTCCAGTTTCATCAAAATCGGATCAAAATTTTGAATTCTAGAGGGTCCACAACCTTGATATACCATATATTTACACTATTTGCGTACGAGGGGCGGCCATTTTGTCCGGCAGTTTGGTCTAATATCCAAACGTTTTTTTCAATCGGATAAAAATTGTGACCTCTAGAGGGATCGTAAGCTAAAAACGAGATTTTTCGTACTATCAAAGGTTATAATTCAGGAAGTATGTGCGAATATCGAAAGGTCCACAACCTTGATATAACATAATATACACTATTTGCGTACGAGGGGTAGCCATTTTGTATGGCAGCTTTGGTCCAGTTTTCACGAAATTCAAACTCAACCATCATTAGGGTGTAACGGTGATACATTTAAAAGATTTTTTCTTTTTTTTTAATCGGATAAAAAATGTGACCTCTAGCGGGTCCACAACCTTGAAATACCATATATTTACACTATTTGCGTACGGGGAGCGGCCATTTGGTCCGGCAATTATGGCCCCATTTTCGCAAAATTCAAACTCAACCAACATTACGGTGTGACAGTGATATATTCAAAGGTTTTTTTTTTAAATTGGATAAAAAGCTAAAAACGTGATTTTTTTGTACAATCAAGGGTCATAATTCAGTAAGTTACAATCCGATATGCATAAATATCAAAAGGAACCAAGGTCTTTCAGTTATAAACATGTATTTCAAGTTTCATCAAAATCGGATGAAAATTGTGACCTCTAGAAGGTCCACAACCTTGATGTACCAGATGTTTACACTATTTGCGCACAAGGGCCATTTTGGCTCGATTTTTACGAAATTCGAACTCAACCAACATTACGGTGTAACGGGATATATTCAAACGGTTTTTTATATATATAAATCGGATAATAAGTGTGGCCTCTAGAGGGGCCACAAGCTAAAAACACGATTTTTCGTACAATCAGGGGCCATAATTAAGGAAGTTACGTTCCATTATGCGCGAATATCGAAAGGAATCAAGATCTTTGGGCTATAAACATCAAAATCGGGTGAAAATTGTGACCTCTAGTAGCGTGTCCACAAGCTAAAAACGTGATGTTTCGTACAATCAGGGGCCATAATCCGTGAAGTTATGGTCCGATACATGCAAATATCGAAAGGAACCGAGATCTTTGGGATGTAGACCTATATTTTAAGTTTCGTCAAAATTGGATAAAAATTGTGAACTGTAGTGTCCACAAACAATTTGTGGACGGACGGACAGGGGCGAATATATCACCGTTACACCCTAATGATGGTTGAGTTCGAATTTCGTGAATTTCGGTCCAAAAATGACGGACATATTGGCCATCCCTCGTACGCAAATAGTGTAAAATGTGTAATACCAAGGTTGTGTACCCTCTACAAGGCACAAATTTTATTCGATTATGATGAAACTTAAAATATCTTTATATCCCAAATATCTCAGTCCATTTCGATATTCGCGCATTTCAGACCATAATTTACTGCATTATGGCCCCTGATTATAGGAAAAATCGCTTCTTTTTTTTAAAGCTTGTTTCAAAATGCCTGGCAACCGCTGGTTATTGATATTTTTAATACATGTCTGGCACAAAGTTCAAAATGTTGGAAACTAGTTTAGTTGTGTCTGACCGGTGAAGCTGAAACCGTTATCTCCAGGCCGGCCTTACTTATATTCTCTTCAAAAAAAGGAGGGGATATTGAAATGCAAATACCTATGCAGGTTGTGACATGCTTTGAGAGTATGTTGACAGATAAAGAACTCATCGCCCCAACAGAACCACTGAACTGCACATGCGACACGCAATAGCGCCATACACGTTGGAGGGGTTCATTGTCAAATTTGACACTACAAGGAAGGGTTGATGAAAACTGCCGCGTGCTGGTTTATCTATCCATGTTTGCTTTCCTATCGGTTCTTGCATAAGATTAACTGTTTAGCGTATCTTTGCTTTAGTGTGTTACGTTTAATTTGATCGGGCGACGTGTTCGTCGACGGCAACGTCAACCGATAAAACTGCAAGAATTGGCCGTGGCACTGCAAGACTAGTGGGTCAGATTGCCCCAAATCGTGATTGGACGGTTGATTAGGATCATGCCACGACGAACTGCTGAATGTCCATTTTCAATTTTGACGGTGTATCTCTTTGGGAGTGAAATGGGGCCGTCAGATGAGATAAGCCGCCCATATGAACTGTTTATGTTCATGTGTAGGCAATTGGCCTGTTATTAACATACACTGGTTAACTCTAATAAAAACAGCAGTGTATTTCCGCAGTTTTGTATTGTTTCTGAATATCCCCTACTTTTTTGAAGAGTATGTTCCTTAGGTAGGCAATTATTGAATTAAGAAGGCATGTGGACTTATTCATGTGTACCAGGCCGCGATAAATTTTAAAAAAATGACAGTTTACATTACTCTAGTCTCGAAACCATGCCAGGCACGCCAAATGTGGAATTCGTCACAGAAAAGTTAATTTCAGCCCCTATGCATATTAACCGGATGAAAACAATTATGGTGGTTGATTTAGTTTGAGCAGCCATTTTGACAGAACTGTCAAAGTTCGCGGGGAAAAAAGGTCAAGGTTCGTTTGGCGCATGGGAAGTAATCCGTACTGAAACCGTGCTCAGACCGGATAGTGTCGTGCCAGCTTATGTTAGACCTGTTTACACTACAAAAAAATAACGGTGCTTAAAATTTGGAATGTAAACAGGGTTATAGGGTCTGGTTATGATTGCTTTCAAGAAATTAGTAAATGAATCGGCCCAAATTAGAGAATAAAGTTTATCCAAAAAGCTTGAAAAGAAGACAGCCATATTTACCAGTAGTGGGGTATCAGTCTATTTATAATTTATGACGTGAACAAAAAGAAATCTCTATCTATAGCTAACAAGGGACTATGATGTTCGATAGAATTCATTCTTATGTTAAATTTGAAAATATAAAACTATCATCCTGAGAGTAGTCCTTGAATTGAAGTAGGTATATGTATAAACAATGCATATCTCTGAATTCATAACAGTTACATGTATGACTATACTTTAAATATACTATTCAAAAAAAGTAGGGGATATTTGATTTTGGGGGCATAATACTAAAATATGCAAATGACTACGAAAAAAGTCACTATAGAACCTAACAGAAGAAACATTTCCAGTTACATGTGACGCCCAAACGCACCAATAGCTACCGCATGGAATGCAGGTGATGCTTGGGATCATCATGGGGGTCCAACCCAAGATTTGCACGACTCTGACTTTGAATGTTACAGTCATTGTGGCATTGAATTCCAGGGTGGAAACATCAGTTTAATTGTTTTAGTGACCAGAAAACAAATTTTGATATGCGTCGGCTTACCCAAAATGAAAGGTTACGTGCCCTTGGCATGCTACAGATCGGCACAACACAGGCGGTTGTGGCGCGGACGATGAATGTTTCTCAGTCTGTCATAAGCAGGCTATGGTCCAGATACCGTGATACACAATCTGTACAGGACAGACCACGCTCAGGTCGACCAAGGGCGACAACTCAAGCCCAGGATCGATTTATCTGTACCTTGGCCTTGAGAAATCGTGTCATCACAGCAAATCAGATCAGCGCTCGTCTTCAAACAGACACTGGTGTGAGAGTGAGTGGCCAGACGATTCGGAATCGACTGCATAGGGGTCACCTTCGCGCCCGACGTCCTCGCGTGATCCCTTGTTTGAGAGATCATCACATTCAGGCAAGACGTCGTTGGTGTAGGGATCGTCAACACTGGGATAATCGACGCTGGAGCAATGTGATGTTTTCAGATGAGTCAAGGTTCACTGTTGATTTTTTGGACAGACGTAGGAGGGTGTGGCGTCGTCGAAACGAGCGCTTCCAAGACGTTAAACGTCATCAGACATGATCGATTTGGGGGTGGTTCTGTTATGGTGTGGGGAGGCATCACTGTTGCTGGAAGAACGGCTTTACATGTTGTTGCAGGGCGTGTTTACAGGCCAGTACTACCGGGACAACATCTTGGCAGTCCATGTTGTGCCGTTCGCACGACGTCATGGCCGCCGTTTCATCTTCCAGGATGACAACGCAAGATGTCACAGGGCCAGGATCGTTACAGGTTACCTCCAACAACAGAACATCACCACATTACCTTGGCCAGCACTGAGTCCCGACCTCTCCCCCATCGAGCATGTCTGGGACATGCTTGTACAGAGGTTACGTCAACGTCAACAACGTCCTGCCAATGTCCAAGAACTTGCTGCTGCGTTGCAACAGGAATGGGACAATCTGGACCAAAATGACCTTAGACGTCTCATTAGGAGTATGCCACGTCGGATCAATGCTTGTTTGGCAAACAGAGGAGGATTTACCCGTTACTGACTTGGTTGTGATGCTGTGGTAACTTTGCTGTTTGACCCCGGGTATCATTTTACCCTTATAATGGTCAGTCTGTGCCTTACTTAGTCTAACGATCATTTGGAATAAATCGATGAATGTGAACTTCATTTCATTTTGTCATTTGTTTCTTCGTCAGTTTCATTAGGTGACTTTAATAACACTTAAAAATCAAATATCCCCTACTTTTTTTGAATAGTATATTAAAAGACAAATTATAAATGTTTTATTAGTTCCAAGTTCAAATATTGTACTTTCCACCAAGAACAGGGTATTTGTTAGAAAGTTTCAAGATAATAGATCTCTTGGTCTACTTAATTTTGATAGGAACAATCTAGATTTGGGGGTTCCTATCTATAGAGTACTTAGTGTCAAAGAAAAACCACTGCCCTAGATTGTCAATTTTATTTTCGGATCACAAATTCCTAATGCAAATCCATATTTACTTTTAAAGCTGTTGAAGACAGTATTTTTGATAGAATATTTTGACATTTGGTTAGATGGTTGATTGGGGGTTTAGGCTTACAAAGCAGGCTGACAGTATAACCATGACTCAGAAATTGACAAATTAAATAATAGATTTATGGCATGTCTTAAGATCAGTGGCATGTACTAGATGTAAATAAACAGCCCATAAAACTACATAAGCTTATAATTCAGATATCTAAGTACATGTGTACTGTACATACTGTAAATATAAATGATTATAAGAAATGTGTCATGCAATTAATGGGGATGGGATAGGAATGGGGTTTAACGCCTTGTCAACATAATACTTTGGTCATTTAGAGAATAACAAAGATATTTTTTGGTCTTGTCACATGTGGAATGCTAGGGAGGACAATTTTATCAAATTTCAATGGGTTCTTCATGTACACTCCAATGTGTACAAGAGAGAGAGAGAGAGAGAAATGGGGTTTAACCTCCACTCGACAAAAAACTAGGTTATTTCGGGACTAACACATGGTTCAATTTTATTTCTTTAATTCGCTTGCACGTAGGGGTCTTTAGCAGTGAGAGGAAACCGGAGGACCCAGAGAAAACCCACGAGTTTGGACAGATGACCCTACTCCTTATCACGTACAACTGGGGATTCGAAACCACGCCAGTTGACTAAATGACAGACCTTATGATACAGCACGCACATGCTAACCATTCGGCCATCCCCCCCCCCCCATGTGTACACGGACGTACCTCGATTTTGATATAAAGGTTCATGATCAAAAGGAATCCTCCTTTTAACTGGCTGAAAAATTTATTGAAATGTTAAAATGATCTGATGATAATTGTGACATCTACTGATCAAGGGATTTGTAATTCAGACAAGAGTACTTGTTTATTTCAATAAGCTGAAAAAAAAACATCCTTTGAAAATTTCCTGTTTCAATAGCCCAACAGGAGTCTTAACAGAAAAGTATAACGCTAAACCCCATTTCATCTGACAATTTCAAAATGGTTCCATGGTATACAGACAGACATGGTGACAACAACATATGACCAAATTAAGCATGGAGGATAAAATGGAGATTGTCGCCAATAGATGTAGCAGATAACTGTAAGATAATTATATCTTTCATTGCTATCTAATTTATACTTTGTTTTGAGCTGGTTATTTTACACAATTGTATTGCCTATATAAATAACTTCTTGTTTTGCATTATAAGAATTCTACATGCAGAATGCAAAATGTTTTTCAGTTGATAATGTAATAATAGCAAATTCTTTTATTTGATTGAATTGGAAACTATTATGGATGTAAAATTTACAAAATACACAATTAGCACTGGCATTCTAGGACCGGTAATGCAGGTTTAAAATTCTGGCAATTTTCCCTCATTTTCTACATGATAAACAATATCCGCTAGGCATCCATCTACAATGGACTGAATGGCTGCATCTGACATGGGTCTAAATGATTCAAGTCCTTTTGGTGGAAATTTAAAATCTGGTCCACAATTCACAGTAACGGTAGTAGTTTTATAAAGGGAAAATGCTGGGTAATATATTCCCTCATATATGTCTTCAAATGCTACACCTTGGTTTTTACCATTCTTAAAAAACATTATTTTACTTCCTGTACATGGTTTTAAACTTTTTTCTGATTCTGAAACATTGTCTTTATCCTCATAATATAGATGACTTTTAAACTTCACTAGCGGTCTATCTTTGTAGGTTGTGGGTAATAGTTTACTTGGCTTTTTAGGAGTAGGTAAGTAAATGTAAAACCCAACTACGTCTCCCTCTTCAAAGCCGTCCCTGTAATGTTTTCCTCGACTTTGATGGAAAACAGTTCCTTTTCTCGAACGCCAGGAGTAACTGAACTTGTCATATCCACAAGGCGCTTGAAGGTTTCCTAAAGATTGAGACCAACCAATTCTTGTAGCACCATCTGGGGGCATCTCTTCAATAGTAGCCTCAAAATACCAGCCACCATATCTCACTCCGTGACTTGCACGCAACATAGAGTAGCCTTTATCACCTGTTACACTGAGTCTGTCATCTGAAACTTTGAGTTGAGGTGCTCTGTCATGAAGAGCTAGTAGAACATGATTAGCCAAGCAGGTACGATACAGATACCCTGGAATTGGTTTACCTGCCCATTCTTGGCTGTCATCAAAAGCCTGGCGGTTAGGAGCATGTGGATCTGACTCTGCTAAAATATAACGATAACCATCTTTGTTGAATGGATGTTCAAGTGGATATCCATGAGCCATTAATTTATTTGAGGGTCCTATTTCATTTTTCTTTTGTTTCATTCCTGAAAATGGTATATTGTCAAACGGAGCCTTTCTCTTTGCACTTCTAGATTTCGTAGTGTCTGATAATCCCAGACCCGAGGAAGCATTTCTCAAATTTTCATAATTTGGCGCTATCTTAGACAAATCTGGATTGAGTAAGCTAAAATTTTCTCCACTTTCATCCGACAGAAATAAATCATTTTCTTTGTGCAGTGTCTTCAATACAGTGTTATGCCATGTGGATTTTGTTCTTCTTGATAAAATTGTAATGCCTTCCCAATTTTTATCAATAAAAGGAATTATATCTTTATCTTTTGAGAAAACAGTCTTAGTTTCTCCTCTTGACAAAGCATCATGTGTAAGATTTGCCAATGCTGTCAAACAAATTTGACTAAAGCTTGCCTGTTTTCTTTGGAATTTATCAATTGCTGTAGGACTACAGGTTTTACAACAAAATTGGTAATTAGTTATAAATGGGAGACAAACACCATTTACACCATCCACACAGTTAACATGGAACCATCTTAAGCACAGTGTACATTGTATTTCCGCAGATCCAACGATTCTAGGTTTATCACAATAACAAGTGGCTTCAGAATCGGTCTCATTCATTTCACTGTCCTGTGACTGGTTGGTATTTTCGTCAGAAATCATAGGTTCAGAGTTTTCCATGATTGGTTTTCAGTCAACTTATTATCACTGTAGTAATATTATAAGCACAAATGAAGGCAGGGATATCGAAAGTTTTGTTTATAAACATTAAATGGTTATTCTGAAGCCAAAAAAACACAGCATCCTTTATACTTTATTGTTTATTCTTAACCCGCCATATTTGACCGGTTATTAAATTAGTAATTCGACTGCTTGCTCAACTATGCATTTTAAAATATGTCTAAGATTATAACTAATACATGGGCAAGCAAATGCAGTGTATTTATTTTTTATTTAACGATGCTGTTTTGTAGAATAAATTGAAATGGAAAAAAAACCAATAAACAAATCTCAAATAATCATTACTCCCTTGTCAAATGAGTTATTCCCCCATGATTCTTCAAGGCGGCGCTCTACTCAAAATGATGTAGTTTTGCACGTGTTGAATGTTGTTATTTACAATACTACAAAAATAGGGGTTGTCAAAAGAGTGTGTTTAAAAATTTGATTTGGCAATCAAACTAATAAAATATACATATTCCCTCATATAATTGGTAAGTTTGCTATACAGCTTAAAACTAGTTGCAGTGTAATCACGGGCCCTATTATTATTATAACCTTGCTTATCTTATATAGTCTAGACGTAAAAATGTTCACTGACCAAAATTCGGCGGTGTTGGTTCAATGGTTGATCTAACAACTTTTTTCATTTTTGTTTTTCTTCACTTTTATCCTTTCTCTTTTAGGGTTAGGGTACCCACGAAAATGCAAGGAAATATTGAATAGGAAGTTATTACGGTAATGAACTCACCCACTGCAGTCGGTTGAATGTCCTCTGTAACTGTATGTATCTAAAAAAAAGTAGTCAGATGAGCCAACAATGCCCCTTATCCTTATCATTACAGCGTATGTAGGCCATGGAAGCCTTTTGTTGATCGTAAGTCAATTAACAGGGGCGGATCTAGGAATTTTGAAAAGGGGGTGCACCGCAAAATGAGGGCACTGACCGCAGAGACTGGGCATTTCCGTCATTTCCTTGCATCTGTAGCCATTCCAAGAGCTATTTGGCTGATATTTTTGTCTAAGTAAACGTTTGGAAATCATTGAAAAAGAGCCTTAAAATCAAGCAAAAAAGCCAGTTGAACATGCGACTTGAAAATTGTCATGGCGAGCAAGCCATTATGATGGCAAAAAAAAACAAATCTATTCCCTAGCCACTTCATTATTTCAGCCTTGTAACTTGTTCTGTGTACTGTCCACACATGAAACAATGCTACTTCAAGTTGCACTCATGCGCATCGGTGATGGGCATGAGTGTATACACCGCCGATTCCAAAAGATGCTATCATTGATGTCTGTCTATAGTCACTCTATAGGATTAGGGCACTGTCAGCTAAACAACAAGAATTCGAGACCAGACTGGTGGTTTTGAGTCGATGGTTTGAGTCATTTGGGATCCCCTGCAACGGGGTGGGAACGGACATATTTGGGTCTGAGAAAAGGCACTTTCAGCAGTAGAAAAAGGGCACTGTCGAAAGTTAGGGGGGGGGCGCATGCTCCTCGCGCCCCCCCCCTTGGATCCGCCTCTGATTAAAACACGGATCACAGTTATATTACTGTTTGGCACAGTTATGTTAAAGTAGCTAAGTCTCTAACTCAATATCATCCAAAATCTTCAACATTGAAAACACAAATTATTTGTCAATTTAAATCAACATTGATGCTGTGATCTTACCGGAAAAAGATAGGCTTCTGATATCCAATATTTAAGACAAAATAAACATTTTACCATTGGTACACGAATCGTGTACCATAATGCGTTTCAGCCCCAGTTCTAGCAAGAGACTCGAGGAACGAGGCTAGACATATTGCACCAAACCAAATGGCGTATGTAGACTGGAATAACCAGGCGCTAGAAATTTGCATTCGATTGAGACTGCTGGCTTATTTCGCGGAACATAACTGATTTGAAATTAGAGTAAAAACGGAAACCATTGAATGTATATCAGTTTATATACATTTATATTACAGTATTATACGAGTTGCGACCCACTTGTGTCAATTTCTAGGTCCCAAATGTTAGCGATTTAGCTCCTTTAATGTAAATGTTCCCCATTGGGTCATTGTGGCGTATCAAGTTAAATATATATTAGTGTCATGGCACAAAAATATGAGTTTCATTCACAAGTTTTAAATTTAGCGTCCTGATTTATAATTGTCCCCCGCCTTTCGAAGTAAGCAGGGGACTATTAAAATGGGTTCGTCTGTCTGTCCGTCACACCTTTTGGGACACAATAACTAATTGACCTAGAATGTTCAAATTTGGTGTAGGTGTTTATTAGGTCAATACCTTGACTAAGTTCGATAATGAGCATTTTCTGCTCGGGGTAAGCAGAGCGATAAGCAATTTGATTGGCCAAGACTTTGGAACAAAATAACTCTCCTTCTAATTGAGCTACAATGTTCACACTTGGCATAGGTGTTTATGAGGTCAATGCCTTGATAGAGTGTGAAGATGAGCATTTTCTGCTTATGGTAAGTAGAGATAGCAATTTGATTGGTTGATAATTTGGGACATGATAACTTTAGTTCTAATTAAGTGAGAGTGATGAAACTTGGTGTATAGTTTCATTACATCAATACCTTGACTAAGTTCGATGATGAGTATTGTCTACTTAGGCTAAGGAGCAATAAGCATTTTGATTGGTCAAGACTTTGGAACATAACAACTCATTGAGGTAGAATGTTTAAACTTGATGTAGATGTTCGTCTTGACTGAGTTCAATGATTAACATATCGAGCTAAAGCTAAGCAGAGATAAGCAATTTCCTTGGTCAATGCTTTGGGACAAGATAAGTTTGATTCTATCTGATTGAGAGTGATGAAACTTAGTGTATAGTTGATAATCAGTTTGATTGCTCGATACTTTTGAAAAAAAATAGATGTGCGATTAATTAATATATGTCATCTATTTATTTGGGGATTTCGGCGGGGGACATCAGCCTCACTGTTGGCTTGTTTAATTTGAACACAGCGTACATAATCAAGTTCAGTTTTTGTAATGCGTCTAGTTTTAATCTTCATCTACATGTACCCGTCCGTCGTCCACAATTTCTTGTGAACACTCTACAGACTACATTTATCATCTGTTTTTTTTTAAAATTAATATATGTGAGATGAAGAAGCCTATTTAATTTCAATAACTTTCGTTAATTTCTTCTGGAGTTATGGCCCTTGTTTCACTTTCTTGCACCTTGTGAACACTCTAGCAACAAAAGTTATCAACCGATCTGTATGAAATTTATATGCATCATTTAAATTAGTAAAACAAAGAAGCCTATAAAATTTCAGCAATTTCCGTTAATTACCTCTAGAGTTATGGCCCTTGTTTCGATTTGTTGAATCTTGTGAACGCTCTAATGACAACGGTTATCATCCAATCTGTTTGAAATTGATATGCATCATTTAAATTAGTGGAATGAAGAAGCCTATTGAATTTCAGCAATTTCCGTTAATTATGCCTTGAGTTATGGCCCTTGTTTCACTTTGTTGTACCTTGTGAATGCTATAACGACAAAAGTTATTATCCGATCTGTATGAAATTTATATGTATCGTTTAAATTAGTAAAACGAACAAGCCTATTGAGTTTCAGCAAATTTCCCTTAATTACATTTAAAGTTATGGTCCTTGTTTCACTTTGTTGAATCTTGTGAACGTTTGAATGACAAAAGTTATTACCCAATCTGTGTGAAATTTATATGCATCATTTAAATTAGTAAAATGAAGAAGCCTATTGAATGTCAGCAATTTCCGTCAATTACTTCTAGAGTTATTGTCCTTGTTTTACTTTGTTGAACCTTGTGAGCGTTCGAATGACGAAAGTTATCATCCGATCTGTATGAAATTTATGTGGATTATTTGAATTAGTAAAACGAAAAAGCCTGTCAAATTTCAACAATTTCTGTAGATTACATCCAGAGTTACATCCCTTGTTTTAGTTTTTAGAACCTTGTGAACCCTCAAATGACGAAAATTATAATGTCAACTGTATGAAATTATCTATTAAATGCCCCTAATTACCTACAAAAGAATAAATATACGACAACCATTGTCGACCGCTCAGACGATTTAGCTGCTGTGGGCGTATGTTTTGTTGTCTGGCAACCTATCTTTTACAAGTTTTAGTGAGTTACCGCATGTGCCTTGTATAACGGATGGGACTGAGACTTAACTTTGCAGCTGTAAGTGAGGTCTGTTGACGTATTTACCATTTAGAAACTTCCAACACTCGATCATGTCTGAGCGCATATGATGATAGTCTAAGCCTTTCAGAAAGGGGACGAAACGCGTGGCGCGACATAGGACATTTTCAACCTTTACCTGTTGCCCTTTTAACATGGGACGCCAAATGCTAATGCCGTGTTCGAGATGTGGTCTCACCAGGGCACTAAAGCGCAGTTTCATAGTATCTGAATGCATGAAGGTAAATGTGCGTCGGATAAGACCCAAGTGTCTGGTTTGCTTTTGCTACTTGAATTTCCATGTGGTCCTTGAATCTAAGTTGATCATCAATAGTGACGCCGAGGTCTTTCTCGCTTCTGACACTTTCCAGAGTGGCTCCGTCCATTACATAATTATGGTTACTGATATAAGCCTTAGAAGCAACGTGTAAAACTTTGCATTTGGATGCCTTGAAAGGAAGTTGCCATTTCTGGCTCTATGCAGATAATCTATTTAGGTTGTCTTGAATTATGTTTGCTGCTGCCAAGGTGCTTACCTCGCTGAAAATTTTAGTATCATCAGCAAACATTTCGCAGTCATTAACGATAGTGTCCGGCAGGTCATTTATGTAGCAGGCAAATAGTACAGGTCCTAACGCGCTTCCCTGGGGAATCACAGAGGAAACTGGGGCCCAGAATGACATCTTGCCGTTAATACAGACACGTTGACGTCGGTCATGAAGAAAGTTTTCAATCCACTTCAGAATTTTACCTCTAATGCTGAGCGCATGTAGCTTGCAGGATAGTCTGAGATGTGGTACGGAGTCAAACGCTTTAGGAAAATCAAGGTAGATACAGTCCACCGGAAATGCCACTTCGATAGCTTCCGTTCAACTGTCCAGAGTTGCCAGCAGGTTCGAGGTACAGGAGCAATTCGGGACAAAACCATGCTGTTTATCAGATATGAGATTCTCACACATTAGGTGACCCATCACTGCTTTCCTTACTACTTTTTCCATTATCTTGCATGGGACACGTGTAAGGCTGACAGGTCTGTAGTTGCCTGGTTCGGCCTTCAAACCTTTTTTAAAGATTGGGGTAACATTGGCCTCACGCCACTCTGATTGGTCAGGTATTGATCCTTTGTCGAAACTTATCTTGAAAATAGTTGAGAGTATTCGTGATAGTACATCAGCAAGTTCTTTCAATACTCGTGGGTGTACCCTGTCCGGGCCTGAAGCCTTGTTCGGGTTGAGTTTAATCAACTCATCCTGCACCGCACCTGGGCTGATATGAATGTCAGAGATCTCCAATTGTGTTTATGTTGTGGGCTTGGAAATATTCTCTCGGTCCTCTACTGTGAAGACTGATGCAAAAAAATCGTTTAATACCTCAGCCTTTCGTTCACCACTAGTTGCCATACCTGCTTCAGGATTGTTCAGATGGTTGATTTTGGCTTTCACTTTCATTTTGGATTTGGCATATGAGTAGAAGGCGTTAGGGTTACTCCTAGCCTGTTTCGCGATATCACGTTCGAAGGTCCAAGTTACCTGACGACGCGCCTTTTTTGCTTGCCCATAAGCTTTTGTATATTCCAGGTAGCGCTTGCCTTCTAGTGTCTCTAGATAATGCTGAAAAGCTGCATGTTTCTTTTTCACTTTTCTCAGTGGCTTCTCATTCATCCACAGTGGTTTCTTTCAAAATGACTTGCTACCTGCACATCAGGTTTTCTTGGGAATGTGACTGTCCTGGAGCTGATTTAGCTTGGTCATGAATATGTTCCAAGCTTCATTTACTGACTTATTAGCTAGTAGGGATTGCCATCTGTTTAACCCAATTCAATATTTTCAATTTACATGTGACACAGAACTAGCCATGGTGAATTTTTTTTTAACCTCTGAGTCTGAAGACTACCAAACACATTTTATCTATAGTTTCTAAATAGTACCATACTTAAAGTTGAAAAGCAATTAACCACAATACAGAAAAATAATAATTGATTATTAAATTAATCAGTTTGAATTTGGAGAAACTGTGTCTCAGTGAGTGAAGCACTCTCTCACCAAACCGGAGATCTGGGGTTCGATCCCGATAAAGTTTTCAAACATGGTATCGCCTTTTCAATGCTGCAGGATGTTCACTGTTGTCCATGAAATTGCATGTACACTAACTTAAGTGTATTCTTTCGACATGAATTTTCAAATCTATAATATTCATATAATATAAAGGTACCGTACCTAATAACAGAAATAGCTTGAAAACGAACCAAAATAATAGTATACTTATTCTATTTGAACATGTATTTCTTTAGAATTAGAGATTAGAAATCAAAAATGAAAGGCAAAGGAAAAGTTAACCCAAAGAAAGCAAGCACCACCAAAATAGGAAATAAGACAAATTCAAAATTGGCAAAAAGAGGAAAACTAAGAAAGGGTTTGTACATTTTTCTATTATTGCAATATATTTATAGCAAGCATAATAAAGATGACACTTTAGACTTAAATTAAAGCGAGTATTCCAGCAAATCAACAGGTGCTCTAAAAGAATATCTAGATAATGATCTACACAAATGTAGGAACTGTCATTATTTATAATTGTCTAGCCAGAAACCATATTTTATTGAAACCCAATAAGTTTGCCACTTTCTTTTTCCATTAAACTACATGTACGTTCATTGTAGATGGAGGTAATGGTCAGGTAATGATAATGGGATATTTAAAAATGAGTAATGGGGAAAGTTATCAATTACAGTCAAAATACATGTATCATGTAATTGTCAATTACTTTTCATTACACTCTCTAACAGAATTCCAGTACATTTGATTTCCAGAAAACAAAATATAGAATTACATGTTAGAGTTTTGATTTTCTTTACTTGTTACTACTGAAAGGTACAATCAGATGAAAAACGGCATTTACTGATTAATATGTATTGCTTACAGTATTTACGAAAATGTACCATTTACATGCAATAGAGTGTTAAGATTTTATTATAGGAAAACAGAAAAAGAAGCAGAAAGAAAATGATAGAAAGATGAGAAATATTCCCAGAATAGAACCTGTTAGTTATAAACGTTCCCAGACATTCGACAGTGAAGGAGAAGAGGCACACGAGGATGATATGAATATTGATGATAAAGATTACATATATTTTACAAGTCCTGGAAGAGATTTTTCATTTTTATCACAGATTGACAAAAGGTACATTGTATTATATAATTGTCATTTAAAGTACATGTAAATTAAATCATGACTTCGTGAATTTAAGCTGCACCTTGTGTTCCGTGGATTCAGGGGAGATGCCTGACAGTTTATGTTTAACGGGCACATAAGATGGACGAAAAAACTTTATTGTACGTATAGCCACTTTACGTCAAGTTCACACCAATCTGATTAAAATTGATTCAGCTATCTTTACTCAAAGTCGTAAAAAGAGACCTCCTGTAAAAACTACTTTGTCAATTATCGGAAACACTCTAAATCCCCTCAGACGCCAGTGATGTCACAGTGACCGAATGCAAATTCGAAATGTTTATTCCTTAATTACCTATTTACAGCTGGAGTGTGTATTCATTAACGCCTGACTGATTCCTTAATCCCCTAATTAAATAAAACAATTGACTAATTCCTTAATCCCCTAATTAAATAAAACAAATAATTTGTTTTGTCATTTATCTCTGTGTATTGATAATAGGCAAGTGTAGTGTCGTTAATATCTGTCCTTAATCAATCGGACTAAAGTTGCAAAGACATGGGGTCATAAATTAATTTACACCTCGAGTGCTTGTGGGATTAAGAATGCCGATTAGGTAATTATCTTTTTTACGCCGGCCAGATCAAAGACATCACTCAAGCTGGAAACGGGCATAATACCCCACGAACGAACAAAACAAGTTACAGGGGAACTTTTCTATAAACATTTCTCCACACCACAACTAATCGTTGAATCGTACACACGTTAATTGTATAAAATAATTAAGTTTTACTCATCAGTTGTCTATAATTATTCCTTACCCAATAACCAATTATTTGTTGATTGGATTTTAGACAACATTTAATTGACTTGATATGAAATCTGAATATAAATTATTCGATGGATAAACGTTTGTGATAAGATTAGGTTATAATGTCTAACATCATTCAACTTCTTTATAAAAAAAGGTATTTTACAATAACATTTACAGTTTAATCACTCACCAAACGGCATCAGGAACTCCACGTATAATCAGGTGTATTTAATATTCATGTCCATGAATCCAATGCAAATTTCTTGCCAAAATTTGATCTTAGTTACTACGCCCGTAGTATGCATGGAACTGTACATGGTTGATTGGCTGCGAAATGAGAGTGATCTATTGTTATGCATAGTCATCGGAAAATTCCATATTTGCTGTGAATTTCAAATGAAGTTACGAAAACAGTTGTTCTCTGTGTATAGAAATGGTTATTATTATTATATATAGCTAATAATGAATATATTGATAAGTGAATAGCACCATTTGTATTTCTGTACTGATAGAGAATAGTTTGGGATATCAAATATTGCAGAGTTATCCAAATTACCGGTAAATGCGCTAATTGCTTGGATCGTCTAAAATAGTCCAATCACAAATGTCTAATTTATAGCAATTCAAGACGATAATTCAGAGATTATGATTAGGTCAGTCATATGTTAATTGGACGATCAATAAACACTTGTCAGCTGGTGGTGTGTATAGGCAGTGATATATTGTATAGACAGTGATATATTGTATAGATAGTGTATATGACTGTGTGTAGTCCTTGTGACGTCACCAGCCAATCAACTGAATAATTCTAACCGGATTGATGTGAACTTGCTATAAAGTGGATATAGTAACCATTGGCTAGGCTATACGTACCGAAAAGTTTTCCCCCCATCTAATGTGCCCTTTAAGTCTAGTTTTTATCCAGATCGATCCAATAGTAAGTGTAGAAGGACTTCACCACTCATAATAGAAAACTGACACCAAACCCTAAGACCTAACAAAAAATGGATGTCATCAACATCAGAACATTGTAATCAAGTGAATGAATCTTAGGAGGAGCAGTAAACTGCACACTACGGTCTTAGGTCTGTCTGACACATGGCTCAGTAAGGCACTGACTCACTCACCATGATCTCCAAGGTTCGATCCGGGGTTTGCTGAGAAAGTTCCTCATAATATTTCATTGTTGTTTCCACCTTGTCAGTGGTGCAGGATGGAGGGCCTGGTAGGGACAGCGTCTAGGCATTTGGATGAGACACAAAACCGAGGCTACATGTACATGTTGGCAAGCATGTAAAGGAACCCTTATTTGTTGAAATTTGATAAAGAGTAGGTGGAACACTGCTGTCCGGGCAAAATGCACACTGCATGACATATTTTTCTGTCTTCATTATTCCTGTTGGTGCTAAACAGTAGGATGTTAAACCTTCACTTCTATCTGACACAGGCTTCAATTGATCTGTAATATTTAAAAAGTTTGAACTATGGACAAAATATTAACACCAGGAAATTATATTTGAATTTTATTATTCTAGACTAGAAACAACTGAATCTAAGAAACGAAAAAGAAAGAAGTTTGAAGATGGCCAGACATTAGATTGTGAACAAATTCCCCGTAAACTCTTTGCTGGGTCAAATGGAAAAGGTGTCAGACATCTTTTACCAATCAAAGATAAAGGAAAGATAATTGAACAAGTTGTTCCCAAAACGATCAATGGTGTGTATTGTGATATTTTATTATCTACTCTCGCAGAAATATGAGTTACTGTTTGTATGAGTATGTTTAAAAGATTCATAATGTACCAGTTAATTATGTAACAAGATTATAGTCTGGCATTTTTTGTATGTATACAATGTGTTGCTTCAATTTTAATTAAGAACCTGAAGAAATAGAACAACCAGTGAAAGAAGACCCTATGCATGAATTGCCTCCTGTGACAAATGTTGAACTGTTTTTACTCCGAAGAAAGACATTGGCAGAAATGAAAGAAAAAATAGCCAGCTATGCAAATACAATTCTTGCTAACCCTGAGGATAATGTAAGTACAAATTAATAATTGGTATAATGAAATGTATTTGATACTTTAAAAGCCAAAATCACTAATGCAGTAATTATACAAGTTAATTTTGTTTTTGTATTGAGGTGATGTTTAATAACCAGTAGTCTTGAACCTCTATAACACTTAAAGACAAGATCCAAATAATATTTTGAAAAACAGAAATGAGTATCAGCAGCAAATTATTTGCTTAAAGGAGCTAAACTTCTAACTCAATGATTTCCATAATATTCAAAATAAAAAACATGAATTAGAATTCAATATTGGTCCATGTCAATAAATACTGGTGTACCTTGCCGAGAAAATATGGGATCCTAATATCCTATATTTAAGACACAGTTAACATTTTAAAATCACTTCATAAGTCTTGTACACTATGGTTTTGTGTGCCATTTGTAATGAACAAAGAAAAACATATCCTACAAGAAAATGCAGAATTATTTAGCAATGGCTGATTGACAAACAACAAGACAATATTAAAAAAAAAACGTGTTTGATGGACTAAGCAGTCGTAAACAACTGCCGTTCAATTTAGCCTGTTTGCATATTTCATCGAACATAATTGATTAGAAATTACAATATTTTTTTTTAAAAATGAATATAAATCACATTATATTCTAGAGCCATATGCCCTTTTTACATGATATATGTTATAAATATATTTCAGTTAAAAAAGTTAAAAGAACTGAGGATGATGTTAACTACTAATGAAATATCAAGTACAGTTCATAAGTTGATTCTGGTATCACTTTTAGAAATTTTCAAGGATACTATTCCAGGTTACCGGATACGAGTTCTTACAGATAAGGAAAAGGATCATCAAGTAATTAAGCTTAATCTCTTCTGTCTATGCCCTTAGGGGATCACTATAATTCTTATGTTGGAGTGCCTAAGTCTACATCTGGCTAAATGCAATATAACAGTTTTAGGAGCCATATCCATACACCATCTAAGGAATCATTGTCCAAACGAGCCAAAAATGTACACTTGGTTGCAATAACAGGTTTCAAACTATAGATGTACCTAAAATGTGGATTCATGTTTAACTGCTAGTATTTCAAAGATTTTATGCTGTAGATGCTAAACAATAAGTCCCTCACAGATACATAACTATAATGGTTGCTTTCAGTTTGCGTGTAATGCTTTGGTATAAAGTCGTACTGATTTAGAGAACCGATAGATAGATGAAAAGATCTACACGAAGAATGCTTATTTTAACCCTTCCTGAGCTAACCACTTCATACCCATAGAGGGCTATGCAAATATTGAGTAAAAATCAAGCTTTAGACCCTGTTGTGAAAAACCATGCATACCTTGAATATGAATGCGACTACAACTGTAAAATTGCAAATGTATATCCATTATATATGACTTGGGATTTTTGCATATGTTTAGTTTAGATTTTATGGTTACTATGGTTACCAGTGTGTTTCAAAATGGCTGCCATATTATTGTCATAAATGAAATATTGGATATTTTCTTGTCATTAAAAAATTCAAGATGGTCAGGAATAAAGCTATATGGATTATTAACATGATAGATATCTCTTTTGTAAGAATAGTATAGGTTTTTGGGGAAAAGTCACTAAATTGTGATAATAATGTTTTTTTTCTAAAAATAATAATATGTAAACGAGCAGTATTGACAATTTTGCGGTAGGCAACACACATATAAAAATCATCAGTAACAAGTTTTTATTAACAATAAAATAAAAATAAATTAAATATTTGGAAAATATCAATAATATATACCGAAATATTCACATTAGGGTTGCCATGGTAACCAATTTGACCATATCGTCTACGTTTATATTGGTAGCGATCTAAGTGCGCGACTGTATAAAAGCAGACGAATAATTTCCTCCGGAGAAGTCTCCCTTTTTTGTGTCTTTACTTTGTGACAAACATCTGAATTTTCATCACAAGAAGAATCCCCACTAATAGTATAGTCACTACCCGAATCCAATATAGGCGTGACGTCATCGACATAGGGACTCCCGGCTAAATTCAGCCGAAGTCTTTTTGTTGTGAAGGACGCCATTCCTCGGCTGTTCTGACTATTGATGGTTGTTCCGTCAATAGAGGAAACCCCCTCGTAATGAAAACTCGTGTTATACACCATCTAAGGTTAAAACCATGCTTTTACAGGGGAGTAAACCAAGTTAAATAAACTTCCCGACTATCGTTGGGTGCCGCTCTGACAGACTATAAAATTATCCCGACAATCGTCGGGATTAGCTCAGGAAGGGTTAAATAGTGAAAAAAAAAAAAAAGATTTACATATGTATTTTTATATTGTTTTCAGCTGAAAAAAGATACTAAAAATTTAATGGAATATGAAAGTCAATTCTTGGTCAACTATAAACATTATATTGAACACTTACAGAATGCAGTTAGACGTAAGAACATTATTTCTTTATATTATGCATAAATCAGTTTTATTAATGATTACAGCAATGTCTGTGTATGTTGTATCTTGTCTGCATGTTGGTTTTATTAGTTTTGTTTGTATATATTAGTTGTTCAGATCTTTCTGCTGCACTGCTGTTTTAAGGATGTTGTTTTCATAAAATTCCAAGTCTAGATACACAGACTAAAAAGTAAAACGTTAAACTCTATTTCATTCATTGCTTGCTAGATTCTAGGCAGGAACATTAATCCTGTTTTTCCAATGTTCTTATCACAAGACTACTGCAGCCCCCAAATCTTGAAATTTCCCTCTGCTAAAAGTAAGCTTTGTTGGAGTGGCAGGAAAAGTATAATTCAATTTTTTTATTAAAAAGTTCATATAAAATGTTACTTGTGTTCTCATATGTTATTTTACAGGATTTAAAAACTCTAAATATAAACATTTAAAAGCACTACCAGATGTATGCAAACAGGTAATTATATAATACAAAATCTATGAATTGTTTTAATTCTTTATGGTATTGAATTTAGATTTGGCATGGTTTTGATACTTTTAAAATGAAAAACAAATCATTCATTCATATTTGGTTTAGATTTAGATTGTGTTTATTATGTGTCTTCATGAGGTAGATACAGAATATTTTGGTAGAATGAATGCTAAAATAATGTATTTCCAGTCTTAGGATCTCAAGATCGAAAATCTTAATTATGTTGCTTATTCATACAAATATTATTTAACTACTTCTTTACCCTGATTATAAAACATCATTACTATATCATTTGTCTTATTTAATATGCTGTCTTTGTCGTATTTTTTAGAGTTTATTTGAGATATCCGTAAAGTGTTTAGCCAGTTTATTAGCAAATAATCCCCATTTTAATTATCGTAAAGATTTGATTCAAGCTGTGATACCCTTTATGAACCATAAAAAGCCAGAGGTTTGTTCTATTTATGTTATATTGCTTTATTACACAAATGTTTTTTGAGCTTGGCAATGTGGCCTTGTGTTCACCCAAAAGATATTTTTACAATGCATAAAATAAACAAAATGTAGCACATTTAATGTGGTTTTGTCTTCACTTTCTTCTAGATAAATATTTCATAATAATTTTCTCAAAGTTCTTCAGTTTGATAAATACACAGTTCTTACAAATTGTAATTCTCTCTATTATGTATCTGTAGATTGAATCCCCACATTTTATTCTATAGAGAAAGCAACGAATGTGTTGTGTAGTGTGCTATGTATTATATTTCAGTTGTCAACCTGTGTATGTGAAGCTGTAATAACAGTGTTTAAAAATGATACACTTGGTGAATCAACATTGGAGGTAACAATTTTTTCTGTTGAATGTTATATTAAATTTAATTGTAATGATTTAAAGATTAATACAGACAATTTTTCACAAATTCATATTGACGTGACACATTATTAAATTATGCTAATCTGTGTAGAAACTGTATAACATACAATATATTGTGATTCAAATTTAAGCAAGATTTTAATTATTTTTTAAGAATATGATGTTACATATTGAAAAATCCTAGTATGTCGTCTCAGGTTTACATTGTAGAAAGAATTTGTTCACTGCTCTTTCACATATTATTTGTCACAATATGTTGTCTTATAAGTTTGTTTTGTGTTATTAAACCCTGATTTACATCTTTTTGATTGAAGATTGTGAGAGCTATAGGAAAGTTTATTAAATCAAAGGATTTCAACAACATACAACCAAAGGTTTGTAAAATTAATTTATATTTGAACCTGTAAACTAAAGAGTTGAAGCAAATATACTTTTTTTTTTGGTAACATTTAAAAAAAAGTTCAAAATGTTAATACATTATTACTACTAAATTAAGAAAACTGGACATGTGAATGAAAGTTCGGAGTAATGAAGATGGCACTACATCACAACAACTAAGAGAAATGCAGCAAGAACTAGTACCAGTAAATCAAATCCAGTTAAATTATTTCAAAAAGTGAAAAGACGGATGAGCACTTTATTGGAATATGTTTGAAATGGTGTATCATTAAATATGTTAACCCATCAAAATATTTGGATGTATCTTTATAAGTACTTTGGTTGTAAAATATTTCAGGTTTTAGAAACTTATCTTAGTTTAAGAATTACAGATATCGATAAATTAATAGCTGAGACGGCTCCAAAGAAAGATAAGAAGAATAGTGAAGATATGTCAAGGAAGGAACGAAAGGTAGGTACAATTATGTTATTCTTGTATATGTCAGTATGCAATAAAATTGGCAGGAAATGACTATGTTCATATTTACAAATCTTCAGACTGAAGAACCCTGTTATGTCCAGAACTTACTTCATTCGCCAAATGTAGGGTCTATCCTCATTGGTATTCTCTGGATTCTTCCCACAACTATGCACAATTGGTAATAATATATATTACCATAATATGTTAGATCCAGAATGACCTAGTTTACCAAAATCTCTTTAACCATTTTGTTGAAAATATTAGATACTGGCGTATGACCCGGAGTTGCACAGGTTGTGCCTATAACTCTGAAACTGGAAGCGGTAGGCCAACTCCATTAGGCCTATATTACTCCCCGGTCCGAGCTACTCCTAAACACCAAATTTCAGCCTTGGAACAGCCCTAGTGTAACCGCCAACCCTGAACAGACAGACAAATGACAGTCACAAATATTGTATAGGGTGGTCCATCTCCTTGCAGGGAAAAAGGCTACACCACTAATTTTGATGACTGCATTATTTTCAATTTTCTTTTTAATTATATATTTAGAGAAAGAAGAAAATGCGAGTTTTAGAGAATGAACTATTAGAAACTAAAGCTACAGAAGACAAATCTAAAAGGCTGAAATTGGTAATTTATATATTTAAAATATTTTATGCAGGATTTTGTACCTATCTCTATTATAGAATGATTTTGTTAATACACTATACCCGTTGGGATTTCTGTAAATGATGTACTAGATGGTGGTAATTTTACATTTGTAATAAAGACAGGAAATTGCCATAAATATCTTGTAATGTTTATTGTTTTTCTGGAAAATTGTATCGTTTAATATAATATGTATAAGTTAGATTGAAGTTTTACATGGCTAAGCACTTACATGGCTAAGTGACTATAAAACATGTTTGATGAAGTATATTAAGTGTGTTTTAATGGTTGAGAGCGAGACATTAACTAATATATTGAAACAATGTAGTCCCTTGTGTTGTTTCAATATATTACGCAATGTCTTAAGCTTGAGACCATTAAACAGCTTAAAATACATCACGCGGGTCTAAAATTTCACTAGTACAAATAATGTATGCTTGGCACATTGCCCGTACCATTATTTGAAATTTTGGTACACCAACATCAAAGAATGACATCACATCTGTATTTTTAATTCAATTAGTGTATTGTAATTAATCTCTATTTTATGTAAAAAAAAATCAGAATCAATTGTTGGAATAACAACATTTCTGTTATCCATATTTCATGTAGAAGCATATTTTTGTCACCCTTGTCCATCGAAATTCAGAGTCGCTCATATATTTTTTTTTATAGAATTGCTTGTAAACACTCTACTAGTCAGTATATGTTTATATACCTTATAGAGTCAGGCCAAAAGTTTTTGGAGAGTTACTGGCCATGTCACTAAACCCTTGTTGACACTCTACAGTCAAGTCCAAGTTTTTGAGTGGTTTTTTTTCCAAACTAGCCGAGATTGTTTGGAAATCATCGAAATTTCCACTTACCCATCATTGGTATGTGCAGTTACTGCCTCTGAAAAAATATGCTTTAAAATATTACTGGTAGGCATATATTCACTGCCTGGCAATGCTATATTTGTAATTATATTGATGAAGTTGGATGTAAGGATTGCACCAAGAATAGTCCTCAGAAAAATGACATACAATATTAATTTATGTTTTCTTTTACAGCATACAGAGACACTTGAATGTGTATTCCATTCATATTTTCGTATTTTGAAATCTGCATCTAAATCACCACTATTGCCATGTGTATTAGAAGGACTAGCAAAGTAAGTAAGCCTTCTCTTCTGGAAACTCTTTCGATGGCATTTAGAAGTTGGTGAAATAAGTTTAGAAGTTTGAATAAACCACTAAGAATTCATAGTTCTCTTTTAGAAAAGCTGGGCAAATAATATACTCGATCCTTTATCTGACATAAAAATGTTTCGTATATTGTCATCACTCATCACCCCTTTCTCAACAGACTACTTTTAAAATCCGATCTTTTCAAATTTTATGTATGTTGTTTACATTATTGAGACAAAAAAGCCTGTTGAATTTCAACAATTTATGGTACTTCCTTCCATGACATTTGTCTTTGATATCTGTAGAATCTTATCATCTAATCTGTTTGCATTTTGTTCAGATTATTGAATGGAAGAAGCCTATCTGTCAATTAATTCTAAACTTACAGATTTTGATTAAGTTGTCGAATTTTATCACTACTTGAACATAAAAAGTCATCATCTTATAATTTAAATTTATATTCTTTGTTTCAGTAGCTATCAATGCTCCAATCATATTTTACAATACAAAGATATTTATTTTTGTTTCCTAAAGCATCGCAATACACTCTTAATAGACAGCTTGGACAACTTAACAGTTGTGGTTGTATGTTTTGTTGCCTAGCACGGCCATCTTTCTATATTTAAAAGTACATGGATATAAAGTTCTTTCCATCACTGATCTACTTTATTTCAGGTTTGCTCATTTAATTAACATCCAGTTTTTCAATGATTTGTTTGTTGTTTTAAACCAGCTAATAGATTCAGGGGTATGTATATCAATTTTTGATGATCTGCCATGACAAAGTCAATCACACCCGTACTAAGTTAACCTTTATTTTGATTGAATCTTTCATTGTTCTGGATGTAGCTAACAAGTAACCACTAAGGTCCCCCTAATTAAACCCTATTTGAAGATTTTTTTCAATTTTGAGCTTGAATAACATCAAATAGTGGCTTATCATACAACTTTTTATAAGTTTTCGATGGTTCCGAGTCCAAATATGGCCTCGGAAATAATCTCTGAAAATCCAATATGATGGCTAAAATCAACCATTTTCTGACATAGATAACCAATACAATGCAATAATATGTTTGTAATATGTCCTTTTATATGCCCACATTGTATATTGTCGTCGCCCCCATCCATCCGTCCCTCCGTCGGCGGTCAGGCATCAACAATTGCTTGTGGACACTCTAGAGGCTAAATTTACTATCCGATTGACTTAAATTTATACACAATGTTTAAGGTCATAAGACGAAGAAGCCTATAGATTTTTAGCGATTTCCGATAATTACTGCTGGAGTTATGGCCCTTGATCACTTTAAAAAATCTTGTGGACGCTCTAGAGGCTAAAGTTAATATCCGATTGACTGTAAATTTATACACAATGTTTAAGGTCACGAGACGAAGAAGCCTATTGATTTCAGATAATTACTGCCTGAGTTATGGCCCATGATCACTTTGAAAAATCTTGTGGACGCTCTAGAGGCTAAAGTTAATATCCGATTGACTTTAAATTTATACACAATGTTTAAGGTCATGAGACGAAGAAGCCTATTGATTTCCGATAATTACTGCATGAGTTATTTCCCTTGATTACTTTGAAAAATCTTGTGGACGCTTTTGAGACTAAAGTTAATATCTCATTGACTTTAAATTTTTATGCAGTGTTTGAGGTCATGAGACGAAGAATCCTATTGATTTTCAACTTTTTCCGATAATTACTGCCAAAGTCATGGCCCTTGATCACTTTGAAAAATCTTGTGATGCTCTAGAGGCGAAAGTTATCCGATTGACTTCAGATTAATACACAGAGTTTAAAGTCTTTATGCAATGAATTTTGATAACTTGAATAACTGAATCTATGATATTAAATGTTTCGTATACAAAACATTAGCACGGGTCAGAACTTTATGAAAGCTAAACAAATTCTAATGATTTTCTGATAATTACTTAATTAGTTGTTATTCTTATTATTCTTCATCAGATTTTAGTGTTTTATAAATGTTTCATTACCGAAAAAAGTAAAAATATGCGACAACTCTTGTTGACTGCCCGCTGCTGTGGGCGTATGTTTCGTTACCTGGCAACCTATCTTTCTATTGTTTGCTGCTTGGTTGAATTCTTGAACTCTTTCATTGTTTTTTTCTAGTTTGTATCAAATTTGTGACCTCTGAATAGTTTTAGTATTTTATTCTTGATGTGGTTAGTTCTTATCATATATACTTTACAAATGACCCAGTGTTTCTTACGCAGTTCAGCTAGAATCAATACAGCATTGTCCTTTGACCGTTGCTCTTGTCCTGCACGATTAGGTCACATCAGATACATCATATTTTCCTCTATAGCAGTTTTTGTAGGAAGTACACTATTTGGAAAACCGGGTTTTTCATTGTACAGCCTAGAAACTAGGTGCTCCTGTGCTGCGGAGCGTGTTGTTGTCGGCTTCTGTGTAGGCATTTTACATTATTGAGTTGCAGTCTGGAAATACACGAGTAAAACATTTCATTAGACCTGACATTACCGTTGTCAGAATCAGATGTAACAGTTATAGATCCATATGGTATTACCACCACATTGGATGTTCCTGTTCTAGTACTGACCATATATTCTTAATCAACACCCTCGAAAACCTAGAAAAAGACATTTGTCTATGTCAGAAAATGGTCGATTTTAGCCGCCATATTGGATTTTCAGAGATAAGCCACTATTTGATGTTATTCGAGCTCAAAATTGAAAAAAAATCTGAAAATAGGGGGTAGTGAGGGGGTAGTGAATTAGTAAATAAAAAATTGAACAATATTTTAGTTCCGGAATGACCCAGTTTGTGTAGAGTGGACCCCATTTCCCTTTCTTAACTTTACATATACTTGAGCTCTGCATACATGTTCTTTCTGATGTACAGTTACCTGGGAATATTCATTTTGCATCTTTTCTAATTTGTATAGGACTTGGCTTATCGTGAGATACTGCACTGTGTCCAATCAGCATTTACAATATTATCAGGTCAAGGTTCAGCTCTAAATATAGATCCAATGACCTTTTATAAACATTTGTATAGATGTTTACTAGAAGTACATGCTGGTAAGTTTTATTGAACTGTTTTACACGGTGCTTTATAAAGATTTACATGATTGGCTTAAATTTATACAGTTTTTAATGGTATGTTTAGTTGCAATGCAACCTATCTTTGCATATAATAAGGATATCTCAGGATTTAGTGGTTACTAAATTTGGCTTTTAACTCGACTGATCGTCATTTGTTCAGATGTTACCTTCTACAGAGTAGCCTTTTAGCTCTTGAAAGCTAAGTCAAGCTGACCAAAAGGTAGGCCCTGGCCAGGGAGAAACTTCAGCTCTCACTTGTCAGAGGCGACCCATGCAAGCCTGGCAAGAAAGGGGTTCACCTGTGAAAACATTGGTGGAGACATGAAAGAACTCTTGGCAGATGTGATGTGATGAAAAATAAGTGGGAACACCACTATTTTGGCAAAATTGTACCCCATATATATTGTGTTAACCCCTTTCCATTATCTTGCAGTGGCAAATATGTTTTACATGGCTTGGTACATGTATGGTGCTGTACATATTTACTTTCGGTTTTCTAATATCTTGACCTTCCTATGATAAGAATAGAATCAAAGTGGACACTTTCATATTACAAAATTCTTCAAAATTCCATGAATTCATTAGTCCTTAAAATCTCTTGAAGTTTACTTGATCGTGAATATAATTTATGTTTTTACAGGTACATCAAGTAATGATATGTCTATAATTTTACCCTGTCTATATATACTTATCATGAAACAAAAACGAAAGGTGAGTATCCTATTGAATAAAATACAATTGAAAATATACTAATGTGAAAAGTCAAGTTGTCTAGAATGTACCAGATAGCTAATAGTTTTAGATGTGGAAAATCCATGGAATAAGTAGTTTCATGTGCTCGACTTAATTACCTTGCCTTGCACACAAGATATTCCTCTCAATTTCCAATGTCCTTAATTCTACCTCTCCACATTAAACATGCATTATGCAAGAGCTAAATCTGATTATTGCAAGTCTTAATTTAGGCTTCAGATGTTATAGAAATTATAAATTCGATCTTTATTTAAAGAACAAGACCAAAATCAACTCTGTAGACCCACGGATGGCTCGGCTACAGCTCGGATTTAAATAGGATTTCACTAATTGATTAAATCAGATAAGGGGTAACCTGATGAAAATACGTCTGTTAAATCGAGGCTAAATGATAGAGTGTATTTAGCGAGGCCGCTGTAAAGCGTTTCCGTATGCCATTGAAAACTTTACTTGATAATCGAGATATGTAGGTGGAGTTAACGCCTGTCAATCAAACGATCAGCGAAGGTGAACACACAATTCGCTACCATTTCTAGGCAAATATTACAACGATGATAACTATGTTCAGAATAAAGTAATTTGGCTGAATTTTTCAATATATTCTTCTTTCATCATCTACTTTTGAACTGTTATAGCAAGAATGGCCAACTCTCTATAAAAATCTCCCATAATGTATCTTTAAGTATACTTTAAATCATTTTAAACATAAATTGTCCTCGAAAAGTTCAGAAGAGCATTTAAAAAGCCAATACAGGCTGGTGGCCATTAGGCCCCTAGCTACACATTTTCTTTGCATCTTAAATCAAGGTTCAACAACTGCTATTAAATTGGCGACAGGTGTTGTGCACAAGGAACATGAATTTAAAAAGATGAGGTGATAATCGTAGTCTCTTAGCATGGATAAAGAACAGTGGATGAACGGGCAGGGCTGACAGCAATATAACATAAACATACAACTGGCAGCTGCCAGGCAGGATACGCCCACATTTTGCCAGAGACGGATAGAAAACAAGCTAAAAAAAACCCCATGATTTTTCGTGCAGTCCAAGGTGTTGTGGTCTGAAATGCACGAATATCGAATGGGACAGAGATCTTTGGGATATAAAGATACATTTTAAGTTTCATCAAAATTGGACAAAAATTGCATTACATACTTGTACGCAATTTGCGTACAAGGAGCGGGCATTTTGTCACGAAATTTTCATGAAATTCGAACTCATCTGTGATAAATTTAAACGGTTCCTAAATAAGATAAAAATTGTGGCCTCTAGAGGCTCCAGAAGCTAAAAATGTGATTTTTCGTACAATCATGGGCCATAATCCAAGAAGTTACAGTCTGATCTGTGCAAATATCGAAAAGAACCAAGATCTTTGGGTCATAAACATACATTTCAAGTTTCATCAAAATCGGTTAAAAATTCTGACTTCTAGAGTGTCCACAACATTGGTATTACATACTTTTACTCCATGCGCATACAATAAGCGGCCATTCTGTCTGGCAGTTCCGGTCAGATTTTTACGATATTCGAACTCAACCTTTATTGATGTGTAATGGTGATATATTTAAACGGTTTTGAAAATTGAATATAAATAATCCAGGAAGTAACGTTTGGAGATGCGCGATTATTGAAAGGAACTAAGGTCTTTGTAATTTAAACATAAATTGTACCATATTTTGACACTGTCTACGAATGAGGTGCAGCCATTTTGTCTGGCCGTTTTGGTCCAATTTTCACGAAATTCGAACTCAACCATCATTAGGGGGTAACAGTGATATATTCAATCGTTTTTTTAAATCGGATAAAAATTGTGACCTCTAGAGGGACTACTAAAAATGTGATTTTTTGTACAATCAAGGGCTATAATTCAGGAAGTTACGATCCGATATGCGCAACTATTGAAAGAAACCAAGATCTTGAGGTTATAAACATTTATTTCAAGTTTTATCAAAATTGGATCACAATTGTGGCCTCTAGAGGGTCCACAAACTTGATATACCATATATTTACACTATTTATGTACGAGGGTCGGCCATCTTGTCCGGCAGTTTTGTTTTGATTTTCACGAAATTCGAACTCAGCTATCAGCATAATTAGGGTGTAACAGTGATATATTTAATCAGATAAAAATTGTAAAATCGTACAATCAGGGGCCATAATGCAAAAAGTTACGATCCGATATGCACGAAGATCTTTGGGTTATAAACATGCATTTCAAGTTTCATCAAAATCAGGTGAAAATTGTGACCTCTAGCATGTCCACAAGCTAACAACGCAATTTTTCTTACAATCAGGATCCATAATCCATGAAGTTATGGTCCGATCGATACATGCCAATATTCAAAAGAACCAAGATCCTTTGGAGATAGACATAAGAATTATGACCTGTAGAGTGTCCACAAATTGTGGACAAACGTACGTCCAGACAGACAGGGGCAACGACAATATATGTCCACATGAAAATTTGGACGTATAAAAAACAATGTTGAAATTTCAAGATATTAAGTTGAAATTATAGTAAGAAATTAAAGTAGAACTCCTAAGGAGTACTGACGTGTTTCGGTATGTCATGTCAACATTCAAGTTACACCATGAATTAATGAGTATCGCAACATCCAATACCTATTAAAGTGGAAAAACCTGTCATTTTGAACTCTTAATAAAACCAGAAGTTATACTTCATGACCAAACTTTTTTGTCCCCTGCCTTTCGAAGATTTACGCGAATCCTTGTGCTGAAGGTAAGCAGAGTGACAAGCAATTTAGTCAAAATTTTGGAACACAATAACTCCGCTTCTAATTGAGGTAGAAAGTTCAAACTTGGCATAGGCGTTCATTAGGTGAATACCTTGATGGAGTTTGATAATGGACATTGTCTGCTTAGGGTAAGCAGAGATGAGCAATCTGATTGGTTGATGGCTTTTGGGCACGATAACTTTGGTTATAATGAAGTGAAAGCGATGAAACTCTGAATATAGATTCATTATATCATTACCTTGACTAAGTTCGATGGTGAGAATTTTCTGCTTAGGCTAAGGAGCGATAAGCAATTTAATTGATTGGTCAAGACATAGCAACTCTGCTTTTAATTGAAGTAAAATGTTTAAACTTGATGTAGATGTTCATTAGGTGAATGTCTTGACTGAGTTCAATGATTAACATTTTGAGCTAAAGCTAAGCAGGGCTAAGCAATTTCATTGGTCGATGCTTTGGGACAAGATAACTTTGATTCTATCTGATAGAGAGTGATGAAACTTGGTGTATAGTTGATAATCAGTTTGATTGTTCAATACTTTTGAAAAAAAAAATGTGCGATTAATTAATACGTGTCATCTGCTTTATTTTGGCATTATCGGCGGGGGACATCAGCCTCACTGCAGGCTTGTTATATTAATTGTTAGTAGACATCAGGGTCATCATACGACATACATACAAAGGTTATGGAAAGGTTAGGTCACCATCTAAAAGTTGAAAAGTCGAACACAATTCAAAGTGAAACCGGAGGTAAACAAAATCGATATTCAAAAATCGGCTCCCTAAGAATTTTTGCCATTTGGAGTCGGTTCAATACAAAAAAAAGTTTTCAAAAATCGGAATTAAAATGGCGGCTGAATATCGATTTGAATGTTTTTTTATAAAATCTAATATGGCGGCCAAGCCCAAGCTGTGGAAAATATTATCGAACAAGGTCTTTTAAAATGAAAGATAATATCTGGAGCTAACACCACCATATGTCATTTTTTGTCTATTTTTAAAATGGAGAGAATTATTTATGTTCGGGAAAAATCAGAAGGCCTCAGTAATTTCCGGAAGTTTCTGGAAGCCGTCACAAATTTTTGAATATGCCATTTTGAAAGCATCAATGTGTTCCTTATTCCTGCCACGTTTCAACTTGATACTTCAAATAGTGACGGAGATACGCCATCTTGAATGTCGAAAAAATGATAAAGAAAACTTTTGCAAATCTTTGATGCTAATATTAATTGAGCAACTTTAGAATTTCGAAAAAGATCCGTTGAGAAATAACCAAGATATGGGCAATCTAAGATTAATTTTTGTCCCATCTGTAAAACACTTCCTGTTCTTCAAAAATGATCCACAGCAGAGGCCAACCACATGTTGTTGGCAGAATGTTTGCACCATGTACAACTGACTAAATTCCCCCCCCCCCCCCCAAAAAAACCCCAACCAAACACGTAATAAAACAAGAGCATCGCTAACGCTGCAATATACATCCACATTCCTGCTTTGATTGATATGGTACTTTTTAAAATGAAGAGAATGAAATATGAAATGGCTGTAATATGACAAGAGGCAAAGAAGGCTAGGGAGTCGGGGCATGCACCAAAATAAATAGTTGCTGTCTTTACGGTATAAGGAATAAATATGCAAAGTTCCAAGATGATCCATTCAGAATTGCAAAGACGACCCATTAAGAATCTTGGCCTGTAGGCAACACACAGCGACAGAAAGAAAAAATGGAGGTGGCTCTACCCCTGGGGGTTGGGCAATTACAAAAAACAATGGGGGTCATCCTTGGGGTATAAGGAATAGGTATGCAAAGTTTCAAAATGATCAGTTAAGAATTGCGGCCTGTAGGTGAAACACAAGACACACAAACATTGGGCGTGGCTCTGTCCCAGAGGGTCGGGCATGCACCAAACATAATAATAGAGGTCAGCCTTAGGGTATAAGGAAAAAGGACAAAAAAAGTTTTCAAGACGATCGATTAAGAATTGCGACTGTAAGTGACACAGAGACACACAAAAAGAAAATGGGCGTGGCTCTCCCCCTGGGGGTTGGGCATTCACCACAAACAATAGGGATGTTCCTAAGGATAGAAGAAATAAGTATACAAAGTTTCAAGGTGATATGTTAAGAAATGCGGTCTGTAGATGACAAACAAATAAATACAAGAAATGGGCGTTGCTCTGCCCCTGGTGGTCGGGCATGCACCAAAAACAATAGGGATCATCCATAGGGTATAAGGAATAAGTGTAAAATTTCAAGATGATCATTTAAGAATTGTGGCCTGTAGGCAACACACACACACACGCACACAGAGACAGGGCCGACGACAATATACGTCCACATTATAATGTGTACGTATAATAATATGGTGCCTATGTATCTCCATAACTGTAGATTGTTCTATTCTTTTCAAGATTGTTATATTGTTTTTAATACCTGTACTATTGTGAATATTGATCTTACTTTGCAGTTATCCCAACAAAAGGTGGTGGCTTTTATGAAAAGATTAAGTACCATGGCGTTACAACAGTTACCTCATGGAGCTTTAAGTTTACTAGCGGCTGTAAAACAGTTTCTACATGTAAGATATGTCTCATTTAACACTTAGTTTCTTAAAAACATTTATTAAACATGCCTACCACCTTTTGCCCTAATAATTCCACTGAGTTATGAAGTCTGTTCTGAAGTTTTAAAAATTTCATTGAGAACTTTGGCCTATGTCGCATTCATACTAACGAAAATGGTGAGAAATTTTGGTGGGGTTTTACCTTATGACCACGTCAGGGTAAAAAGAATGAGACAAGAACTCTGAAATTGAGGTCGGATGCTGGATCACAGATGCAGGTGATGACAGTACATGAACATGTTCACATTAAATGTGGACTTGTTAGAAAAAAAATCCATTTTAGCAAACTATAAATGTTGCTCCGTGTTAGATCTAATTATCTGACATAGAAATACAATTTATAACTTTCAGTAATAAGATGAATATAGTAAATATTTGTGAATTTGTGTTTTTATCTTCCAGGCATATTCTTTGTCAGATTTATTGTTTGATAATGAATCTCAGGGCAGTGGTATATTTATGCCTGAACTAGATGAACCAGAATATAGTAATGCACATAATACCATGCTGTGGGAACTTCAGTTATTACGAGTAAGAAATTAATATTAGAAGCTGGGTGTTCTATTGATCACATAAACATAAGATATTAGGATTGAACAAATGGGCCACTCAAATGACTTGTTTGTCCTAAAAGAAAAATGTAATTTACAGACAAAAAAAAGGAACCACATTACTTCAAGAAACATAAACATGCCCCACCCTCAAATGAATAAAACCAGTGGCTGCCAGACAGGATACAGTCACATTTTGCGAGAAACACTCATGGGGCCCATACAGGACAAAAATGTAAGAGTTTTCCCTAATCGACAGCCCGACGATTAGGAGTGTTTGCGCGTGGAGATCGAGCGCTTGTTGTACATGTTGATAAACTTTATGAAGAGTTAGACATACAACACTTTTGGAGATAAAAATCACGGGAAAAGACGCGGGCAGTGGATAATACGAGAATTTAATTCGGCTTCGATATTTGTAATAAATAGTCGGCGATTAAAGACGACATCGTCTTTTGTATGCAATGAATTCTCCTCCGAGAGAGAGGTAAGTCACGTGACACAAACATGACCTCCTTTGATCGATTTTTTTTATAGCCAGGGTATTCCCTGGCGATTGCAATGTTTTGAGAAAGAAGATTTGAAGCAAAATTATGATAAATTATAGGGTGACCCACCATAAATAAATATCTCCAAATATCTCGACAATTACGCCACAATATTTATATATATACCAAGCCTTAAATCAGTTTCACACAATTATAGTCACTAAATAAACGATCATGTTGTACTCAATAAGATATGACCATTAAATCATCTATAAATAATAGACTGAAACTAGTTCCAAGTGTCGTCCATAACATCCAGACACTTTTGAGTAAAAGATAGGTTACGTGCCCTTGTTTTGAAATTAGTCTCGCTTAACCAGGTCGGGATAATCAAAACTACCTTTTTACGAAACATAACAGAAAGCTGGAACAAGATATTGAATTTAGAAACACGCGCGTTAGCAAGCTCAACAATTGTTTTAAGAAATTTGTAAAAGTAAAATGAAACTACTGCTAGTATCATGTTCCTGCTAACGAAAGTGATTCAGAGATATTATTTGTACTAAACCAAAAGATGCCGCTCTTAACGGTACAGTTAATGATAAAGCAATTTAAAAAATAAAACGAACGTAATTTCTAAAGCTGCTGTAATAACCAAGAGGCTAAATTTTACAGCTATTCAAAATCGTCAACAATAGATTTTTACGGCTGTAATAGTTGATAGATTTGTACAGAATTGCACGTGCCATGGCTATTTATAGTATCATACACTCCACCGCTGATAGTTCGAGACACAACCACTGAAGCGTGCACATTAGCCATGTTGAGACCAACTTTCTGTAGAGTGCACGGGTCACCCTATAAATTAATTAGTTTGAATATGTTTTTAGTCCAAATATATCATCAAACCACCCAGTTTGTACCCGGGAATGTATCTTTAAGTTTCATCAAAATCGGATAAAAATTGTGACCTCTAGAGGGTCCACAACCTTCATGTTACATACTTTTACACATTTGGTTGGGAAGTTTCATTTCAATTTTCCTGAAATTCGAATTCAACCTTCATTAAGGTGGAATGGTAATATTTAAACGTTTTTTAAAATCGGAAAAAAATTGTGACCTCTAGAGAATCCGCAAGCTAAAAATGCGATTTTATGAACAATCAGGCGCCATAATCCACGAAGTTACTTTCAGATATGCGCAGTTATTAAAAGGAACCAAGATCTTAGTGTGTAACAGTGATATATTTTTTTTTAAATCAGATAAAAATTGTGATCTCTAAAGGGACCACAAGGTAAAAACGTGATTTTCAGGAAGTTACAATCTGATATGCATGAATATCGAAAGGAACCAAGATCTTTGGGTTATAAACATGCATTTCAAGTTCCATCAAAATCGGATCAAAACTGTGACCTCTAGAGGGTCCACAACCTTGATATACCAGATGTTTACACTATTTGCGTACATTTTGTCCGGCAGTTTTGGCCTGATTTTCACAAAATTCAAACTCAACCAACATTACGGTGTGACGGTGATATATTCAAACGGTTTTTTTTTTAAATCGGATAATAATTGTGACCATTAGAGGGACCACAAGCTAAAAAAGCGATTTTTCGTATAATCAGGGGCCATAATTCAGGAAGTTACGATCGAAAGGAACAAAGATCTTCGGGTTATGAACATGCATTTCAAGTTTCATCAAAATCGGATCCAAATTGTGACCTCTATAGGGTCCACAACCTTGATATACCAGATGTTTACACTATTTGCGTATGAGGGGCGGCAGTTTTGTTCCAATTTTCACGAAATTTGAACTCAACCAAAATTATGGTATAACGGTGATATATTCGAACATTTTTTTAAATCGGATAATAATTGTGACCTCTCGAGGGACCACAAGCTAAAACGCTCTTTACATAAAATCAGGGGCCTAATTCAGGAAGTTACGATCCGATATGCGCCAATATCGAAAGGAATCAGGATCTTTGGGTTATAAACATGCATTTCAAGTTTCATCAAAATCGAGTGAAAATTGTGACCTCTAGCGTGTAAAGCTAAAAAAGTGATTTTTCATACAATCAGGGGCCATAATCCATGAAGTTATGGTCCGATACATGCCAATATCCAAAGGAATTGAGATTTTTTGGAGATAGACCTATATTTTAAGTTTTGTCAAAATCGGATAAAAATTGTGAACTGTAGAGTGCACATGAAAATGTTGGCGTATAAAAATTCTCAAATTATCTTCATTATATATTACAGAGACACTATCAGTCTGATGTTAAAGTATATGCTAGACATTTATGTTATCAGGCACCAACTACAGGTGATGGACAACTACCTACTGACCTACTAAGAAAGTAAGTTCCCCCCCCACCCCCTTTCTCTAAGAAAGCCGGTTACTATTAAAATGGGTTCGTCTGTCTGTCTGTCCGTCACACTTTTTGGGACACAATAACTTTTCTTTTAATTGAGCTAGAATGTTCAAACTTGGTGTAGGTGTTTATTAGATCAATGCCTTGATGGAGTTCGAAGATGAGCATTTTCTGCTTAGGGTAAGCAGAGATAAGCAATTTGATTGGTTGATGCTTTGGTGCACAATAACTTTAGTTCTAATTAAGTGAGAGTGGTGAAACTTGGGTGTATAGTTTCATTACATCAATATCTTGAAGAAGTTCCATTATGAGCATTTTCTGCTCAGGGTAAGCATAGCTATAAGCAATTTGATTGGTTGAGACTTTGGAACACAATAACTCTCATTCTAATAGAGCTAGAATGTTCACACTTGGCGTAGGTGTTTATTTATTAGGTCAATGCCTTTATGGAATTCGAAGATGAGAATTTCTGCTTAGGGTAAGCAGAGATAAGCAATTTGATTGGTCGATGCTTTGGGACATGATAACTTTAGTTCTAACTTAGTGAGAGTGAGGACACTTGGTGTATAGTTTTATCACATCAATACCTTGACTAAGTTCGATAATGAGCACTTTCTGCTCCGGGTAAGCAAAGCGATAAGCAGTTTGATTGGCCGAGACTTTGGAACACAGTAACTCTCCTTCTAATTGATGTAGAATGTTCAAACTTGGTGTAGGTGTTCATTAGGTGAATACCTTGATCTAGTTTGATGATAAACATTGTCTGCTTACCCTAAGCAGAGATAAGAAATCTGATTGGTTAATTAAGTTAGAGTGATGAAACGCTGAGTATAGATTCATTGTCGGTACCTTGACTTAAGTTCGATGATGAGAATTTTCTGCTTAGGCTAACGAGAGATAAGCAATTTGATAGGTCAAGACTTTGGAACATAACAACTCTGCTTTTAATTGAGGTAGAATGTTTAAACTTGATGTAGATGTTCATTAGGTGAAAGTCTTGAGCTAAAGCTAAGCAATTTCATTGGTCAATGCTTTAGGACAAGATAACTTTGATTCTATCTGATACAGAGAGTGATGAAACTTAGTGTATAGTTGATAATCAGTTTGATTGCTTGATACTTTTGAAAAAAATAAATGTGCGATAAATTAGAATGTGTTATCTGTTTATTTTGGGATTTCGGCGGGGGATATCAGCTTCACTTTTGGCTTGTTAACCCTTTCACTGCGTATACCCGGTAGTACCGGGTATTATAAAATGTCGGTAACATGCGCGTACCCGGTATTACCATGTACTCAGTAAAGCCCTCGCTAAAATTAGTACCGTAACTGCAAGTGCCATCTATTGTATTTTCTATACACTAGAACATATTTCCACGTGTTTCAAAGCGGCAAACCGTAAAATGGCGGAGTGCATAGTGACAACGTAGACGATGCACTCTCGACGAAGTCGTGAATGACGTCTTGCTGACCAACACGTGGACAATTTCGAGGCGGGTGATACACATAATTCGTTTCCAGTTACTTGATAATGATAGTAGTTAGGACAGTGATTGGTATTATGAAGTGTGTGATTTGTTGCTCGACGTTCCGCCCATGGCTAGCTATGTCTCCCGTGCATGATGAACAAGCCCAATGTGAACACGATAGCCCTGTGTCTGCAGTAGATTCTGACAATAATTCTGATGTTGATAATAATGCTGGCCTGCTGGATCGTAAAAGACGTAGGCAATTCCTGAGTCCCGAACGTGTAGATCTATTGACTGACTATATTGATAATGATATGGGACTTGGGGATGAAAGTGAAAGTAAAAACAAGGTATTGCAATGCGCACGTGGTCATGGCAGCGGGAGACGTGATGCGCGTGTTCGTGGCGGCATTGCTCATGGCTGCTATTGATATTTTTGTTCATTTTATATATCTTTATCAAAATCCAGTGAAAAAAAACAATATCTCATAAGTATTTCATGGAGAAAAATTTGTTTTCGTGTTAGCTTTAGTGAGAAATGAGAAATCCAAAATGGCCGCCATGACGTCACGTGACTACATTATTATGCAAATTTCCAACATTCTATTTTTTCCTCTTAGCCCAACCTCATGCCCATCCCAACAGACAAAAAGATTTTTCATAAAAGCTTCCATAAGTACTGTTTGGCATTCAGTTCCAACCTCCCTTTTTTCCTCAAAAAAGGGTCTAGCACAGGCAGTGGATTTACGTCTAGCATTGAAAGGGTTAATACATGGGATACTGACAAGAGTTACTCTGAGAGTCCAGTTTCTGTGTTATACTGATGAAAATATACTATAAATCACATTAAACTATACTATAATTCATATTCACTTGATTTTTAATTTTTTCAGAAACCCAGAAGAATTATTTAGAGATAAGAAAGAAATATCTAGTCTATTTGATAGTTTGCCATCAAAACCTAGACAGTTAAAACGAAAGAGAGTAAGTTCTACATAAATCTTGATTATTTTGATTAGGTCATAAACATTTACAAGAATTTATATGAAAAGGAACTGTCAGTCAAATTGATTAGTATTTTATTATAAAAAGAATAAAGTGTTTTTCTTGTGTATGCTCTAAATACCAGAAATACTAAGCTTTTTTTGCTCAGATTTAATTATAATAGCACTTTGGTAATCAGGATTTGCATTTAAATAGCAAGACGCCATTGAGTTAAGTTTGATGATCAATGCTAAAAAATTTTATTGCATAATAGGGAATGTTTTAATATTTAAGAAATTAGATAACTACAGATTCAGATATTTAAAAGAAAAAGAAGAAAAAACCCTCTTGTAATTTGTATGGTTAACAATTAGAAAGAAGTGTGCCAAAATTTGGTGTAGTTAAATTATTATAATAGGAATATTTCTGACCCATGTACATGTATATAAATAATGATAAATTCGTCGGTAGGCAGACGAAGTGACTTATCGTCAATAGGTTACGGCAGGAAGATAAGTTACTTCGTCTGCCTACCGACACGAATTAATGTGTGTATGCTGCTTGAACATCAGTTGTCATGGTAAAGCACATCCTAAGCATGTAATGGTGCATGTGGTCAGTTAACAGTTGTTCTGTTCATGAAAGCCCTGTGGTCAAGGGCAGACATGTTTAAAAAACATGCTGTGGTTAATTTGTTAGCTATTGTAGGAAAAGGCCCATTCAATTTGGACTTGTGGACAATTATGGAATTTCCGCCCTAACCTTTGTCACCCTAAAACTGTTTAAAAACTGTTTAAATTTTTACTGGAGATGAAAAAACTATATGTGAAGAATTGTGAATTTTTTCAAATTCCTATATTTAGAAGTTTATATATATATTTTTTTTTGTTTACAGACTTCAAGACGAGGCTATAGAAGTGAAGGATTAACAGATTATATTCAAACAGTTGTAAATAATGTACCTGATGTCATTAATTTTGACAGATTATTGCCATCAGATATGGGTTAATTAATGAAATAAACAAATAATTAAATTTTATTAATTTCTGTGTGGTTCTTATTCACAATTTTCCATGTTCCATTTAAACCCTATGCAGGAGGACAATAAAACACACAACAAAAGAAGCATATTATCATTGGTAGATAGTTTCAAAACTACAGTCAAGAATTTCTATAAAATATTTATTTCTATTTCACTTCCACAAATAACACATCCACTACCTGTATAATATTATCTCAATTGATTTAGAGGTTATATTCACTCCTTCATACTAACATCAGCCTCTCGTAATTTTTTGGCTATTTCTAATAATTTATCTGTTGTAGTTATTTCATGGGGCACTTCAGAGAGTTCTTGTATAGGAAATTGTGTTTTATTTAAACTACTGTCTTTATTGGTAAAGGGATGCCATACACCCTGTACACTAGGATTTTCTGTATGCTGAGGCTTTCTTATCCTTGCAATTTTTATCCCTGATCTTCCTCTAAGATGTTCAAGCCATTTGTATATTTCGTCATCTGACATTTTAGCAGTTACAATGGACTCTCTTCCTCCATTTACTGAAAATAGACCATAGACAATTGATAACCAATTCAATATTTAAACCATATTATTATTCACATCTAGAAGAACCATTTAGGAAAGAAGGCCTTGTGATAGCAGAGATTATACTGCATGCAGGTGGTTAAGCTAGATATAGAATGAATCTGGATAATTTCACTGTGTTTGCTTTGTCTGTATAGTTGAAACCCATTAGGATTTAAGCTACCATTATGCATGTTAAACTAAGTCATCAAAATTTAATTCACATGTTATGTTTGTTTTTGTTGAGTAACAGCAAGAGCCATGATGAATTATTTAATATAAATCAAATTTTGAATTAGTTTTGCTGTCACTTACAATACTCTGCAACAAGTTTAGGGCTTCTGTTGTTTCTTGGTTGGAGATATACTGCAACTCCTGGATTGCTATTTGTAAAGTCAAGTAGTTTATTTTCAATAAAATCCCTGAAATATAAAGAGAAATTGGGTCATTCTTGTGCTAACATGGTATGTTTTTATTTTAAAGGAATCTACAGGAACCCACAATGTTAGGCAGGTGAATTTACATGTACCATTATTTAATTAATCCACACACACAAAAAAAAACCCCAACAAATAACTTAATAAAAAATTTATTTACAGTCCTTGGTAAAACCAAGAGGCCTATTGGCTCAAGCAATGGTTATAATTTACAATGTGATCATGGTTAAGGTTAAATGCATTACGGTACGGGGGGGGGGGGGGGGGAATAAGATCTGTCATATAGTCAAGTGGCGTGGTTTCGATTCCCTGCTTGTACGTGACAAGGAGTAGGGTTGTTTGTCCAACCTTCTGGGTTCTCTCCAGGTCCTCCCACTGAAATGAAGACCCCCTAGCGTGCAATTGAAATAGAAATTGAACCATATGTTAGTTCCGAAATGACCTAGTTGACGAACCCCAGTTCTCTCTCTTGCATTAGGGTAGGCCTCCCTATATATAAAATATCCTAAATCCAAATGTATGCAGAATTTCTAACATCATGTTCAGGTTAGATCTTCTGTCACCACAAGTCTATAATTACTCGAAATTTAACTGAAGTCAGTTTCTACAGCCTGGTATTTATAATTTAAATATTTAGCCCAAATACAATAATGGGGCTAGTTCCTTATAGCTGCAATATGAAAATAATATGGTAAAATACCGCTCTTTCCCACCTCTGTTCTCAGGCTGTTTTAGAACCCTAACCTTCTATTTTTCACCTTGATTCATTATTTTCTGCCAAAAGGAATCATTTCTCACTATATATTTGACACAAATTTATAATAATTCAACACCATTTTCAAGTAGAATTTAGCGATGAAATAAACATGCGGTTTGCACATGTTTGAGTCTCGTAATGGCTGAAAAGTTCAAACGTATTTTGTATAAGTTTTTAAATGCAGAATTCTACTTGAAAATAGTGTTGAATCATTATAAATGTGTGTCAGCTGTGGCAAGAAATGATTCCTTTGGCGAATAGAGTAGAATCAGGATGAAAAATAGCATGTAAGAATTCCAAAATAGCCTTAGAACTGAGGTGGGGAAAACCGGTATTTTCATATTGCAGCTATAATATAGGGCCCGATAGGAAATGTCAGTGGACGTCGTCCGCTCAGAGACAGTTTCTAAAGGAACTATTTCAGGTATTTTACTATTAATATAATGGGGATACATGTATATTAGGCGACATAAAAAAAATTAGTTGGTGATCGTCCCCGCCCGCCCAGAAAATTCTACCCGACCAGAATTATTTTTTATTTTCCAAATTTACCTTCTTATGATGTTTAAAACCAATGGTAAAAGTTCCAAAATGTAGCCAGGCTACGAAATTCCTAATCGCAAGAGTTAATAAAGCGGATATAATCATTGGCATGTGTTCCAATACTCTTCAAATGCGTAGGACTGAAGACATAAACAAATTACGACCTGTTAATGGCAACAATGGCTGACATTTTTGTTTGCACGCGTACAGCACCAAATACAATATTTTGAATACAACATATACAACCTGGAACTATATGTTAAGATGGGAATACGTCTCGCCGATTCTGAATTACATGAAACAGTCTCTCGAATAAATGCAACAACAGATTTTCGGAATGGCCATGGGGGGCATGAATAACTAAATCAACCGATTATTAATATTAGTGATCGTAAGTCGTTATGCAAAATGTTTTTTTTTTTTGTGGGGTTTTTTGGAGGGGGGGGGGGCTTTTCTGGTCTTACTATTCGCAAAATACAATATTATGAAAGTTGAATGTCTAAAAAGAATATCAGTCCAAAGACATGATATGAATTGAAAATTTTGCAACATTTGATATCCTGCAACATTAAACCAGTCGGCACCACCTATTTATTTAAGTGTTCAGTTAAAAATCTCTTTATATCTGATTGAATCCAAGGCGGAATATCTCAAGTTTAAATAATTAATCTGAACAATTCAAATGACGATCATGCAGATGAGTTGTGTTTTGACATGAAATAAAAGGTTAATATTCCTGAAGTATATTGCTTATTCTGTATATTCATTAAAAAAAAAAAAAAAAAAAACTCCCTCCCTCCCACATTTTTTGAAAAAAAAGGACGATCACCAACTATTTTTTTTTTTAGGTGGCCTTATATTTATATAATAGTTAATAGATCTAGGCTACCTAGTCCTAGTTTTGAAGTGACAGACATTCTTTACATGTCAGTTGGATAAAAGTGACAGACATTCTTTACATGTCAGTTGGATATTTATATTATATATATGTTGCCTACAGTATGTATACCAGTAAAAAAAAAACCAAAGAAGAGAGGATGATTGATTAGTGGTAGAGAGTAGAGGATGCAAATGAAAGTTGAATACGATTACGAGACCCCGACAGTCCACCTTGCCTCCGTATAAATAGTGTTATTTCAGGACTATTTGTTACCTTGTTCCCCGACTATCTCCCTTTTGTTTACAAAATACAAATGTTATTCTTTGCAATTGACAAACATATCTGCCAATTCCGTTGTTAAGAACATTTTTCAAGAACGTACTTGGGATCGAAGAGCTGGACATTATTAGCCTTCTCGTGTCTAACAAGTCCAGACTAAATTTATTTTCATCCGCGGAACAAAGCAAGGTCGATAACTCCTGACGCTTAGCGTTATCCCCCTTGTAATTTGTAAAGCGTGTGTAATTGTTTTATTTTCTTCCAATTTACATTAACTTGTAACTTTATTTATTGTTTCATGGCCATGTTAATCAACTAACTCCCACCATTAACGCTTAGACAATGGTTAATGGTACCACTGAACCACTCATATTTGTGATTTTTTCAATCTTTGGCACATCATTTCGGGTTCAGAATCACTGAATCAGCCAAATCAGTGCATACATACAATTGATTACAATAATGTCCACGTCATTGACTTTAATGTTAATTCTTGTGGTTTTGTACGACTCAGTCTATAACTTTCCCCAAATGTGTGTTGGGTTAGGCGCTTTCTTCATAGATATAGAAACATGTGGCAACGTCTTGCTTACAAGTGTAGGTCCTACCAGGTTGACGATTGAAATCTTGAGATACACAAACTGAAAGTAGAATACTGTCGTACAGCTATTTAACCATGAGTTATAAATAGCTGTGTTTAGCGTAATAAACCCCTTAACTCTTTTATCCTTCCGCTACAAATTCATGAATATTCACCAAAACCCCACAGAAAATTTCTATTCAATCCCTTTTCTTCGATTCTATGCTCAAAAGATGCAACGAAAATCACCAACAAAAAGTGGGGAAAGGAAGAGGAAAACTATAAAAGGGAAGGAACTACAGTTGTTTGGAGATTTCTGGTGGTCTGGTTCCATCTGTTACATCCGCCAGCGATGCCAGTCCCAAGAATTTTAATATTTCTCTGCTAATGTGAGAATTCCATAGTTATAACAGAAAATGGCTAGTCTGATGGGTGACAAAACTGTCCCGCGGAAAGGGGATGATGCTTTTGGTATAGTTTGTGGTGATTTGGGTATGGGAGAAGGTCTAAAACCAGGAGGTCTTTTGCAGTTGAACTCTGAATTAGGGCAGTCTGAACAAAAAGAAAATAATTCTCCATCATCAGAACCAGAAAGACTATTTTATTATGACAGTTCTAATGTTCCCACAGATAATATTTCTTGTAATGATTTATGTGAGTGTGATAATGAATCTGAATGTACGAATGTACCGAATGGCAATTCCCATAATTGTACTGGTTGCAGTTTTTGCCACACTCACAGAAGCAGTTTGAAAAAAATAAGAATTAAATCTAATGATGATTATCAGCTGTGTGGGCAGTCAGACGAAGATTGTGATATTGATGGTGAAGACTTTCCAAGTTATGCAAATGTTCCCCTGGGAACATCTTTAAGACAGCAGAAAAAACTCTATGAGAAAAATCTTGGAACAATTTTACGAAATCATAGCCAACCACCCATTGTGGTAAATAATGATAAAATAAAGCCCAACAGTCCAGGAGGCAAAAGTGAGTATTGTACATGTTGAGCGCAGGTTTCACCTCACGGACAGATTAGCCCCGCTCATGCGCAAATCTCTGTCTAATTTCCGTTGACTAATACATGAATGCGCATGGAGGTTAGTCTGTCCAGGGTACTGCGATGATAATCCGCCTCCAATATCACTTTAGTGGAAGCAGACGTTAAATAAAGCGATTTCTCACACATAGAATGGTAATGAACTGCTCTTTTCATTTTCTTTGTTTTATTTGTTTCGTTTGAATTTGATTTATCAGTTTAGTTTTTGATTGTTTAATTTTTGTTAATGAAGTTGATTCTTTTAAACTTCGTTTTTATTTTTGAACTCTACTTGGTGTAGGTGTTCATCAGGTAATACCTCGACTGAGTTCAATATAGAGATTAGCCGGTTGATTTGTTGGATATAAACCTTTGAATAATAGCGCCTAACAGGCAGCTGTGTTTAATTATGTTCTCCTGATTTTGATTGTTTTTGTGTGTTTGAAGTATATGTTTGTGATATGCGCTTAGAAACACTTCACGTGTAATGAAGCGCTATATAAATCGAACAATAATAATAATAATAATACACAATCCCCCTAATCCTACTCAATATTCACCATGGATCACTGCGTTAGTTTTATTCGTTTAAATGCATTTTGTGACCGTCAGTTTACTGGTAGGCCTACAAGTACGAGCAAGGCAATACGGAAAGAAAAGTATGATTGCACAGTTGATTACCATAAAGAAAGAAGTAGTAGTGAGAATTCAGAAACACGTACATGTACATTGCTCTGTTTGTTATAAATGTATTTATTTCAACTATACAAAAATAAAACTGAAGTTTACGGTAATTACAGCAAATCTTTTTGGACATTCAGTCGCGTGATCAGGGAAGATTATGAGATACTGCGGACTCAAATTTAAATCTTGTTCGCTAATTTTTTAAAAAAATCATTACAGTACGAAGCCGATGGAGGACTGATACTACATGGGACCTGACAAACTACTTTCATCGAGGAGTATCAGCACAAAAGTTGACAATCTGCTCACTAGTCTGATACGCGCAGATTACAATCGGCGTGCATGGGGTCCGATCTGCGCAGATTGCAACCTTCCCGAGGAGCGAAGAATGCACCTAACATAAACACACGCCTACAATTGAATCTGTAGTCTTTTCTAGCACTCTTTCTTTGTACATTGTAAGTCAAAAAGTACTTGTTTGTGTATGCTTTGTTCAAGTTTATTGCAATGTCTTGTGAAACAAAGAAATTATTTTGGCATGACATGGTGTAGAATGGATAATCCAGCCTCTGATTGCTCCTGTTCACTGATATCGTGAACCAGAGATTTATGTCAGTATCGACAGTAAAGTATTGAAGTAGGCCAAATTTTAAGGAAAAATAAAAATGAATGTTTAGACTTACAGTAGACCATTAATATCATTCATTTTTAAAGTAATTAATCAAGTGAAATCGTTTACATTTTTTTACCCACCTCGGTGTCTTCACATCACGCTCTGTTTGATTTTTGGGGGGGTTGGATGGCCAAATGATTAGCACGTGCACGCTGTATCATAAGGTCTGTCATTGAGTCAACTTGCGTGGAGGTCCTGACAAGGGCAGCTGTCTAGTCCTTCGGATGAGATGGAAAACCGAGGTGGAATGCACGTAAAAGATCCCCTGGTAGTTGGAATTTGATATAAGAATAGGCGATAGTGCTGCTGCCCGGGCAAAATTTCCCTCATAGCACATTGTATGGGGTATGCCCATCTTCATTAGCCCAGTATAGGAGCAGAACAGTAGGACGTTAAATTGCATTTGATTTCATTTTGAATCTGCTGTTCAAGGTGAAAATGCAATTAGGAAAATAGGTCAACTAATCAGGTCAAAACTTTAAACAAATACATTGTGCATAACTGCCATTACTGATTCAGTCTCTGGTACGCAACAGATCGGAGAACACGAACTATTAGATGCTGAATTATTCAGTTCAGAAATGGTGAGGCTCCAAATGTCTGCATTTATTGTTTCAGAGGTGAGGTGAGTAAAGGATTCAAAAAAGCAACTAAATGTTCCTTACAGGAAGCAAATTATGCACTGAAAATCTTAAAGGGCATTTCTTTTGAATAAAGTGAGTTCAGTTAGCTGGTAGCCATGCTTTTAGATTTGTAAAACTAAAAGGAAATGCTCAAATAGTATGTGTCAAATAATTTATATTTCTCAACAACAAATGTATTTGGAAATGCGTTCTCCTTTTAAAGACCACGTAAGATCAAAAATCTAAATTGCATGTATGTATAGCCCATGGTTACTATTTCAACTTTACGGCAAGTTCACACCAATCTGATTAAAATTAAGTCTGCTGTTGTTAACGTTTAAGTATCCGACACGCCAAAACGCTTTTCGATTTTTCAATTACGACCTTAATCCGGTTGATTGGCTGGTGACGTCACAGGCACTACACATAGGATATACATTATCTATACAATATCTCACTGTCTGGACAATATAGCACCATCAATACACACGGCAACTGGACAAGCGTTTATTGACGGTCCAATTACCACGTGACTGGCCTAATCATAATCAACGAATTATCGTCTTTCATTGGTATAGTTTAGACATTTGTGATTGGAATATTTTAGAGTGAATTTAAAATGCCGTAGATCAATTTAAGCTGCCTTTGTTTAAACGACACTACACTTTATGTGGAAAAGCGAAGTGCTCGCAGTAAAAAACACATACCTGGACCCGTATATTATTTACATATTAAAAGTGTTTGTCCAATAAGTTCCATATTGTAAAAAATTAATTAAAGAGTTCAAGACTTCAAAGTTTGAAAGTTGTAGGCACTCTAAATTGGATCTTAAATTAAAATGAATTACAAAACAAATTATTCCGTAGTCAATTGTTTTATTTAATTAGGGGGATTAAGGAATCCTTCAGGCGGTAAAGAATACACACGCCGGCTGTATATAGGTAATTAAGGAATAAACATTCCGAATATGCATTCGGTCACTGTGACATCACTGGCGTCTGAGGAGATTAAGAGTGTTTTCGATAATTGGCAAAGTCGTTTTTACGGAATGTCTATTTTTACGACTTTGAGTGAAGATAACTGAATTAATTTCAACCAGATTGGCGTGAACTTGCCGTAAAGTGGATATAGTAACCATTGGCTACACCTATCTCAAAGTTTCCGGGCCGTCTTATGTGCACTTTAAGTTACCACTAGTTAAAACAGTGAACATAAAGGAATGTTATTATACAATTAAATGAGTAGGAATATTGCTTTTTGCTTATTATGACTGGTACAAAACATGGCAGTCTCACAGTTTAGTTATTATATAAGTCATTTTACATCATATTCTTTATGCTATTCCACTCTTGCCAGCCAGAATCATGAAAAGTCCTCATGTTTTCTTACACTGCTAAAAATCCTAAGCTCAAATGAATTATTGAAATAAAACTGTACCATATGTAAGTCACAAAATGACCTAGTTTGTGTTGTGTGGACGCTAAATCTTAGCTTAATAAATGTAAAGGTTTATAGTTTACAAAACTTTATAACACCCGTGGACTGAATTTGATAATTGTGAATGCTGTGTTGAACCTCAATTTTCCCTATCATCCGCTACATTTATCAAAAATTTCCAATCATATCGTAGACAATTGTAAGCTATGGCGGCTAATCACAGTGTGAACTATCACAGTATCATTTTGATCTGGAGTAGTAGTTCTCTGAGGCGTGGTGTAGAGTGTTGCTGTAGCTGGCCGGTCACCTCTGGCTTATGGATGTTGGTTTGAGATAGTGCCGCCTTCTTAACCTCCAGTTTCCCCCCACAAAAAGACGCTTGCTAAAGGTTCAGCTGCAATATCACTCGATAACAACAACTGTCGTCTACTTGAGAAAGGGTTGATTCTTACATCCCCCCCCTCTCACAACCCCCACCATTGAATAACAATTATAGCCTCAGTGTCTATATAACCACAAGCCTTAAATCACTATGTACAAGGTATGTATACAGGATTATTAAAAACGGGGGGGGGGGGGATTACAACTTGGTGAACGTTTCTTCTGAGAAAAACACGCGGCAAAGTTGACTAAGAAGGTTTGTTACATTTAAACAGTTTGTGACATTCTAATTTCTGTTGTACACACAATATTTCTGACAGTGACAAAGATCTGTTAGAAATGAAAAATTTATTCCAGCTCACTAAAGCTTGATTAATACAAATATATTTTTAATGTTTTGATTTAATTATAGGATAAATGTTAAATGTACCTTATCACATTCTATTTAATGTATTGGCACCTGAACAGGTCTAGAAAAGGTAGTAAATAAAAGACAATTAAATTTCCTTGAAACATGATAGATTTTAAGCTTCCATATAGATAAATGTAGTTAGTAATGTTTTAGGAGACCCCATTATTTAATGTTTGACAGCATCTAAAATATATAGAGCCAATTACACACACTCTGACTATGAAATGACCACTCAAATGTTACTTATTTCCTATATATATATATATATTGGAAAAAGTATTTTATTGTTATTCAACAGCTGTTGTATATTTGCCATTAGTATGTATGGTGATGTACATGTAGGAAAATACTCCTGATAAAATAAACATATTGTCAATATACTAATGAGTTGATGATGATAACGGTTGACTTATGTGTTAGTGACTAAGTGTAGTTGTAGTAGAAACGGATGATGACAAACAACACCAACTTTCACTATATGTTTATCATGTCTTCGTCTTATAATGGAGATATGGCAAATTTGGACAATCAGGGTACCGGTAAATCACCTGTTTTAGAGTAAAGCCACTGATCATCATCTGTAAGTTGCAAAATTTTCAGTTGATCTTATCTTTGCAACTACAATATTGTAAGAGTGAATTTCGAAAAGGAATATCATCCAAAATGGTTGCATTCCGTTCAGTAGTTACAAAAACAAGATCAACTGAAAATTTTGCAACTTACAATTTTCTGCAGACAATGTAAACTTTCAAGCACAACCAATCATGTGATATCATGTGTTGAGTAAAAACTTTGTCAGAGATAATCTACCGTTGACATTTAACTTACACTGTAGATATTGTCAGAGAAATAAAAATGAAGATCGGTGGCTTTGATGTTAATTTTGGTTTGATTAATCATAACCGAGCAGGTTTTGGAGTTGAAATTTTCATATTGTCCTTAAAGATACATTATTCAAGAGCTAGGTTTGCCTATTGCAGGTCTTTCTTTAGGCCTAAAATGTTATATAAATTATTAATTAGACATTTATTAACATGACAAGACCATAATAAACTCTTGATGCCATCGGATGCTCGAGATTTTAACCAGATTAGGACGGTTCTGCCATTTAAAGATTTAATTTAAAAATGGAGGAGTGAGGCTAAGACCTGAATATACCAGTACCGTGGTTACAATAATAATCAAAAGATGCTCACTTCTTGTCAAAACTACAAACAGTGATAACTTGGCTCAGAATAAAGTAATTTGAATCAAATTTTCAATATATTCATTTTGCATTATCTATATTTGAATTATCATAGCAAGAATGCCCAGCTCTTTATATAAATCTTACATAATGTATCTTTAATGGATAAATCTGAATTTGTAGATTAATGTTTGTTTTTTGTAGTACATTATGATGTTTTAACAACTGCCTGTTGATCCATATTATGTGTAGATTATTTTGTTTTTATTATATATGGTACTCTTCAAAAAAAGTAGGGGATATTCAGAAACGATACAAAACTGCGGAAATGCAGTGCTGTTTTTATTAGAGGTAACCAGTGTATGTTAATAACAGGCCAATTGCCTACACATGAACATAAACAGTTCATATGGGCGGCTTATCTGACGGCCCCATTTCACTCGCAAAGAGATACACTGTCAAAAGTGAAAATGAATGTTTTTGATTTTTGTCTTAATAATGAGTAATATTGCTCCACCAATCCTCAGACATTCAGCCATTCGTCGTGGCATGCTCCTAATCAACCGTCCAATCACGATTTGGGGCAATCTGACCCACTCCTCTTGTACCATGGCCAATTCTTGCAGTGTTGTTGGTTGACGTCGACGTCGACGAACACGTCTGCCGATCAAATTAAACGTAACACACCAAAGCAAAGATACGCTAAACAGTAAATCTTATGCAAGAACCGATAGTAAAGCAAACATGGATATGATAAACCAGCAAAACGGCAGTTTTCATCAACCCTTCCTTGAAGTGTCAAATTTGACAATGAACCCCTCCCACGTGTATGGCGCTATTGCATGTCACACATGCAGCTCAGTGGTTCTGTTGGGGCGATAAGTTCTTCATCTGTCAACAATCAACATACTCTCAAAGCATGTCAAGTGTCCATGACTATTTTATCATATCACAACATGCATAAATATTTGCTTTTCAATATCCCCTACTTTTTTTGAAGAGTATATATAAATAATATGTCTATTCAGATAAAACTTCTGAAAGGAGTAGAAGGTTATCAAGTTTTGAAATAGAGAAAAAACTGGTGGATGCTGTTACGGTAAGTAGATTTAACATCTTTTTAAAAATTACCCTACTGTTTCAAGGAAATTCTAATTTTCATGCCAATGATATCACTTCTAGGGTATACTGACTAGATATTTATCCCAACTACTTGAGAAAAAGGTTAATTGAAGTCTTTGATAATGCCTTACAATAACTGACTGTTAAAATGATAAGTGTGTTGATTTTTACCCCCCAGATAGGCAGGAGCACATACCATTCAAGAACATCCGACCCAAAGGGTTAAAGGACAATATTGGTGTCAGTCATTATCACATATGTGATAGAACTCGTTAAACACATTCCAAATATAATTTTAACACAGAGATCATTGCTACAATAGATGCGTAATGAAGGTTTCAACAATCAGAAGTGACGAACGCAAAAGGAAAACACAAGTTATCCTTCTATATAACTGAATGAAGTGACGAGTGATAACAGATACACGGGAGAATTTCTGCTCACTACAAGTTATCCTTCTATATAACTGAATGAAGTGACGAGTGATAACAGATACACGGGAGAATTTCTGCTCACTACAAGTTATCCTTCTATATAACTGAATGAAGTGACGAGTGATAACAGATACACGGGAGAATTTCTGCTCACTAATAATTTCTTCTAAGACACAAAGTTGTTATGTGGGTTATTTTCACAAAAACGTACAAATAACGGAAAAAAGCGGTTTACCCAATATATGATATAAAATTTTTGCAACCGTCAAAATAACTGATATTTTGTACATCATCATGGAAGTCCCTTCTTTGGGAAAATATTTTGACAAGGTTATTATTCAAAATAAAATCAGTATATCAAATTATGTGGTCAAAATGTCCATTCCGTTATGGTAAAACTTCTCATTCTCAAATTTGAACTTGGAAATCTGCTTTTAAAATTGAAAGGTCAGTAAAAATTACAGTGCTTATCAATTATCCATCCAATTGAGCTGAATAAAATGTCCTATTAGCTATTTAAAGAAGAAATAGAAATCTACTGTATCAAATATTGTTTTTGTCAAAATTTTAAGAACAATTTGTCTTTTCCGTTAATGCATTGTTAGCAAGTTAACCATATGTTCCATTATCAAGTACCGGTATGTCACTAGGTGTCACTATTGAATCAAAGACAGGGTTATGGTCAAGCAGGAAATCAGACATAATAGAAAGAAATGGTTTATAAAAGAAAAATACAAACAATTTAAAAGTTGATCACACATGGTTGTCGCACAAATTGTATGTCTCTTCTGTTGTTCTGTTCCAAGACATAAAACACTGACTGATGGAGAGGTTTTCACTCACAATACCAGGGAATAAGGTTGTTAAAGCACTCTGTTAATATCATGCATGTTTATGCAATGTGAAAGAGTTCAGACAGTCAAAGCAAGTCTTTTCTGTTATAAATAATGATAACGGAAAAGACTTCTTACATTGAGATAGACAAAACAAAAGGTATTTTGTTAAAATTATAATCTGTTATCGCTTTTTTTATACGCCCACATTTTCATGTGGACGTATATTGTCGTCACCCCTGTCTGTCCGTCCACAATTATTTGTGGACATTCTACAGGTCACAATTTTTATCCGATTTCAACAAAACTTTAAATATAGGTTTATCTCCCTAGGATCTAGGTTCCTTTCGATATTGGCATGTATCGGACCGTAACTTCATTTACTATGGCCCCTGATTGTACGCAAAATCACGTTTTTAGCTTGTGGACACTAATAGAGGTCACAATTTTTATCTGATTTTGTTGAAATTTGAAATATAAGTTTATAATCCAAAGATCTTGATATTTGTGCATATCAGACTGTAACTTCCTGAATTATGGCCCCTGATTGCACGAAAAATTTTATTCCAATTTAAAAAACTGTTTGAAAAAATCACCTTTAGGCCATAATGACGGTTGAGTTCGAATTGTGTGAAAATTGGACCAAAACTGCCAGACAAAATGGCCGCCCCTCGAACGCAAACAGTGTAAAAATATGGTATATAACGGTTGTAGACCCTCTAGAGCTCAAAATTTTGATCCTGTGTTGATGAAACTTGAAATACATGTTTATAACCCAAAGATCTTGGTTCCTTTCGATTTTTGCGCATATCGGATCGTAACTTCCTGAATTATGGCCCTTGACTGTACAAAAAAATCGCGTTTTTAGTTTGTCGTCCGATTCATGAAAATCGGACCAAAACTGACAGACAAAATGGCTGCCCCTTGTATAACGCAAATGGTGTAAATATCTCGTATATTAAGGTTGTAGACCCTCTACAGGCCACATTTTTTTCCCGATTTTGATGCAACTTTAAAATGCTTATATCACAAAGATCTTGGTTCCTTTTGATATATGCGCATATTAGATCATAACTTCCTGAATTATGGCCTCTAATTGTTTTTAGCTTGTGGTCCCTCTAGAGGTCACAGTTATTATCTGATTTACAAAAACATTTAAAAATATCACTGTTACACCGTAATGTTGGCGAGTTTGAATTTCGTGAAAATCGGCCGAAAACTGCCAGAAAAAATGTCCGCCCCTCTACGCAAATGATGTCCAGCTTGGCTATTGCATATACTTCCTTTTGAGTTATAAACCTAAAAAATACAGTGAAAATTTCCTTAAAAATTCATGCTATTTTCAAATTAGCACATATGAGGCTGTGAGACTATATCTGATAATTCAAGAAAGCAATTGAATGTCACTAGATAAGGGAAAACGAGAAAAATATGCATCTGTTGTAGCAATGATCTCTGTGTTAAAATTATATTTGGTACGTGTTTAACGAGTTCTGTCACATATGTGATAATGACTGACACCAATATTGCCCTTTAACAAAACGATAGTATTAAATGAACATGTGGTACTGATAAGTGATAAGAGACAGATAAGACTGATATAACAATGGTTGGTTACAGTCGTCTTTTCTAGTAATATGTGAATGAAAAATCTTACTTATGCCTGGGACACACTATGCAAAATTTATTCACCGCCTAAGTTACTGGGCATTGCCGTGGACACACAAGGCGAATGTCTCTGCCGATTTCTCTTCGATAAATGTTGGCCACATATTAAAGGCAGTGATAAATATTCAGGTGTCGAAGGTCCAGACACACAAGGTGAAATTCGCTGGCGATGGGTTCACCCATTTGATTCACTGTAAAAATTTCACTGGTATGTCAGTAGATGTTAGGATGTCCAGTTCAGTAGACCACTGTTAAGAGTTACAACAAAAAAGCATGCTAAAAAAAAGAGGGGTATTTTCAAATACAATACCAGATTACTGAAAATACTGAGTATATTTTGAAAATTTCTTTTTTTTTAATTTTTACTATGCCAGTAACAGAAGATTGGAGCTAACTTTAGAATATTTATGGACTATCATATTCTAGTATTTCTGTATATTACTATAAATATATAAGTAATATATGGTACCGTTAAATATTTTTTGATGAAATTCCATTGTTTGATTGTAGATCTAACTCTCAAACTCAAAGATAAAGCTTGTCTCCTATTTCCACCAATAATGACTGCTTAAAAGGTTTTGGACATAGTCCACCAAGTGCCACCACATCTGCACAGATCCATGGCAACAGATTCCAGAGAGACAATTATTGTCAGTAATTGACAATTTCTATATCTAATTAATTGAAGTTGTCATAGTTGTCATCTGGACATCAGCTTTTAAACGCAAAATAATTTTTTGATCAATTGAATTCTAACCCAGATTGTTTCTTTATTTTAGGAAGTTGAAGAGTTGAAGATAGAAATTGAAACATGTCGTAGAAGATTAGATGCTAAATATAGAGCCATAGCTATACTTAAAAAACAGGTAGAATATATTTTGTTTCAGAATAAAAGTCAGATAAACTTTTAAAGCCAATCAAATGTACCCTTAACCAAAATATAAATTTATCAGATTGACCATTCCTAAAATAAATGGCCATTTGAAGTTTGCTTTAGTTTCTACTGACTTGACCTTATTTGGTTCCTTTAATACTGTAGTTTGACATATTTTTAATTTTATCTGTTTTCTCTGATGACTAGTGATTAATGGTTGGAATCTTACTTAAACATTCTAAATTGTAATCTAAATGGAACCTTTCTGTCCTTTTTGTCAATGATTTATATTGTAGCTTCTTTAAACTGTATTTTATTAAGTAAAATAATGAGAATGGGGAACAGACAGATACTCTTTTTGAAATTTCGTAGACACAACACAGAAATAATATAACAAATATATATACATATATGATAAGTGATGCAGTGTTAAATATATAGAATTTTGTAATAATGTAAAACTTAATGATATGTTAATGTGTAACAAGTACAGCATGTACAGATACGATGATAAAATTTATACAAGTTCATTATACTAGTTTTTATAGACAAGGACATGGCACAACATTGATTTGATGGGAAAACACATTTTGTCCGTTTTACATTTGTATTAAGCACAAATGTAAAAATACTTCAAAATCATTTTATTATGTTCATTCGTAACCCCACTAACTGTGGAATTACATTTTGTTATCGTGTGATACACAAATATTCATTGTTTCAAATAGATAATACATCTAAATCAACTACAAAATGTATCAGCATTCATAAATTATTGTTACACAAAGTACTAGACTGAAATACTCAACTAAGATACTCAACTAAAATTCTAAGCTACACTTTGTCAAATAGAACAACCTGCATCAGTAAAGAAAACTGATCAGGATTGGTTGTATGGGGATAAATTGTCTAGTGGAAGCTATATGTCTCATGATATATTGCCGGTTATGTTCCAGTATTCGATTGTCTATTGCAAGATCACCGGTAACTTGATAATAAAAGAATCATGCAATTCTGTTCTGAGGACCTGTCTGTCACTATGTAGTGTTTATTGTTCTTAGTATGGCAGTGTATAACCTGGTACATCTAAGAGTCATCTGCTACTACGACTACTATACTGCTACCTTGGTTCTTTAATGTCTGCTTCCACAAAAGTGATGTCACAGACCCAGGAAGCCGAAGCGTGTCCTGTTTGTTTAGAATATGTTTTTGAAATCTTTCCATTTGCGGCCTTTGGCCATGGATTGGTTTAGTGGGATGTTCTTCCCTTTATTTAATAAAAAACATAGCATTTGGTAGTGAATCATTAGAGACTGCATATATGCGGAATATATGTGAATTTGTAGATTAGTGTTTAGGTGCCAGGCCTGTCTTATCGTAACTTGCCCTTACTCCACTATCCTGCTATACAGGTTAGTCGTCAGCTGCCTCCCTTGTGCTATTTGTATCCCAGTCAGCCAGTCAGCCACAGTGTCACCAGTTAGAGGCTCTTTAAAATTCTTAGTTACCAATCAAAGAGAAATATCCTCCCCCATCAGATATATATTAATTTCTAAAATATACCCATTATTGTTTGTTTAAATATCAAGATATGATTACTAACTGACAGATTGTAAAATTTGAATTGTTATTTTATCCCAGGCAGAAGAAGCGAGGTCAGAAGTTATAGACCATGAAAAAATGACGAAAGATTACACCAATATTCTTGCTATGGTGGGTTTGTATATCATATAATTCCGGAAGTTTTATTGTTATTAAAATCATAATTAATACCAGCATGTTGCATTATGAGAAAGTTCACTTTAATATTTAGAATGTTCTTTCGATAGCCATCTGAACTTACACAGTTTCTTGTGGAAAAATATAACTGTTCAAGTAATTAATAAGTGTAATCTATTTATTTTTGGATTGAAATGGGGGACATCAGCCTTACATTCTTGTAGATTGTAACTGAATTATTTACATGCATCTCATATTATAGGTTGCATGAAACATTGTTTTCTAACATTAATATGTCTAACAATATTATCTGATAACTATGTCTAAACTATTGAAGAAGATCAACAACAATGAATGCTTCGCTTACAAAGATATATCTCTTGCACGTTCGCCACTACTTGGTTGACTTAATTCCTGTCCCTAATACTCCTGCGATGTTTAATGTTTGTGCTACAGCATAACATATCATAGTTATAGCTTGTTCATAGGGTTAAAAAACTGAATATTTCTTACAAAGACTCAGATAGTAGCTTTATGTTCTTGAGAAATCTCTTCAAAACGTCATCCAAATATACAGTTTTAACCATGATGACTCTACTCTATATCATTCTCAAGCTCTACCTATGAATGATATGGTTCAGAGGATCAGCTGTTGACATAAAACCTTGAAAATATAGTCAAGTTTTGAGATTTTATATCATAATGTACATATTCACATTATTTTTTTGTCTGTGTAGACTGCTATTTGTCACCCCACATGAAATACAGTAAACTACCAAAAAAAGTAAACGAATTGAAATATTGGTATAATAATAATTTGACAGATATATATTTACATCATGATAAAGTCTCTCTGAAATATTTTTTAAAGAAGTGAAATATACACTTATTTAACAGATTTTTGTAGTTAAAAATCTAAATCCACCCTATTAATTAATATGCTTTACCCTTTGTATCAAGTGCATTTTGTTAATGATTGTTAGCATGATTTCCATTGGCTTGCAGGAAGTGAATAAATTAAACTTTGAACTGCAGTGGCGTGAATCCTCTTTCATGGACAGTCAGGAACTCTGGGCTCAACGTTTTGATAGGTAAATTTTAACCATGATTTTATCTAATTTAGACTTGTGAAATCTTGTTTAATTTTGTTTTGTATTAATTATATTCTTTTGTTTAAAATACCACCACTTTTAGTTATTCTAGTTTCATTTCATTCCTTTATTTGTTATTCTGATTTAACTTTAGTTTTTTTTCCACAGCTTCAATTTTAGTTTTTTTTCCACAGCTTCAATTTTAGTTTTGATTCTGTTAAATATATGTCCTAACTCACTTTATATAGGTTATTAATTTTCTATACAGTAAAATATAAAGTATTGTCAATTTTACGGTATTCTTTCAATTTTGAGAAGTATTAATGACCTTATTTTTATGAACTAATGTATGTATCTTTGCTCAAATGTTTGAAATTTGATAAATAGATGAAATCTATATAATAATGTAAACTTGTATTTCTCACATTCTCTGATCTGTTAAGTATAATGTTAATTAATAAACTGATGTTGCTTCAAGTTCAAGTTTGATTATAAAACTGAGAAATTATGTTTCAAAACTGAAGAATTCATGGTCTGTATTTTAGAAACAGCATGCAATTAGATATAACTATTATCTTCCCCATCCTTGAGGAATGAGACTTATTACATTGGGCATCTCTATCTGAATCAAATTTTGGCACACAGTAACTTATAGACCGGTGGCTAGGTGCTGGGGGTCCATCGAATCGGCACAAAACCAGACCCAACTTTTCTATAGTAAAATTTGGGGCGTTTTCGAGATGTTCGGGGTCAAAGGTCAAATGAGGTCATATGCACTTAAAGTGAATGGGTAGCCATTCTTGTATCATGGGAAGATGCTGAAAATGATCAAAAGTAATCACTTTTTCACTAAAAATGTAAACTTGCTAAATTCACCTTTGTTCTTTGTGACCCCAGAGGTCAAAATGTCAAATTTTCTGTTTTTTCGCTAGGAAGATTTAAAGCAATAAAATGTCAGCGTAAAATATAAAAACTAAAGCGAAACCTGTTCTAATTTATAGTAGGAACATTTAAAACTTATCTTTAGGTGGTCTTAGCACCGTACATTTACTTTGGAACGTCGAAAAAGATCTTGGAAAACAGAACCAAAACACTTCAAAATCTGTTTCAAAAATATGTAAAAACTGTCAAATCGAAATCTCCCCGATTTAGTTTAACAATGATTGTTATACATAATAAAACTAGTAGTCCGAAAAACAATTGAATAGTTTCATGGTTGGACTCGCGCAAAATTTGACTATAGAAAAGTTGGGTTTGATTTTGTGCCCATTTGATGGTCCCCCTAACCCCTGCACTGAGCCTCCAGACTATTAGTGGTTAGCTTCCTTTTCTTTTGGATGAATTGATAGAAAAGTTTAAAAGTTTAAATTCTAAACTGACACACTGCTGAGAGTGGAATGATTTGAATAAAATTATGATTTTATTTACAAAACAACTTTGATTAGTTAAAGGTTTGGAACATCAGATGTATTTTGTTGGGGTTTTTTGTTTTTTGTTGTTTTTTATACGCCCACATTGAAATTGCTTGTGGACGCTCTAGAGGCTAAAGTTAATATCCGATTGACTTTAAATTTATATACAGTGTTTAAGGCCTTGAGACGAAGAAGCCTATTGATTTTCAGCGATTTCCGATAATTACTGCCAGAGTTATGGCCCTTGATCACTTCAAAAAATCTTGTGGACACTCTAGAGGCCAAAGTTAATATTCGATTGACTTTAAATTTATACACAGTGTTTAAGGTCATGAGACGAAGAAGTCTATTCATTTTCAGTTAATATCTGATTGACTTTAAATTTATACACAGTGTTTGAGGTCACGAGGCGAAGAATCCTATTGATTTTCAAAGATTTCTGATAATTACTGCCAAAGTTATGGCCCTTGATCCCTTTGAAAAATCTTGTGGACGCTCTAGAGGCCAAAGTTAATATCCGATTGAATGCAGATTGATACACAGAGTTTAAGATCTTGAGACGAACAAGTATATTGATTTTCAACGAATTTTTATGACTTGGAACAGCTAAATTCATGATACAGTATTAAAAGTTTTGTATACAAAACGTTAGCATGGGGCAGAACTTTATAAAAACCAAACAAATTCTAATGGTTTTCTGAGTTGTTGCTCTTCATCAGATTTTAGTGTATTATAAATGTTTCATTACCGAAAAAAGTAAAAATATGCGACAACTCTTGTTGAGTGCCCGGACGATTTAGCTGCTGTGGGCGTATGTTTCGTTGCCTGGCAACCTATCTTTTTACACAGATACGTACCTATTTCTCAAATAAACCTTTTTGTAGCAATGCCATTGATTTCCTGTTAAACTTTTATCTATGCGTGACCAGTCTGGCTATTTCAGGTATTCTGTTATTTTGTGGGCTATGCTTCTCATCTTTACCTTTCTTTATATCCATGTTTATATATTAGTTTGAGGGACTCAAGGTGGTGGGGGATGCAATCGAGGTGGAGGAATCAAAGGAGATAACTACATCAGATAAGACAAGTGCATCATCTGGTGCCCTGCTCAGTTTTGCTGATATAGATGATGATTATTGCAGGTATATGTATTATAGATGTATTCAACTGAAAAGAAATTAAAAGTTTACATATTATTATCATCTGTTAATGCAGTGTTTGTATATAAAAAAAAACAAGACCTTTTTAGTATAATGAGTTATTATGTGTAATGATACACTTTTAAATCTATGAATTATAATGTTTTCTTCTAGAGTTTGTCAAGAAAATGCAGTTTTGATGTCAACTTTAGAAGCCAGATCAGAAGAATTAAGAAGAACAAATGCCCACAAAATGGGTAGGTAATTGTTTTGTATGTAAACATTGACACTTTTAAAATTCTATGATATTTATTTTAATATACATTATCATTAAGTACTACTTTACTAATTGAATGTTATTCACATAATGGTACTTGTTGACAGACGTAGCTGGCGACCTGTTATTCATTGACATAATCCCATTCATATTTTGGAAAGTCGGTACATAAAGAGTAAACATAATAACATAATACAAAAAAACAAAACTATCAACGTTACTGTTACATTTATTTGTCATGTTAAATTTATGGACTTTGAATTTGTTTGTTATTTTTCTTTTGATTAATGTTATTAATTTTCTACACATCTATCAACTATTAAAGCCATAAAAAATCAATTGTTAAAGATTTTGAATTACAGTAATATTTAACTTTTTGGTTGTTACAGCAGCTTTAGAAAATTGTGTTTGTTTTATTTTTATACGCCCACATTTTCATGTGGATGTATATTGTTGTCTGTCCGGATGTCCATCCACAATTTGTTTATGGACACTCTACAGGTCACAATTTTTATCCGATTTTGACAAAGCTTGAAATATAGGTCTATCTCCCAAAGATCTCAGTTCCTTTCGATATTGGCATGTATCGGACCATAAGATAATGGATTATGGCCCCTGATTGTACAAAAAATCACGTTTTTAGCTTGTGGACACTCTTAGAGGTCACAATTTTGATCTGATTTTGATGAAACTTGATATGCATGTTTATAACCCAAATGTCTTGTTTCCTTTCGATATTCGCGCATATCGGATTGTAACCTCCTGAATTATGGCCCCTGATTGTACGAAAAATTGCCTCTTTAGCTTGTGGTCCCTCTAGAGGTCACAATTTTTATCTGATTTAAAAAAACGTTTTAGTGTATCACCATTACTTCCTAATGATGGTTGAGTTCGAATTACGTGAAAATCGGATCAAAACTGTCAGACAAAATGGCAGGGCTCTATAAAAGTTGAGTGTGCTTGCGCACACACTTGAAAATATGCCTGCAGGGTCATACTGAAACACAGGGATGTAGCCAGGATTTGGTGAGTGGTCCGCTCGCCCCAAAAAATTTTGGGAGGGGGGCGTGGTCTTTTATGAAAATTAAACCCTTCTTGGTGTATTTTCAGAGCATCTGCTGCCTTTTGTATTTGATTCAGTTCAAATCAAATTTCCATTTATATATTCAAATTTTACCAAATTCACTTAATTTTCATCAATGATGAAATGGCCGCTCCTTGTAAGCAAATAGTGTAAACATCTGATATATCAAGGCTGTGGACCTCCTAGAGGTCACAATTTTGATCCGATTTTGATGAAACTTGAATTGCTTCATTATAACCCAAAAGATCGTAACTTCCTGAATTATGGCCCTTGATTGGCCGAGACTTTGGAACACAATAACTCTCCTTCTAATTGAGCTAGAATGTTCAAACTTGGTATAGGTGTTTATTAGGTCAATGACTTGATGGAGTTCGAGGATGAGCATTTGACTAAGTTCGATGATGAACATTTTCTGCTGAGGGTAAGCAGAACGATAAGTTTGATTGGTCAAGACTTTGGAACACAATAACTCTCCTTCTAATTGAGTTAGAATGTTCAAACTTGGTGTAGGCATTCATTAGGTGAATGCCTTGATGGAGTTTGATGATGAAGATGTCTGCTTACGGTAAGCAGAGATAAGCAATCTGATTGGTTGATGCTTTGGGGCACGATAACTTTAGTTTTAATTAAGTGAGAGTGATGAAACGCCGAGTATATATTTATTATATCATTACATTGACTAAGTTCGATGATGAGAATTTTCTGCTTAGACTAAGCAGCGATTAGCAATTTGATTGGTCAAGACTTTGGAACATAACAACTCTGCTTTTAATTGAAGTAGAATGTTTAAACTTGATGTAGATGTTTATTAGGTGAACATAGTTGATAATCAGTTTGATTGCTTGATACTTTTGAAAAAATAAATGTGCTATTAATTAATATGTGTCATCTATTTATTTTGAGATTTTGGCAGGGGACATCAGCCTCACTGTTGGCTTGTTGTTAACTACCATTAGGAGTGGGATTTTTTTGTTTAGTACAATTAATATCTCCGAAACACTCAGGTTAGGCAAAAACTGGATACTAGTAATAGTTTCATTTTACTTTTACAAGGTTCTCAAAACAATTGTTGAGATGCCTAACTTGCATGATCTAGCTTTCTGTAATGTTTCATAGAAAATAGTCTTGATTGTCCTGGCCTTTCAATAAGCCAGAGAACCTATTTTGTACTCAAAAATGGCTGGATGTAGTGTCTGCTTGTCGTTTACCGTTTCTGTCTTGTTTTTTATTAATGTTTAAATAGTTATAACTTTTTAACTACAAGTTACAACATGACCGTTTTTTTAGTGACGATAAATGTGAGATACTAAGTTAAGGCTTGTTAAATATATGAATATTTTGGTATAATTGTCAATATATTTGGAGATATTTATTTATGGTAGAGAACCCTAACATTGGGAATAAGGAAGAATCCTATCAGTTTTTAAAAAAAAATTGGATTGTAAATTACTTATCCTGCAGGGTTATCTTTCTTTTCACATTTAGTCTATTAAAAGCTTGGAATTGTTTTTAAAATTTACCCCCCAGGATTTGTTGACAATGATTTTAGATAAAGCAAGAGCAACTTTAATGCTGTAGAACTAACTCCAAATAGAAGTTAACTGAGTTTGGCTTGTTTTCGGTGAATTTACCAACCAAGCTCTTTTACAAACACTATAGTATAAACTCTGTTTCTCATAATGAAAACTTGCCTGATTTGTTATTTTAGCCTTGTCAAGAGAAAGGGATGAATTATTGGCTTTGATGGATGTGAAAGAGAAATTGAAATATGAAAAGACTAAAAGTCAATCATCAGAAGATGAATATGGGACATTTTCTTCAGCAGAGGTAATATTATAAATCTACTGTTAGGACTTTACAAGATCTCAAATTGGTAATGATATTTGGTAGTAATCTTCACCCTTAATGACATGTAACGAGAAAAAATTGTTTCTTTCTAAAATATGATATCTTTATTTTAAAATCACTCCTAAGGGTGGAACACAATTCAAAACTTCCTTTTCGTCAACACGCTAAACTCGAAACTCATTTTTGGACGCTGTTTTGGATTCTGAAATATTTCCTTTCTGAAATATGGTAAGATACCTATGTTTTAGCAGCCACTGAATTCATCAATTTGCTTTCATTATTATATTTTCAAGTTTAGTTACCAAAAACAAAAAGCGTGTCTGACTATCCTGTTCTTAGCTTCTGTGAATTACAGCTATTGATATAATCAACCATAAAATTCTATTGAGCCACTTTCGCACCATCTTGAATATACCGGTAGTCAGTACACCTCTTGCTGGCTATCGATGAGTCTGTTTTGGTAATTACAACATTTTAGAGTGAATTATGATTCCTTTCTGAATATTTCTTGGTTAATTAAGTGATGTGAGTCGTAGCATTTAAAAATGAAATTAATGTCATTGAAATTTATAAATAGTAATAGATTTGCTGAACTGTAAATATTTTAAGACAATAATATACAAATATTTTATATTTATTGTGTATGTGGAATAGATAACAAATTGTTCATCTCTCAGCTTTTATGGAAATTGTTCTCATCCATTGTAACATACATTTAATTTTATGCTAACTTGTTTTAAAGAATATTTTATTTTGAATCTTGTGGTCTTGTTGTTATTAGGTATACAGTAAATATGACACAATAATGATAGAAATACATTGCTATTTAGCATTGCATGTGCTTCTGCCCCTTTTTCCGAAAAATTTGTGAAAGCGATAAACCTTAAATAATTGGTGCTTGATAAGAGAACATAAATTGTTATGTTTTTTTTATTGCGCTCAATTGCTTTATGCCACTCAGTGATTATAATATTATGGTTTGTTGTTTGATTTAGCTTGCAGTATTAGGAGCATGTCGGTGCAGAGGAACTAATCCTGAACCATGTGGTTGTGCTCATGCTGCAGCAAGTTTAAGAAGAGACATTATTAAACTAAAAGAAGAGGTAATAATTGAAGCATTCAAAACAGCTGGCTAGTCCAGTCAAGATACCAGATATAATGCATAATAACACTGTAAAATTTAGATTTTCTTTTATTACTTTTAATAAAATTGCATGTCAACCAATTTAAATTGTTTTGCAGTATTATAGATAATTTGGTAAAAAAAAAAACATTTTACTTCCTCAATTTGACAATTTGATTACTGGTAGTCACTTGGAAACAAACAGACAGAGACATTGGAAAAATTTTTTAGGTCATATAATTTCAAAACATAATCTCAATAACCAAACCATAACCAATACATACTTATTCTAAAATCCTAAATTAATAAAACAATGTACGTTTTGTCAGATTGATCTTCAAAAACAGAGAACAGAAGAAACATATCTAACAGTTGATGCTTATCGTAAAGCATTTGAAGAACAGATACATCGAAATAAAGTTTTAAGCTTAAAACTTGCCGAGCTTTCTGTGCCTTCCGTGTCCAAATCAGTTAAAGCTAAGGCAGCCATTAAATGGTTAATAAGTGTACTTAATGATGGTAAGTATGATCATGATAATAATAATACATTATAGTCTTAGTAATAGAAATAAAAGGAAAAAAACAAAGTATGGTACACATATATGTACTTGCAGAAGACCAGATATTGTGTGGCTGTATGCTTCATTAGGGTCGCGTGTCCAACCTCGTGCAATCGAATTACTGAAATAAAATTGAACCATGTGTTAGTTCCACAATGACCTAGTTTGTGTTGTGGACATAAAATACCATATCTCTCTCTCTCTCTCTCTCTGTATGCTTCATAATTTGATTGGTCGCTTTGGGGCGGATAACTGTGATTCTAATTGAGGCAAACTGATGAGACTTGGTCTGTAGTTTCACTACATCATGAATATTAGCAGCTTGATTGCTGGATGCTTTACAAAAAGATAAAAGTGTGATTAATCAATGTCTGTTTTAAGGAGGTTTGTGGCCGGGAGACATCTGCCTCACTCTTGAATAATTAGAATAGTTTAATTTTAATATAAATTATACATAAAGCTGCTGTTAAAACCCTAATATAAATTATTTTTTTCTATCAGATGATATTGACAGTAGTTCATCAAATAACCAAATTCTTTTACCTGAATCAAGATCAAGAATGTATGCTGAAGAACTCCAATCACTTAATAATAATACAGTTACATGTATGCCACCACAAGAACTGGTTAACTTACTTACGGAAATGGTAAGTTATATGCCTGCATTCAAATGTGGTTGTATATTGACGTTACCTCGGTCATTTTTAATGAGCTCTCTAAAGACTATACACAGTGTTTATGTTCATAAGTTGAGCTTTATTGCCCTGGGTCTATTTGAAAATTCCTGTGGACCCCATTAAGGCTAAAGTTATCATCCAATGGACTTGAAATTTATACACAGAGTTTACGGACACGAGACAAAAAGGCCTATGATTTTAACCGATTTCCAACAATTATTGTTAAACATACATTATGCAAGAGCTAAATCTGCCTATTGCTGGTCTTTCTTTAGGCCTGAAATGTTATCTAAATTATTAATTGGACATTAATTACTTTATCCAAACCATAATCAACTCTCGATGCCATCACTAGCCTGCAATATTTAGCGGATTGGAATACATTTTGTGAATGATAATTAGAGGTAAAAATGGATAATCGAGACTTTGTTTTTTATTGTACCGACTTTAGTAATGATGATTGAGGCTAGCCTAAAATTCAAAAGCTAATATCTTGGTTCAGAATGGAGCAATTTGACTGAAATTTTCACATGTTCTCTTTACTTATCTATTTTTTAAATATTATAGCGAGAACTGTCAACTCTTTATCTAAACTCTTTAGTCTGTCATCAATTTGAAAAATGTTGTAGACTCTCCAGAGGCTAAAGTTATCATTCCTATTTGTTACACTTGTGGCCCTTTAACAATTTGAAAAGTCTTGTGAACACACTGAAGGGTAAAGTTATTAGCCAATTCACATATACTTTATACACAATGTAGATGATATATCCTATTGATTTTTAGAGGTTTTCTATAATTGGTATCCAAGCTATTGCCCTTAATCAATTTGAAAAATGTTGTGGACACTGAAAACTACTCAAGAGGCTAAAGTTAGCATTGGATTGACTCGACATTTATACAGTGTTTATGTTCATGAGATCAAGAACTTAGATGGTTATTTTATAGTCCATTGACTTGCAATAGAAATTCCTGTTTATCAGTTTACCATTTCAGCTATTAATTCTGTAGATTTAAACTTATATGTTGTAGATACATGAGAAGAATGAAGCTTTAGCTCATCAGAAATTAGCAGCCCAAATATTGGCCAATAAAAACCAACAGTTAGAAGAACAGTTGGCAAAAATTAAGGAAGATGATGTATTTAAGTGTACATAGTGTCTGATTGTGTACCAAAAAAAGCAACCATGAAATGCATAATCCAACAGCCAGGAGGCTTATTAAGTTAAAGTGCCAATTTCTTAAAACAGATTGTAACTTGAAGGGTCATAATGCCGAAACTCAGTTATAATGGGTTATCCTCATTTATAGACATGACAATGACATTATGGATATCATCACAACACAGTATTTTTCAGTTAATGGGTCGGACCGTAAACAGGTTCAGATAACCTAGCATAATTTGAGGCACCTTTTCCTAAAACCACATTTTTCTCAGATAAATTTTAAAATTTATCTGAAATTTAATACAACCAGATTAAATTGAAAGAAAGAAGGAAACAGATTTTAATTGATACATTGTCATCCCCACTGTATATCTGTCATCAGCCCTGTATATCCATCTGTCGTCCAAAACTTGTTGTGGACACTCTTGTATCCAAAATTTACAATCTGATTGACTTGAAATTTATACTCATTGTTCATGTTTATGAGACTATTTCCGATAATTAATATTAGAGTCAATTGCCCTTGATCACTTTGTAAAATTTGTGGATGCTCTTGTAAAAAAGAGCACCCAAGATTACACTCTTAAAAGTTATTGTTATCATCCTATTGACTTGAAATTTATGTATAGATTTATATCCATGGGACGATGAAGCCTATTATTTCCAATAATTACTGTCCGTGTTAGGACCCTTGCTCAATTCAAAATGTTTTGAGGATTATCATTTGGTGAATTCAGTATTTATGTTCGTGAGGCAAAAATGCCTAAATTACCAGAACATGTTTGATGTTATGAAGACTAGCAAATTTTAAATATTTCAAATAATTACTTCAAGGTCTGTTGCTCTTGATCAAATTGTGGTGTTTTGTGAATGTTCGTATTTCATACAAAAGAATGAAAATAGTAATGTGGGCGTATGTTTTGTTGTCGGACCTATCTTTGTTTAATTTATAGGAAAACTTTGTATGCGCAAAGATAACATTTATTGTCTATATCTGTAAAAAGTTTATTTTGAAACAAAACATTGATGACCAAACAACAATCTCTACTTTTAAGAATTATCTTGAATAGCCTTGATGGGTTTTTTTTTAAGTGCAAGATAAGATAAAACCAGACCAAAGTCTTTGTTTCTTGACTGGCTACACAACAGCCTCTTGGTGGTTTGTTCTCTATATGATTGGCAATATATTTGTTGTCTTCCACTGTTACTTCAATAAAAATATTTAAAAGCTGAAGGTTCGTCTGTAAATCACTCACTCATCATTGCCTGTTGAATATGTGAATTTGAGTGAATAGAATATTTTCATCCAACAGGTTTTCTCTCTATCCATTTGTCATTTTGTTTTCCTGAAGTTTTTGTTAATTGTGATATTTGATTGAAATTTGTTATTCGTTGGATTCCGTTGTAAAATTTGCAAGGACCAGTAGGGGACATGCAATACTTATTTATATGGGTTTATTTTATTTAACTTTTAATGTTTTTATTAATTGTCCCCCGCCTTTCGAAGAAAGCAGAAAATGGGTTCGTCCGTCTGTCTGTCCGTCTGTCTGTCCGTCACACTTTTTGGGACACAATAACTCTCTTCCTAATTGAGCTAGAATGTTCAAACTTGGTGTATGTGTTTATTAGGTCAATGCCTTGATGGAGTTCGAAGATGAGCATTTTCCGCTTAGGGTAAGCAGAGATAAGCAATTTGATTGGTTGATGCTTTGGGACACGATAACTCTCTTCCTAATTGGGCTAGAATGTTCAAACTTGGTGTATGTGTTGATTAGGTCAATGCCTTGATGGAGTTCGAAGATGAGCATTTTCCGCTTAAGTTAAGCAGAGATAAGCAATTTGATTGGTTGATGCTTTGGGACACGATAACTTTTAATTGAGCTAGAATGTTCAAACTTGGTGTATGTGTTTATTAGGTCAATGCCTTGATGGAGTTCGAAGATGAGCATTTTCCGCTTAGGGTAAGCAGAGATAAGCAATTTGATTGGTTGATACTTTGGGGCACGATAACTCTCTTCCTAATTGAGCTAGAATGTTCAAACTTGGTGTATGTGTTGATTAGGTCAATGCCTTGATGGAGTTCGAAGATGAGCATTTTCCGCTTAGGGTAAGCAGAGATAAGCAATTTGATTGGTTGATGCTTTGGGACACGATAACTTTAGTTCTAATTAAGTGAGAACTATTATAAATTAATTAAATATGTAGTATGCAATAATGAATTGACATTTAATGACAGAAAGAAAACAGTGAACTTTGCACAACTTGCAGCAAGATGGAAAATAGACCCGTTGATACAACCAAACTCTAGATCTGTAGGCATAGAGCATGTTTTCCCCTTAATATGCTATAATTATTCCATCAAAAACATTGTATGCTTAGACTATAAGTAAAGATATACTGTTTCATTGTTCAATACTTTGTAAAAGATAATTTGTGATAAATTTATATGTGTCCTCTAATTATTTTCCTATTTCGGCGGGGGACATCAGCCTCACTGTTGGCTTGTTGTCATTGTTGAGGGATTTTAAGTGATCATAACCAATTTCCTCTGCATTGTTAAGTATGTAATTATATAGACAGCATATAATAAAAAAAACTGGTTTAACAGTAAATAGCATGCCCCACCCCTAATTAGAAGCTTCATGAATGTTATATCTTTGAATTGTGGACGGACGGACAGGGGTGACGGCATAATACATCCACATGAAAATGTGGGTGTATAAAAACATTTAAATTTATCACCGTTACACCCTAATGACAGTTGAGTTCTAATTTTGTGAAAATCAGACCGAAACTGCCTGACAAAATGGCGGCTCCTTGTACCCAAATAGTATAAAAGTATGTCATACCAAGTTTGTGGATCCTCTAGAAGTCATAATTGTAATCAGATTTTGATGAAACTTAAAATATATGTTTATGTCCCAAAGATCTTGGTTACTATCGCTATTTGTGCATATCAGACCGTAACTTCCTGGATTACGGCCCCTGATTGTACGAAAATTGTATTTTTTAGTTTTTGGATTCTCTAGAGGTCACAATTTTTTATCCGATTTTAAAAAATGTTTAAATATATCATGATTCCGCCATAATGAAGGTTGAATTTGAATTTCGGGAAAATCGAAACAAAACTGCCCGACAAAATAGCCACTCTTTGTACGCAAATTGTGCAAAAGTATGTAATACGAAGGTTGTGGACCCTCTAGTGGTCACAATTTCTATCCGATTTTGATAAAAATTAAAATATATCTTTATATCCCAAATATCTCGGTTCATTTCATTATTTGCGCATTTCAGACCATAACTTGATTATGGCCCTGGGCCCTGATTCATGAAATATTAACTAAAGATAAAATCCAATTTTTAGTAGATACAATCAAATAACTAAAATTTTGATTTTATCTTAGTTAAAATTTCATGAATAAGGCCCCAGATTATACAAAAAAAATTGTGTTTTTGTTTAGCTTGTTCTCTATCCTTCTCTTGCAATATGTGGGTGTATCTTGCCTGGCAACTGCTCATAGGCGTACGAGGCAGGGGGGGCAGCTGCCCCCCTAACTTTCGGGCAGATGGGTCAAGTGAAAAAAAAAATTATTTCATCTAGTTGGCAAAATAAAGTGCCAATTTTACTTTTCTTTTAATTGAATACCACGAATTTGTACTGAATTGACTATGGATTAAAACATTTTTGGGCATCGATTATTATTTGTGAATGCAGCCGCAGCAGTCTGATTGAATGGTTGGCGGTAACCAAAATTTTTTCGGGCATTTCCGGTTCTGCCCCCCCTAACGGTCATCGAGCCCGTCCGCCTATGCAACTGCTGGTTTGTCACAAATGGTGCAAATGGCAATTGATAGCATGAATCATAGTTAGCTTAGTGTACATAGTATTTTATAACTTGCACCCAGTGGTTAACATTGGCTTTTATTCAAATTTGTTCTAATAAATTTATTGGTCCCATATAAGGAATGGGAGAGTTTCATATATTTTCGACTTATCTTTTTTCACTTGATCGATTTTCTAAACTGTTTGAGGGAGGATTTGGTAGATTTTTTTATAGCTTCATTAACAAAAAGGCCTTTTTATACGCCCACATTTTCATGTGGATGTATATTGTCGTTGCCCCTGGACGTCTGTCAGTCCACAATTTGTTTGTGGACACTCTACAGGTCACAATAATTCTTATTCGATTTTGAGGAAACAAGAACAGCCAGCTATTTATCTAAATTTAACATAATGCATCTTTAATAAACATCAACTAAAGCTATAGTGGATATGATGATTTAAAATTGTCCTTATCAGTCATTTACAACAGCTGTTGTTTAATTTATTGACAATTAAAACTAGCACAAAGGTGTTATTTACTTCTGTCTGTCCAGAGGATTTGATAATTATACCTCCATAATATTTTTCGATATATGTTACAGTTATCTTGGAATAGTGATTTTGGAAGACATTTTGATATTTGTGCATTTCAGACCATAACTTCCTTGATTAGGGCCCCTGACCCAAATGGCTGCCCCTCATACGCAAATAGGGTATAAGTAAGTAATAAAAAGGTTGTGGACTCTCTAGAAGTCACAATTTTTATCCAATTTTGATGAAACTTAAAATATTTCTTTATATCCCAAATATCTCAGCCCATTTTGATATTTGTGCATTTCAGACCATAACTTCCTGGATTATGACCCCGGATTGTACGAAAAATTGCTTTTTTTTTTTAGCTTGTTCTTTATCCATCTCTTGCAAAATGTGGGCGTATCTTGCCTTGCAACCGCTGGTTATGTGTACACATAACCTTCCAACCTGCATCACTGACAAGGGTAAACTGAAGAAACATTCTCAGCCAACACTAGGTTAGCAAGCCGGCACCTTACTCAATGAATCACTGCAACTCCATCTCAAAATGAAGGTAGTTTGAACTATTTGCATGGTTACTCAGGGGCAGATCCATGGTCTCTATTGTCATTCTGGCATTAATACATACACACTGAGCATTTTAAAGCGATAAATCAATTTTTATTATGAATTCATATGATCACATTGTGATTCAATTTCATTGATGATAAAGGATAAAGCTGTAGTGGCTGCTCCTGTTTAGTTTAGCTCTCCAAGTTTTGTGTATTTTTGGCTACTAAATTTAATTTATTCATGTGAAAAGTGGAAATATGTGTGTATAAGGTTACATGGAACACATTTGTGAAGGAATCATTGTCATTATTGGATTATCTCTTGCAGTATTTACTATTTTCTGAAAATTGGAATACATTTGAAGTGTTATAGAGTGATCAATGAAGCATACCAACAGCCATTTTATTAGACTTGGGTATCTTTCCTATTGTTTTAACATGCTCACCTTTAATCCAGTTAAGTATAACTCACATGTGATTAAGATATCTAGAGAGGAACTCATTTCAAAACAACAACTTAACACTTTATCTGTTAACCAGTTTACATTTTTACAAGATGCAACACTCCATATTCTTAAAAATGTTCAATCTAAAATTCGGCCTGGGTGTTCTTCTGGTCTCACAAAGAAAGCAAAGAAAGCCAGAAAGAAAACAAAAATATCATCATCATTGAAAATTGGTCTCTTGAATGCACAGTCGGCTCGTAATAAGAGTGTTGAAATATTTGACTTAGTAATTGATTATGACCTAGATGTACTAGTCGTCACAGAATCATGGTTTAAACCTACTGGTGACGAAGCAATAATTGCTCAGATAACACCCCCCTCTTACACTTTCGTCCATCATCCTCGGCTTACATCTAGAGGAGGGGGTCTTGCAGTAATCTATAAATCCGTAGTTTCAGTAAAACTCAACGCATCGTCAATTGATCTGCCCTCGGTCGAGGATCTCAGTCTGACAGTGAGCACCCAGAACAGATCATTCCACCTTGTCTGTATTTACAGGCCTCCACCCTCGACAAAGAATACATTATCATATTCATCGTTTTTGGAAGATATTACAAAACTTTTTGAACAGTATCACAAACTGGATACAATATTTTTGGGAGATTTTAATATTCACTGGAATAAATCTGATAGGTCTGATGTGAAACAGTTATTTCCATTGTTGACTCTCATTCCTTGCGGCAACATGTTCAACAACCAACTCACAGGTCTGGTAACACTATTGACTTAATCATTACCCATGAAGACTCGGAAATCATTCAAAGTGTCATGGTAGAAGAGAAACAAATCTCTGATCATTACCTGATCCTTACTGAATGTA